TCTAATAGACACCCGTAGATTAGGCTTAAGCACCTTTTCGTGAGATTTTGAAATCGCAGATTTCGAATAGTAGGAAAATAACGGTGAAACGTTAAGGTATCTTTTTCGTCGTGCGGCTTTATCTAAAGTCGAATTAACGGCCGTAAATTCTTCGGCTGCATTTAAATATATTTATAATAAAGAGATATTTTAAACTGGATGTGTGTTAGAGGCTAATGTCGGGTTAAAATCCTTCGCGTGTTGAATTATTGAAATTACTTTGTCGGTTATAGGAAATTTATTCATTTTCGCGTCATCTATTCGAACGAGTGCATAAAATTCCATTTTATTAACATAGCCAATGCGATATTCAATGCTTCATGCAAATGACTGAACTCTTGGAGAATATCTTTTGTGCTTGAATTTAAAATTTTACACACTCGCAATTTGAATAATTGCAGAAATAATTGTACGAGGAAAAAATTGTGATGAGAAAATGTAAAAAAAATAGTTACCTATAATTACGTATGCACTTCTGCTGGTGTTAAATCGATTAAAATATCAGCCAAAAAGAGGAAAACATGTGTAGAAGAGTAGAATTTTTCATACAATAATTAAATTACCTAATAATTTGTACATTTTTGGTGTAAAATATCAGGCTAAAAAAGAAGGAAGTGCGTGTAGAAATTTTCATACAATAATTAAATTACCTAATAACTATTTCTAGTGTGAAATTGACTGCTGATGAAGAAACTTATGAAAATGAGGTAATTAAATAAACATTCTAGTCGATTAAAAGGGTGAGTTCTAAAAGAAGAACAGTTTTTTTAATAAGTTTACAAGATACATTAACACAATTTCTTCATTCAACCCCACCATGTTTATACAGAGTGTCCCAACTTTCGAGCTTCTGCCAACCCTCAGGCATGGGTACTTCAAATCTCGCCCTACAACCCATCGAATTTCCACCTGCGGGTCATCCCAAGTAGGTCGACCGTTCCATTTCGTATCAATCGATTCCGAATATTCGCCGTCCTGAACGAAAAATCGAACGGTAACGCCGCGAAGATGACTTTCAGTTCGAGGGCGTCCGGTCTGGGTCTATGGGTTAGGCGCGCCGGATGTGCGGAAAGTAAACCCAATCACCGTGAGCAATTCGAAACCTAATACCCGCCTAATCGATGTATTCATCACAACCAACACTTCTAATTACCCACAACAAGACGCTGTATTGTTGATAGATAACTAGGGCTTTTTCATAGAGCTTCGTTGTTCCCCGGTATGTTATTGGCAGACAAGGGGATTTCCATTTGCGGAGATAAGCTTCTCGTAAATTGATTCATTGAAATGCGGGTTGAAAGTTGAAGACTTCGACGTAATCAGATGAAAGAAAACCAACTAACTAGAACCGAAAGCCACGGAGAGGTGCAATTAAAACGTCGGTCGACCGCTCGTGGACGTGGGAAATGATCTATGTTGAAGAAAAACGTATCTAATTACACGTAGGTCGTTGAAACGAAATTTTCTTCGATCGTTAATGGAATTTAACATACGCTTCTTCTTATTTATTATTCACTCCTTTATTTATTTATACAAACAGCTGTAAAAACACGCCTTCGATAAATCGACGAGTGTAATTGAAAATTAACCGTACTTAGAATAAATAGTCCATAAAAGTTATTTAATCATACCGTCCATGTAGATATAATAGTTATTAACTAATTACTTAATACCGCACCTGCTGGATATTTAGTAATAGAAACAAATTTAATAGAAATTAAACTGTATTTCGAATTTCATTCCAATTATGGCAAAGTGTTTAAACGCTTCACTTAAACACTAAACTTTTGCATAACGATCGTTTTATTCGAGTTAGTAATGCAATAAACGAATCCTCTTAAGGGCGTTTCAATTTCAAGAGGTATTTTAATCATTTACGAACGTTTAATTTTATTTTTCGCTCGTTTTTTTGTCGTTTAAAAGGAAACTAACTAGCAGAGAAGAAAGAATTGTGTCATTTTATGGTTAGCAACAATGAGTTCCTGATTGTTTGCTCAGGAACTGTGAACTTATAAATAATTCGGTTATCCGCAGATTTCCAATCTACAGTTAAAGATTCGTTAACTATTTGATTTTTTGGTTTGGTCTGTTTACGGGTTTTGTTAGTGCGTTTAGAGGACGTTAATTAAGATGTTTTAGTTGAGACTTGAGCGGTTATTAACTTGAAATCAAAGATTTTCAGTTCATGCATGTAGTTTTTATTTTATTAATATTTTTCGAACACTCCTTGATTAGACAATCAAATCTTAATTGACTTACAAAAGTTTCATGAAACTAATCGTTTTATTAAAATCACTAGCTTTAATGAACTTATAATACTTTTTTAGAGACCTTGAAGTATTTATAATAGTAATAACAGTTATCTACTATGAAATTCCTTTCGGTATGTTTCTAATATATTAATGATTGCATTTAATTTCATTTTAATTGCCGTAGCCGGCAATCAAATAACACAGTACAATTAAATGATCGCGGAATAACATAACTATCGTTTATTATTTAGTCATATACGTAGGTATTAAAGTGTGTCGTGGGAGCTAATATAATTAAACGGAAAATTCAATGAAGGTACGATATTGATATATCGAGCTACAGCTGAATAAGTACACATTTTATGCAAATTATTCGCGCTGCAGTATATAGGTGTAAAAGTTTCAAAGATGAATGCTAATCCAACATCAAAGCTTCGCGAGTTTTAAAATTTAATAAATTGCTCTACGCTTCGATGGGAACAAAAATCCGTGAGATGAAACAACCTGCGGATTTTTACATTATTGAAATCTTCTCGATACATCGATTACAATAGTGTGGCACACATTATGGCCTGTAATGCAGAGGATCTACACAAAATATCATTACCGCAACCTGTTGTCATTGAACTAAAATATAAAAAAAACAGTTACTGGCATTAGCAATATGCAAACAAAGGATATTCAATATATTTGTTCTGTCGAATTCGGCATTGAAATTGTCGTTAAAACAAATAACAGACTTCTTTGAACTGTCGATGAGGTCATTTTACGAAAAGGTCACAGAGTGATAAAAAATGCTAATTATTGGTAATATACCTAATGAATTTTATGACCAAATTTGAATTTATTTTTAGATGTGTCTTCAGAATGATTGTAATGTCTTGTCTGAATGCAACTCTCGTTTTCATTCCCTACGAACTATTTTTAAAGACATAACTATCTCATAATTTTCCACAATAAAGCTCTCTATTAGTCGATTGATTAATCAATTGAAATTAAACACACCCACCACCCGACTTTCGAATTTCAAGGCTGCTGCCCATTGTGGATCACCTTAATAGGTGTCAGTTGCATGCGATTGAATCAACACACCGTCATTCTTCTCCATTAAATTTTACCGCCTCTGAAATTGTTGCACAAAAAACCATTCACCTACTACTGTAATGAATCAATCGAAGGATTTTTGAGGCACCAGCAATTAATCCAACGAATTCTGTCCGTTTAGCATATTGTTTGAGCTGTGCATTGAAATTCCAAGGCTGGGTTTGCGGGAGGATAAACGCTGGAAGAAGGTTAGCAATTATGAATATTGTTATCGGATGCGTCGAAAGGTCAGTCGATGATGAATCGTGAAGTGAAAGCAGAACATTTGTTACGTACGTGCATAAGCGACTGCACGTAAAACTGTAAATAATTTAAAGTATGTAATTTTTTCACATCGCTCGGTTGTAGCGTTTTAGGTATGTTGTTACACGGTAGATAAGCATAAAAAAACGTTTTATGCTATCTATTAGGTACGAAATAAATGTATTTCTTTTAAGTAGGTTACGAGGGGTGCTCTAAATATATTTTTTCCAACTTTGGTATTTATTATGCCTATAATTATGTACTTAAGACGCTTGTTTTATAAAAATTAGTTATTGAAATTGAGGAATTTTGGAAGTGATATTTGCTGAAGTTTTATTGGAACTTTTTGATCTACATATTTTCCTTTCTTAAGGGATATCGTTGACCTCTTCTTTTAATAGAATATATGATGACATTAATCAAGGACTCGTAGGACTAGTGTGGGTTGAGCTTCAACACCCACGGATGATATTAGATAAAAATAAAAAAAAATATTTATTTTTTATAAATTCTTTCATAAATCCTTCGTACAACACACGCCTACTCCATTTGTTAACTAAAGTCTTGCAGGTATTATTACTATAAAGCTCACATTCTTGACCACGTAATTTGACTATAGAAAATTCATAATTTACATCAATTTAAACAGAATTTCGCAGTTTTCCACACGAACATCCGCGCATACTTCTATATTTGCTTTTCATTCAGTCATCAGCAACGTTCAACAGGTTATCCGTACGAGCGTGCTCTTCCAAGTTCCAAGCTTTATAAATAGAACAAACAAACTGTTAAAGATTCAATTAAAACGAAACGACAAACGACCTCTAAAAATCGCGCACAGGCAGGTATTACAGAGTAATTTAATTTCAACTTCAACGAGAACGTTCTCGTTCGTTATATCTACTTTCCAATATACAGGATGCTACATGGGCAAAGGGCAATATTTTAAAACCTAAGAACTATGTGGTTTTGTATTACCTATACTCGAATGAGGAATCTTACAACTTTTATAATTGGAGGTGTGTATTGTGTTTTATTATAATTTTGCTTGAAAATATCAACGATTGTATAATATCGCAATAAATTTTTCATGATAATGGTTAGAATTAACAAAAAATTACTTATATTATTCCGCTACTAAATATCACTCTGTTTATGGAAATTTTTTAGTAGGAGAGCAGAAAAATCGTTACGTTTTTAGCTATGAAACACCCTGTATAAAGAGGGGTATACGCAGATACACGTCCAACAGGTTGTTCGAAAAGTAAACGCTCTTCAAAGCAAAACAAACAAACCGCCAGAAGAATGAAGATTAATTAAGTACCAACGTGAAAAAAAAATGCTGATGGTAAAAGTACTCACCTTTAGCGCTCGTCCAGGTGACGACGCTCAATACAAAAATCAATCCGATAGTACTCCTAAACATCGTAATACTATTAATAATAATAATAATTAAAGTAGTAGTGACGAAACCGCTAAAACCGCGTTATTAACGCCACCGATTCCGGCCAGAAACGCCCGATAGAAAGTGAAATGAATCAAATCTGAGGCACACACACGAACTCCCAGCTCCTTAATTGCCGTATCCGTATCCCATAGCCGTTGGTATCTCGTTGTCGAACGCCCGGTACAGCGCGAGACCGACTGGTACACGATATTATGCGGCCGGGGCAAAAAGTAAAGAGCAACGCGAAGAGACTTCAATGGTCGCGCGGACGAGAAGCGGTCGCGGGCTCGTCGTCTCGCTCTCCCTCTCGCCGACCGGTCGGTTTTTCTCCTTTTTTCGCGCGTGCACCTCGTCGGTTTCTCGTTCTCTCGTCTGCCGGGCACATGCAGAGGCACACACACGCAGACGGGCCGGTGGTATGCCCGATGGGACGGAGGTCGCCGATGGAATTGGCGATGATGGCGATGATTTTTCGATTGCACGCCTAACCGGGAAATTAGTCCTTCGACGAGGGTTTTCTTTGCGAACTGGAAACTGCGTTTTTTGCGATGGGTTTTCAGGAATTTTGGATAGTTTAAATTGCTAGATAATGGTTTTGTTAAAGGTGTTTTTCTCTGATGGCTTTTGCTGATTTTGTAAGCTTTTTTAGAAAAATAGAATTTGGAATTTGGATGTACTTTTCATGATTTTAAAGAATTTTTGGATTGTAGATTATACAATCTGCCTCTAATTGACTTTTGCAGATTTATATATACCACCATTTTTTTGCCATATATGGGATTCATAACTCATATTTCAAGAAAAACTATTTTACAACACGAGGAGTAAACGAGCTTTGTATCCACAAAATATATTCTTGAAACTTTTATACTGAGTGTTTATTATACATGTGCCATTCAAGGGACCATTCTTCCCAAGAATATTTTGTCATTTGATGATTTTTGATGAAAATCCGTTTCGTTTAAAGTTTAGGAGATACTGTATATCTTCGAAACAAAGAGGGATTTCAAAAATCATCAAAGGTCAAAATATTCTTGGAATAATCCAAAGAAATGGTCCCGGGAATTTTTGTTGGATATTTAATAAACACCCTATATATCCATATTCTCCACTGGTAGTCTCTTATTCCTCTTAGATTTTCCATCATTTCTATATAAATTATTTATTAAAAAAAATCTCTTAACTACAAAATATTTGCTCAATTAAAAGTAACATTTTTCCACTTTAATTACACCTATACATATCCACTCGCTCAGATCACGGATTGTAAACCAGTTTTTATTCAAATCGCCGCCTTTTTCATCCTCATACCTGCCTAAAAGCATTTTCTTTTTGTTCGATGCGACTCCTGCATTCAACTCACTCCTGCAACAATCTATTCTAATTATTATTACCACGACAAGGCAACAATTAAAATTTATTAACGTCGGGTTATTAGCGCAATTTAAAGCGCCGAGTTGGTAATGAGAGACCCACAGGTACTTTACAAGCCGTCCTAATTGGACAGGCATAATGAATAAAATCATAAATTATCGGCGTTTGATTAATGCTTGAATGATTTAACTACCAAAATTTATTGAAATTGTAACGCCATTGCGACGATTATAGAAGAATTATACTAACAGAGTTTAATTTTTTGTCACCCATGTTATTTGGACGTTACATCTAATAACAGATGTATGTATTATACCTAAAGAAGTAAATTAAATTATTATTTAACGGTATTTTAATTGAATGCCATACGTACCTACACATGAACCGAGCGGTTGTTAAAAATAGGAAGTAATAATTTCGAGTCATATAATATGGTATTATTTTAAAAGTCAGTTACTTTTTGTACTTGCTCGCGTAATTCCGAGTCTCTCGAATTCACCGAAAATAAAATAAATCGCCTTGCTATATAATTCGTAGTTATTTAAATGTAATAAGTGCGTACATAAGTTTCCTGGATAATTTTTTGAAGGTTTGTAGATAATATTCACATGAGAAAAAAACTTCTGAATTAATTGAAAGTCATCAAAAATGCGTCCATAAAAATTCGTCTAAACTCTATTTAAAATTTATTAGTTAATGCAATATTAAATTAAAGCTTGCATTGAACGCTTACGTAGATATAAAATTAAATCTATACTTGAAAAATATAGAAATAAGAAAATTAAGAAACTTTTTAATTTTATTAAGCACTAGTGCGTAAATTAATTCTATGTATCAAATTAACTAATAATACCAACTAAAAGAAACGCCTCAAGTGTGCAATGTTAATAAGATCTCGTATGTATGTATGTACATTTGTATATGTTTTAATATCGTACCGAACAAATCTTAATTATTCGTTAATTATTTAATTAATTAATTAGCATCTTCCGTTCTCAATATACAGGGTTGGGCAAAAGTCCGGAATAAAATTATTATCTGTTAAACCAGTAATTTAAACAAAAAACGCTGAAACACGTAAATTGATTTTATATTGGACGGATTTGTTGCCAATAAAATGATTTTTTTTTCTTCAACCCCTTAGTTGCAACCCTACCCAACTTTATTTTTTCAAATGCAAAGGTATGTCGTGTGTAGGGTCATTGAAAAGCCCGTGAAAAATGGAATCTAAAACATACCTTTTTTTTTATTTTTCTCATGTTGTTATTTGGAAATGAGCAAAAAATTCTTTTAAAAACAAATATGTTACAAATACTTTTTTAGTGGTATCGACGTGTGAATTAAGGCTTACTCTACTTAACAGGCTCCAAGGCAATGGTAAAACCTAATATCGGTAGCCTATCTTTAATTCTGAATGAACTTTTATTAAAAGCAGGCGAGCCTGGTCAGGCAGCACACCAAATTTTATTGATTTACCGTTTAAAACTGATAAGGCAATTTAGCATCAACATTCGTTGAAATTTATGTTTTAAGAAAAAACAAAAACATAAAATGGGTTTAATTCTAAGCCATTGTTGATCAGTGAACTTCAAAAAGGAAAACAGGAGTTGCATTTTTGTACAAGTTTTTTTTACCAAAGGTTCGCCTGTTTTTATTAAAAAGTCATTCAGAATTAAAGATATGCTATCGATATTACGTTTTACCAATGCCTGGGAGCCTGTCAAATAGATGGTGAAGGGCATTTTCAACATTGCTACGTCGATAGCACTAAAAAGGTATTTGTAACTTTTTTGTTTTTAATAGAAATTTTTGCTCATTTCCAAATAACAACATGAGAAAAATAAAAAAAAAAGGTATGTTTTAGATTCCATTTTTCACGGGCTTTTCAATGACCCTACACACGACATACCTTTGCATTTGAAAAAATAAAGTTGGGTAGGGTTGCAACTAAGGGGTTGAAGAAAAAAAAATCATTTTATTGGCAACAAATCCGTCCAATATAAAATCAATTTACGTGTTTCGGCGTTTTTTGTTTAAATTACTGGTTCAAAAGATAATAATTTTATTCCGGACTTTTGCCCAACTCTGTATGAATTTTTATACGTTTAATTTCGCCGATATAAATCGGTTTGTTGACTCTCAAACCACATTTTTTTAGATTTGTTTGCGACCTCTGTCGAACTATTTTTTTTTCGACTTAGGTAGGTTGAAACCACCTACTGTCGGTAATTTTATTGTGAAAAACCCGCCACGATACCAAATATGAGGGACATTCGTGGGCGAAGTAAAAGCGCGATCGTTGCTAAATTAGAAACAAAAAAATTGCGTGAATCCTAATGAACGAAAACGGTAAATAATTTACTAAAAAATAGTTTGTAATTATGTTTGGTGTACGAATTTGGAGTCATTTTAGTCGCAATAGGTACTTGTAACAATGGATTCGAATATGTTCATTTTCTCACAAAAGTAGGACTATAATTATTTGGTTTATATAATAATTATGGTGATTACATTTTAGAATCGAATATATTTTTTGCTGTAGAGGATTTTAAACATTTGGTAACCCTATTTCAGTTCAATCAATTCAGTATGTTTCTGAGTTTTATATCAAACATTTTGGTATTTGTATCTACTTAATTTTCACCTTGATTTTTACATTTGAAGTACATTACATAAGCATCATTAAATACCTACTTATGTTCATTTCGTAGGATACCTCTTGCATGTAATCTCCCACACACGAGTAATGAATCAACAGCAAATAATAACAGCACTTTCCCTACGACTTAGCGCAAAACTATTGTTCTAAAAATAATGCTGATAATTTATTAAAAAAGAAACTGTCGCGTGTTTAATTGGGGCAATTATTTCATTGTTTTTTTAATGGTATTCGGGATGCTTTTCCACTTCCGAGGAAATTATATTCGAAAAATATATTCTTGTTTTCCTGAGAAAATCACATACGATAAACATCTAACATTGATAATTAGCTACATCAGTATTCAAATAAGTAAGTTAATTATTTATTAGAATACAAGTTGTGTATGTGCAGGCCCCCCGCGTTATATAAAAGGAAATATTTATTAAATAATTTGAGTATGATTTCTTTATAAATAATTTAGATAAATTAGCTAAATTTATCTCACCTTTATTAATTGTTTCTATTTAAAACAGGTGTCTTTTAAATGTGTTTTAAAACAGCGCATAAATAATGCATAATTTTTCCCACATAAATAACACAATAACACAAAATAATTTAATATTTCAACAACTATCTACACAACGAAAAAAATAACGCTAAGGCACAATAAATTAAACAAAATGGTGCTCGAAATCCTCGAACTTCCCGATAGTTTTCCCGACAAATCTTTGCATTGTTCGGAGTAGAAATTCCGAATTTCATTTTTGCTATTCTTCGCCAACAAACAAATTTGATACCTCCGATCTTTGCTCAACTTTTTTTTGATATCTTTGTTGAAATCGATAACCAGCGAGCGTTTGAAATACGGAATGGTTGATTTGTAGACGATATTCTGGCCATTTTTATCATCTCTAATGAATACTTCTGTATCTGCTATATCACTGAGCTTTGTCACTCTCCATTTTGCGCTGAGCACGTTTTTCTTACTAAAAATAAAGTAGGATTAGATTCTCTAAATTGAATTTGAAATAAAGTGACTCACTTTGACAACTCTCTGAATTTCAAATCGGGTAACACATCGTAATCCCCCGGTATTCGACTCTTTAACTGAGTAGTGTTAACATTAACCGGACAGTTTAATCTCTCTTCTGTTAAATCGTATAACGTTTGATTATGTAGAAACGAGGGAGTTTCGCACAGGATTGTTTTGTACAGCTGTTTCACAACCAGCTGATTGTGAAAATGCCTGACTAGAGGACGTAGAAAACAATCACAATGGAGTTTATTTCCTGAAAATAGACACAATACGATCAATATAAGAGGTATTTCGATGCATACAAAAGTGTATAGTGAATAGAAATTACCTTCGAAATAAACATCCACGTCTTTTTCCACCAATTCGACGAGTTGTGGAGGGAAATGGGCGAAGCGATTCCATCGCAAATCGATCGCGGATATTTCGGAAGCGTTTCGCAAATACTGCCAAGGCAAATCGTCCAGTAAATTATGCGATAAATACAATTCCGTTAAGTTCGCCGGCAATCTGAAGAATTCCTTATCGCTGGCGAGATCTTCCAATTTGTTATGAGACAGGTCGAGTGTTCTCAAACTCGTTATGTTTCCGACGACGCCTGCGGAATGTCGCGAGTTTTATGAAATTATTAATAAAATCACCGATGGAGTCGTTGTTTTAATATTTATGTACCTGGTCGGACGGTCGCGATGGCGTTGTGGGATAGATTCAGTATTTCGAGTTTCGAAGTGCCTATTGTCAAATCAACGGTTAAAACGGGCATCGAATTGTACGATAAATCCACTTCTTTTAGCTTGTACGGAATGTATTTGTTGCTCGGGAAGAATTTCTTCGTTATGAAGCCCACTTTGTTGTGACTCAAATTGAGCTTAAAAAAATATATTTTATTATAAGTGGCCAATTAATATATTAAGACAGCCCATTTCCAATACTAAGATAAGTTACAGTTTCTTATTTGATCATGATAAAGAAAAATAACCTTGGAGAATACTAAAAAATTCTCACATAAGGAGGTAGCACTTTTTCTATACTGGATGGAGTTTATACGAGAGGAAAATAATCGTTATTTTTCATTTTGCAAAGAAAATTTCTTCCTTATTGCAGATTTTAATAAGGCAAACTTATTTTTTCGACAAGCAAGACTCCTTGTGAAGAATGACTTTTCTTCGGGTAATATTTTTTGCTCTCGTCAACTTAATTCAGCAACACACTGTATGTTGAATAATACAAGAACAAGCCTTTATAATATCCACCTTGTTTCGATCAGTAGTAAAGGAGAAATAATATCATAGAAAGTTCAATTTTAGCAAGGTTAGAGATATTGATTTTGCTCCAATCTCCTTGAATCGCGACTAAAAATAGAGCTCGAATAACAACTCACCTTCTCTAAAGAAAGACAATCTTCTAGAAGGGAATTAGTCTTGTTATCCATTTTCGATATCTTATTGAAAGAAAGATCCAAATGTCTAAGAGACACTAAACCTGCAATAATAATTATTATACGCCATACAACAATTAATGAATTAATATTTAAAATTACCCTGAAAAGCTCCATTGGGAATTGAGTTGATGTTGTTATGACCCAGCTTCAATTCGATGAGCTGCAGCAACCCCTCAAAAGCCCTAGCGCTGATATTACGTATGTTATTATGAGACAAATCCAGCTCAAATACGACGGGTAGCTTTCCAAATGCATTCCTGGCCAGTTCTGTTATAAAATTACCCTAAAACCAATACACATTCAAATTCAATTTGAAGCAAATGAGAATCCACTGGATCCAGCAGTGTATAAATACAGGCTGAGGAAGAATAATTCGTATCTACAGAAGCACTGACCTCTAAATACACGTACTGCAAGGAGGCCAAATCACCAAGAGCAGCGTAAGGAGGTTGGTTCATACCGTTGTAATTCAAATTCAATCTCTGCAAAGTAAGCAAATTGGCGAAACTGCCTCTCTCCAGATTATCGCTCAAATTGTTGCGGCTCAAATCCAAGCGCAACAGAGAATTCATGCTGGGCCACGTCTCCAGCGGCAGCCTTTCGATGCTGTTGCTGGATAGATCCAATTCGGCCACGGAGATGGGCAGCTGGAACATGCTCTTCAAATTGTTGCCTCTCAAAGTGAGCGTCCGCATGCCAGCCAGTCGGGTGAGAGCGCTTTTGGCCACCGAATTCATGCCGTTGTAGCTCAAATCCAGCTCTAGTAGAGTAGGAAGGGCGCCGAAGGTGCTGGGTTTGATGGCGTTGAGGCTGTTGTGGCTCATGTTGATGTATCTCAGCGAGAACAACGTTTGGAATACGGAGTTGTAGATATCGGTGAGGTTGTTGTATGAGAAGTCTATGGTGTGGAGTTCGTAGAGTTTCGGGAAGGTTTTTCTCGGTATGGTGGTGATGGAGTTGTGGGATACGTTGAGGATTCGGATTCCTGTCATGTTTTGTAGTGGAATCTGGAATGTTAGCAGCAAAATTGATAGAATATGTTGCTGCCTGGGCAGCTTTTGTTGAAACGTACCTGTGAAAGATTGGTGAAGAAGTTGTAAGACAGCTGGAGTTCAGTGGCGTAGGTTGTTTCGTCGAAGGCCTTCTTGGAGATGCTCTCCAATTGATTGTAGGACAAATTCAATACGGTGATGTTGGCGCAATTCTCGAAAGCGCCGTCCTCGATTTTGTTGATTTGGTTCCTCGACAGATTGATGTCGGTCAAGAAGAGAGCTTTGAACGACAACTTTTGGATTTCCCGGATTTGATTTTCGGAAAGATCTAATATCTGGAAATGAAACAAGTTATGATTTGGAGCAAATTTGTGAGCGTTATTATCACCTCGATAAAATTGAGATCGACGAACATCTGGTAATCGATTTTCTTCAATGTATTGCGCGCCAAATCGATTGTTCCGATTCTCTTCATCGAGCTGAACGTTCCTCGGCCAATATCCCCGATTTGGTTGTCGGCCAAGTACAATCGCCTCAAAAACCTCATTCCTCTGAAAGTATTCTGGTCCAATTTCCTTATCTTGTTCCCGGACATGTTGAGCACCTTCAGCACTGTATTCCTCGCGAAAGCTCCTCTAAAAATCCAATAAATTAATCACTGAAGTCTGCACATAGAACCACTCACCTGGTGATTTCTGTGAACCGGTTATTAGATACATTCAACCAAGACAGCTTGGTGAGATCCATTAGATGGGACCCGTCGATTTTGGGTATCTGGTTGAAACTCAAATCCAAAACCTCGACGTCCCTCAAGCCTTTAAACTGGTTCCTCTTGAGGTCTTTTATCTGATTGCCGTGTAAATCGAGAGTTTTCAGCTTCCTCAAGGGCTGTAAACTCTCGGGCAGCGGCGTCGATAAGTTTCCATCTGCTATGTGAAGCCTCAAGAGAGTTCCTGTCATGGAACTGGACGCGAAGCTGTCTTTGGGGATCTCGCTCATCCTGTGCGTGCTTATGTTCAATGTAGTCAAGCTGCCTAAAATCTGTACAGTACCGATGAAGTATAATATGACTGATGGAGGTTTTTTATGTAGTTACTTTGAAAGCTGATGTGGGAAATTCCTTCAAGCTGGTGTTTCTGAGATAGAGCTCGCTCAAAGTGTTGTTGACGCCGAGGAAGGTGTGCTCGTCGATGGTTTCTATTGGTGTGTCCTCTATCAGTAAAACTCGCAGGTTTAATTTGTAGAGTAGGCTTCCAAATAGTCTTCCTGTAATGATTATTTTATTCATAATTTAATTCCACATTAGTTAATTTTGTGTGCACAGAACCTAATTGAAGCATCCAACGTGTTAAATCAAGATTAATAAATATCTAGAAGGTTGGATCAAAAGATGTAACGTCACTGATAGGATATGATGGAATATTAATGATAATTTCATTTTCAATCGTCGTCATTTCGAATTTGAAAACACAAAAGTAGTTTTATATTTAACTTTTATCGTCATTTTTTTAATTCATTTACTATTTAGTGCTTGATTTAATTTGAAAATTTAAATTTCGACGCCATCTTTACGACGCCATCTGTCAAATTTCCCACTTTCGATCGCGTCTAAGGTTACGATTCCGTGACGATACCGCGAATTCTGTCTCCGCTCACCACACCGTGAACGTAACTGCAAAAATTCTCACCTATGCTGCATTTGTAAATCGTTAATTTTTCTATCGGTAAATCGAACGTGGCCAAATTGTTAAGGCCGATGCTCATCGACGCCAAATTCGTGTTGTTGCAACTCACGTATATTCCGTTATCGGACTCGATGTCGCACGTGCACGGATGGAGCAGCAATTTGTCCTTCGGGCAACGGTATTTCGGACCTGGAGGGATGTACTCCCCCAGGATAATCTCCCATAACAACAAAATGGTAAATAATTGCAGAAACCACATCGTAATATCGCCTAGAAAAATTAAATTTGGTGAAGGGATGCACTGCAGTTGCATTCATCCATTAATTTCTAGCTTAATATTTTATGACAATATGCGTGATTTAAATATTAAGTCATTGTAAGTTTGTATATTTAAGAAATAACTACTTAGGTGTTAAAATTATAAATAGTTAGAGATCTTATTTAGGTATAAAAATAAATATTACACCAACCAAGGAAGGTAGAATTAGGCATTTTGCAATACATTATTCAATCAAATTTGCTCACTTACCTTCAACACTTGAGATATAAACTAATAAAACAGAAACTAAACAATTTTCCCCTAAGTTAACATGATTTCTAGCGAGGAAGAACAAACATTTAAGTTGCAGGTTTGTTGTTATTTCGAAGCAATGGGGCCTTTGACTGATATTATTCACTTCTTTCAAGGCGAACCGAGGCGGATCCGCCAGTTGCGTTTACTTTCTAATAAAATTTAAATTACCAACGTGCGCGAAATGAGCGTTTAATTAAACGAGCCATTAGTTGACAATTTTTAACGTTAATTAAATTTCTGGACGGTTTATTAGTTTTTTTATCGGTTTTAGGGGAAATCGAATTGATAATTTTCTGAGGATATCGAGGTCATCGACATAGTTTCTTTCTGCACTTGGATGTTACACTGTTCATGGCATCTCTTGGTGCTCGAAAGAAGTTCGATCGATGTGGAGGAAAATTCGAGTAGAGTTCTGTTGTAGAATTTTGCTGTTTAAATAAAATAGATGCAAATGCAGAAAATTTAGAAAATATGATAGATGCATTGAAATGAGTGATTTATTTTTTTATTCTTTTTGTTTTTTAAAATTCTTTGTCATTTTGAAGAAAAACGTTAATGCTACTTAAAATCGTCGAGAATTCAAAAGTTGGCTATATTTATGTTAAAGTTGAGTTAAACAACATATTTTAGGCTCCCCTACACTCTCCAGCCCTGTGTCGGCTTTTATTCAGGACACCCTGTATATTTCATAGACAATTAACATTTTTATTAATAAAAAATCGACCGAGTCGATTTAGTTTGACATTATGGGTAATCGCTTTTGCAATATGGCCATTTCTATGAGTTGAACAATGAATGATTATTAAAATAACAATTAATTATTAATTAAAGTGAGAAAGTTGCTTATTCACAATATCACTCATTCTTTTTCCTATATATGAGACTAATGGAAGTTGTCTTTGTTACACCCATAGACCATACAAATTTGCATTTGCTTTACAGGTCTACAGCCAAAATAATTTGTTACACCCTGATGTACAAACTTATCATCAGTGATTTTATAATATGTAATTAATTACAATTACAATTACTTTTGACAATTTGTAATTAATTGCAATTACAATTACAAAATTTGCGAATGTAATTACAATTACAATTAAAGTTACAATTACAATTACAATTACATTCACAATTACTTTGCTTTGGTGTCAGTTTTAAAAAATTATTTAGGGATTTGCAATCGGAATTAAACTTTCCACGTATTGAAAATATTAAATAAGTACTTTTGTGTCCAATGTAATTGAAATGTAATTGTAACGAAAGGAATAATTGAATTACAAATGAATTACAATTGAGGAGCTTGTAATTAATTACCGCCTCAATTACAATAAAAGTAATTCAATTACTTTTTCAATTACTTATAATTAATTACTTAACAACACTGCTTATCATTGAAATTATTACATGAATTATCTTCCAATAGAAAAAATACAATTATCTTCATCTTGTATTCTCAAATTTAAGCATATTCTCTATTTACTACTGTATTAGTCATTCTATCGATACCCTATTTTCCTCGGCTCTATTTTATCCTAAAACTTGAAAGGACCCTTAATGGGAGTTTTTAATTCGATACCCTCGAATCGGTCGCAAAAAAACAAAAACTCCTCCAAGACATTCGACGTCAATTGTTTATCATCCATTCCCCGCTTACACAATGGAATTTCCTCCCGGAATATTTCCCGCGAATCATATCTTTTGTTACTTTATTTTGACAAATGTTATTTTCCGAGATCGTCGAAAACACTCGTAAATAAACTGGCAAAATGGGCTGTCATGCGATTTCGAGCCAACCGAAAGGCGACTGCCATTCGACGGACGCACGGGAATTCCTCCAAACGTCTCCCGAATTTTCAAAAAAGAAATTAATTCTGGTGATAAAGGGGAGTGTTAGATGAATACTATTATAATATTGTTTAAACTATTTATAAAAAGGTAATATATTTGTAGAAAACCTAAGAGTATAATGTAAGAAATTGAAGAGAAAAATTAGAAATTTCTTCGCAATTACCTTATTGTACAAACGTATAATTTGTAACCGTTGTATACAAATTTCGAGCAAATAAATGGAATTAACATTATTTGCATAGCATCGACAAGTCTTAAATATTCATAGCTAAGTATTTATGCAAAAATTTATTCATTTTTTTTGGATCTTAAACGTTAAAAATAACATTGAAAGTCCTATGTATATTGTTTCCACTGCACTTTGGTCATTGATTTCTAATAAGTAATTTAATTCATAAACTTAAATTGACTATATGAGGGAAAATAGCCGTATTACTTACAAGGTTTTCTCATCAGATTGTTCTGGTAAATTCAGTAATCTTGATATAGATACACTTCTTAATGCTTTTAACTTGTCATCGAACTTACTCAAAAGGCTTTGTTCTTGAGCCTTCTTTCAAATCTACTGTTACGAAGGAGTTGGATTTCCTCGGCATACACGTATTAATGAAATCGATCTTCATGTCACCTAACAAATTTTATGATTTGTCTATTTATTTCCAAATACCCTTGAGGTTGTTTGCTTCCAATATTCTGCTTGTTATATGCTTCTATTATTGTCTAGTTGTGCCATTTGAATAACATTTTGGTAATTTTACTTTGTTACATTTGCATGCACAACATTTAATTTAACAAATATGCATGTAAATTATGACCCTAAATCTTTATATCTTATTATTTTATATACAGGGTGTCCCTCATAAGAATCGACACAGAGCAGGGGAATATAGGGGAGTCTAAAATAAGTTTTTTTAACCAAACTTTAACAATACAGCCAATTTTGAATTATCGACGATTCTAAGTAACATTGATAGACTTTATTTTTTAACGTTTTTCTTCAAAATGCTTCTCGAAATTACCTATTAATAGAACTAATAATTTATTATATGATATATAAGGTAAATAAATTCTGTAACATTTTAAGGGAGCATCATCCCTGATGAACCCTTTAAAATATGACTAATATGACCAATACAGTAGTAAATAGAGAATATGCTTAAATTTGAGAATACAAGATGAAGATAATTGTATTTTTTCTATTGGAAGATAATTCATGTAATAATTTCAATGATAGGTTTGTACATCAGGGTGTAACAAATTATTTTGGCTGTAGACCTGTAAAGCAAATGCAAATTTGTATGGTCTATGGGTGTAACAAAGACAACTTCCATTAGTCTCATATATAGGAAAAAGAATGAGTGATATTGTGGATAAGCAACTTTCTCACTTTAACTAATAATTAATTGTTATTTTAATAATCATTCATTGTTTAACTCATAGAAATGGTCATATTGCAAAAGCGATTACCCATAATGTCAAACTAAATCGACTGGGTCGATTTTTTATTAATAAAAATGTTAATTGTCTATGAAATATACAGGGTGTCCTGAATAAAAGCCGACACAGGGCAGGAGAGTATAGGGGAGGCTAAAATATGTTGTTTAACTCAACTTTAACATAAATATAGCCAACTTTTGCAGCATTGATAGACTTTATTTATTAACGTTTTTATTCAAAATGCTTCTCGGAATTACCTATTAATAGAACTAATAATTTATTATATGATATATAAGGTAAATAAATTCTGTAACATTTTAAGGGAGCATCATCCCTGATGAACCCTTTAAAATAATTCAATTTATCTTAGCTAACTGTCGATTAATGCTCTTAATGCACTCATAAAGTACCTACCTATATCAAATTTAGTTATTTTAGCTAGAATATTACTGATTTTTTAATTTGTTACTCTACTTTGAAGACTTATAAATTCTCAGGAATATAACTTTCTATTAAATTAAGTCTGGTTTAACTAAATATTTTGGGCTCCCCTACACGACCCTGCTCTGTGATTATGTGGGACACCCTGTATTTCAATTTCTTACTCTTTTCATTTATAAAACACTAAATTTTACAAATATATATAAAAATTATCCGAATATCCTCGTACCCTTATATCATATTTCCATTTATTTCAATTTGTAACTTATTTATTCATTTAGATAACACTAAATTTCACAAATATGCATGAAAATTATCCAAATATCTTCATATCCTTATATCTTCAGATTTCATATTATTTAAATTTCTTACATTTGTATGTATAGATACAAATTTCATCCACCCATAATAAGTAATTTCAACAATTATACTAGAATTCTAATAGTAGATTATTGAATCGAGTTTCGCCCCGGACTTCGCATCCCCGTCGACCTTCTCCGGTTACTTTTCGAAAACCGGAGGACGAAATCCGTATCCCGTTACGCGCCGTCTTAATTCCTACAGCCGGATCGAAGAGCTAGGCGTCGCGGCGCCCCGGAACGGCGCCAATAAACTTCCAGCGGTTGTCCCGGCGATTCCGGCGATCCATTCGCGTACGAGGCCAAACGCGGCCGCCGACGAGCCCGGGGGCAGGACCAAAATTCGACGGACGGGCGTCGATTCGACACCCACCGATCGTTTTTTTGGAAATTATTTTTAGAGCTTTCCTGGTGATAATAATTTCATGTTTTGTATCATGAATGCACCAGAAAAATACCAGTATTCTCATATTTATAAACGTTTTTGTTGGTTTTAACAGAATTTTTGTAATGATAAATATTTTTGTTTTATGAATTTATTTAATCGTTTAGTGGCTACTTAAAGTCTGGAAACATCCAATACAAATAATATTTTCAAATTACACAATGTTACTGCAGAATTTTTCATTAATAAAATCGTGCCAGTAATCACAAGTATGGAGATTTTGTATGAGAAAATTTATGATTTGTTTTAGACATTTTTGTCGACACCCACCGATCGTTTTTTTGGAAATTATTTTTAGAGCTTTCCTGGTGATAATAATTTCATGTTTGTATCATGAATGCACCAGAAAAATACCAGTATTCTCATATTTATAAATGTTTTTGTTGGCTTTAACAGAATTTTTGTAATGATAATTATTTTTGTTTTATGAATTTATTTAATCGTTTAGTGACTACTTAAAGTCTGGAAACATCCAATACAAATAATATTTTCAAATAACACATTGGTACTGCAGAATATTTCATTAATAAAATCCTGCCAGTAATCACAAGTATGGAGATTTTGCATGAGAAAGTTTATGATTCGTTTTAGACATTTTTGTCGCATTTGCTGACGTTGTTACCGTGGTAAGTATAAAGGAAAATAGTATAATAAAAGTCGGTTTCTTAATAATTTGCATTGCTGATTCCATGCACATACTTGAACTCTGAGAAAAATAAAAACAAAGGGTCGAATGTCGCACGTTTTTTAAAAATTGCATATGAAACAATATAAATGATCAATTATTTTTATTCGGTTTTAGTGCTTGTTGGTATTTACGCGGTGCTGTATATTTTCTTAAAAAAAATTGCCGAATCATAATGGAAAATTAGTCGAAAAATCCGTAAGTATTTTGTTTAATTAGTGTAGTAATATTTAGAGAACTGTACACTGTTTTGAGGGACTTTTGTAAAGGATTTTCGAGAAAATTTGTGCTTAAATTCTTTTAAAATAACGTTTTATAGTTCTCAAAATTTTGTAAAATGTTCCAAATTACTTAAATTCTATCCCAAATATTCTTCTAGATGATTATTTAAAAAGTCTTCCAAAGTAATTTCTAAAAATCTCGATATTTTACGATAGGTAGTCTTCTTTTTAAAATACAAAAATGTCCATGTAATTTGTCCAAATTAACAAATCTTACAAAAAAGGCCAAGTTATGAACCCAACAATTTCATAAACCAAGGACCAAAAACGTACGAAAATCAATCCAACCCCCGCCCATAATATTGCATTTCCATTTTCCCAAATTCTAAAATTTTACCGCCGGCCACCCCTCCCCGCAGAGCCCGCCCATCCGGCCCAACTACAATAACAACCCCGATAAAACTAGCAATAAATAAAATTCCACCGGGGTCGAAAACAACTCTCGCAGGGCCACCCGCCCCCGGGCCCCCAAACCCGGCTTTTTACCGTTCGAATTTCCCGAAACGTTTCGGCGCCCGGCCGAGGCGGCGCCGCCAACGCCCCTCGACCGGCGACGCGACGTCGACGTCGTTCTCTTCTCGTCGCGGCGCTCGAATAACAAATTGTTATAACATGGGAAAGCACAAACAAGCGGTTTTTTGCGCGGGAAAATCGCCTCGCAGGATTGACGCGGACACGCGGCGGGGATTACCCGAGTGCTGTTGTCACTCCGGTAATGGTTTCACCATTAAACGTCCTTTTTTTTCCTGCTCGATTTCGTAGAGCCGATAATTGGTTTCTTTTCCTGCTATTTTCAAAATTGATGTTGCAAGTCGCTGGAATTAATTGATGACGTTTCAGATTTTAAATAGCTTCGAATAATTAAGTGTGCAAATTGAGTGCAAAATAAGCATTAAAGGTTAAGTTGAAAGGTGAAATGGCTAACATAACTTTATAAATATTGAATGTTAAATGGCATTGTTTTTTTTTCTGCAGTAGAATTTAAATTAAATATTGCAGGATAATTTAGCTCGGAGCTGATTTTTCGCTTCAATTCTGCAAATATTGAAGTAAAGTAAAAAGACAAAAAAACTAACAAATTCGTGAGTATTGTATGTGATTATTTGCGGTTTTAAAATAAAATCATGTGCTTAGTGGCGGTAATATTTAGGAACAGTTTAATTAAAGACAAAATGCGATAAATTCCGCGATATAAAAGGGGGTGATTGCAATAAGGCAATAAAAAATAAATGCAGGAAAAATGCCGTTGATAAATAACTTTATTAGCCGTTGTAAAGTTTAATGATCATGGAGAAACTTTTCAATATCTTATCTTCAGTGGAAGTTTTAATCAACCGATATGGTCTAATCCACTCGGCGACCCTTCGCAATTGTTTTATTGTCCTCCATATATCCGGATAGCTCGATAAACTTGTTCGCTCTGTCATCGCACTTAGAGTTACTTACTTTATAGGCCAGTTTCTCCGGGCTCGAATTTTTATCCTTTATTATCCTTATACACTTTTATCTCCCTTATTTTTAGTAAGATTCCTTTTGGTCATCCCTCAGATATTTTTTGCTCGTATTTATAGCATTCACAACCACAAATAGACCCTTCTTTGTACCATTTTATTCACAATTCGAATTTTATTTATGTAATACCAGAATAAGAAAAACGTATCCACTTAATGCTACAAACTCCGGCCTATTCATCTCATCCCTTCATCTCCTCCATGTATTAATCAATCAGCATAGAGCATGTCTAGCAATAAATCCATAAAGATAAAATATGGACCGTTATGAGAGATATGATAAAACTTTTGCTCGACTCGACCCCCTCGAACTGTCTAATGTTACCCCATAAAAGAAATCACTAAATATCGGCGGGTCGGGGAGGCTCTCCGGCCCCCGGAGAAGGACCCGCATCGACGTGGACGAATTCGCTCGTTTCTCGCGATATCCGGCCCGCTGACGCATTTCCGGGAAAGAGTGATCCATGACTTTTTCGCCCATTGTTCGCTTCGATACAAACAAATTTGGGGAAAGAAAGGGAAATCCGACTCTTCGTTTTTAATATTCAGAAATTCGGGGGAACTGGAAGAGCTTGTAAGAGGGATGGATGAAAATGATGGGAGCTAGAAAAGTTTGTTCGGTGTTTTCTATCATTAAGTTGAATCAATACATTCGAATTGCTTGTAATAGAACCTTTCAATATTAGAGATAGATTTGTTACAGAATAAAGTATAGAACTCTATTGAATAAGTTTCCTGGGAATTTCATAATTATCTTCTTTTTTTTTTAATTTCTTGAAGTTTTGGAATTGATTCTGAATTTATTAGTTTTTATGAAATTGTCAGAGAAAAGGCACCTATTAAATTAAATATCTTTCCTAAACATTTCATAATTATCTTATATTTGATATTTTCTTTATTAATAATTATCTTAATTTTCTCTTAATTCTTGAACTTTTGGAATCGATTCTAGTTTTATTAATTTTTATGAATTTGTCAGAGAAAAAAGCACCTATTAAATTAAATATCTTTTCTCAGCATTTTATAATTATCTATTTTTTTTTAATTTTCTGAATTAATAAGTACCTTAATTTTCTATTAATTCAGGAACCTTTGGAATTTATTCTAATCTTATTAATTTTTATGAATTTGTTAGAGAATAAAGCACATATTAAATTAAATATCTTTTCTCAGCATTTTATAATTATCTTATTTTTTTAATTTTCTGAATTAATAAATACCTTAATTTTCTATTAATTCTGGAACTTTTGGAATTTATTCTAGTTTTATTAATTTTTATGAATTTGTTAAAGAAAAAGCACCTATTAAATTAAATATCTTTCCTCAGCATTTCATAATTATCTAATTTTTTTAATTTATTTGATTAATAATTATCTTAATTTTCTCTTAATTTTTAAACACTTGGAATCTATTCTACATTCACAATTTTTTTGTATCCTTCTATACTTCTCAATTTTTAAATACTCCTTAATCACTTAATTTAATCCTTAATACTTCAATACTATTCTTAACTATCTACAATTAATTAACATTTAGTTAATAATAAACAACTCAAAGATGTTTTCGCAGCATCTATTCTAGTGAACAGAATCAATTATCGATCGATCGATTCCGAATGCAAATCGATGCCCCTCATCTAATTCGCTGTAATTGCGGACGAATGTGCTCGATGAGACTCGCGCGCGAAGGGGACGGGATTTTTATCGTCCCATACTGAAATTTTACGACCATAAATAACCCATTAAGGGTCGCCCTCGGAGCGTTCGCGACAAAGTGAGCTCCGACGATATTATCTCGTCGACGGACTGTAAAATGCGACCCCCGTACGCGCAAAAATCGCCGGCATAAATTAATCCGGAGGACGCCGGCAATCTTCGAGGGATGACAAAGCGATTATGCACTTTGTACGTTGATTCGGGCGCAATTGTCGACTTTGTATTCGTATTAATTTCGGCCTGTCGCTACAATGAAACGCTCGCTTTGGCGGATCCTCGGGGAGGCGCGTCATCGCTTTAATGGGATTTGTTTATTTTATTCTTCCAGAAGATGCAGTCCGACGTCGAAATTGTGATTAGCGGCGTCTCGGGGAGGTTTCCTTATTGCAAAGACTTCGAGGAATTTAGGGACGTGTTGCTCGATGGAATCGAATTGCCTAGGGAAGAGGACACGAGGCATCCAAGAGGTAGGTATCATGTATAATGGAAAATATACGGGGTGGCCCAGAACTCACGCCCCACCGGGAAATCCCTTATGGAAACGAAAATGGAGATGCCAAAACTGCAGTCGAAGGCAGGAAAAAGTTATTCCTTTGGTAAATAAAGAGTTTCAAAATCGACCAATCCCAGTAGGAATTCATATCCACGAAAATTACGAGAATTAGCTATACACCAATTTGACATTATTGAAAGATTCTATTTCTTTTACACTTTCAAGGTTAACAAAAGCTACCAAAATCAGCTGTGACTATTGATCAAAGATTTGCTTCCAAATCGATCATTCAGGAGCTTCGTCGTGCTGATATCAAACCTACAGAATTTTTTATTGTTTCAAAAGTGGTTCGAATCGAATGATCCATTTTTTGATCGATTATAAAGCAAATCTTTGATCAATAATTACAGCTGATGTTGGCAACTTTTGTTAACCTTGAAAGTAAAAAGGACGAAGAATCTTTCTGTAATGTCAAATTGGTGTATAGCTAATTCTCGTAATTTTCGTGGATTTGAATTCCTACTGGGATTGGTCGATTTTAAACCTCTTTATTTACCAAAGGAATAACTTTTTCCTGCCTTCGACTGCAGTTTTGGCATCTCCATTGTCGTTGTCATAAGGCATTTCCCGGTGGTGCGTGAGTTCTGGGCCACCCTGTAGAAAGTTCACACAGGGTGTTAATTAATAAGTGCGACAAACTTCTGGGGATGATTCTGCAAGAGAAAATAAATGATATTTTGCTATATAAATATATGTTCGCAAATGCTTCATTTTCGAGATACAGGATGTTAAAGTTAAAGAAAGACATCTATTTGCTCTATCCAATTTTCTTTACTTACTGCCTAAGTCCTCGCCACAAAGGCTACAACAGCATCTACATAAAAAAATTTCATCCTCATCTCACGAGTACTCCACCATCTTCAATATTTCTTCTTATTTTTTCCTCCAAATTCCTCAGGAATATGGGGCTTACCGACCAGAGTAGCCACCATGAACGACGTCGACAAATTCGACGCCTCCTTCTTCAACATGCACCCCAAACTAGCCGAATGCACGGACCCCAAGCAGCGGATCCTCCTCGAAACCGTCTTCGAAGCCATCGTAGATTCCGGCTACAACCCGAGCGAGCTCAGAGGCTCGAACACCGGTAGGTCCTCTAACTCCCAATCCGCATCAACTTGAACCGTTAATCTCGCGATACAGGCGTCTACCTCGGCATTTCCTCGCCCACCCACGTCGATTCCTACCACAAGAAAGACACCGGCGGCTACACGAACCTGGGCTACCCGCTGGGGATGACGGCCAACCGGATCTCCTACAACTTCGACCTCAGAGGGCCCAGCCTGTCGTTGGACACGGCCTGCTCGAGCGGCCTCTACGCCCTGGTGGTGGCTGTTAACCAGATGAAGGCCGGACTGGTGGACAACGCGGTGGTCTGCGCTGCGAATTACATCTGCCACCCGCACGAGAGCTTGGAGTTCAACCGGCTGAACATGCTGTCGCCTGTGGGTGAATGCAAGGTGTTTTCGATCGAGAGGGACGGGTACGCGCGGTCCGAGGCGATCGTGGTGTACCTGCTGCAGAAGCGACGGGACTGCAGGCGGCTGTACGCCACGATTTTGGGCGCCAAGTACAATTCCGACGGGTTCAAGAAGGAGGGCGTCACGTTTCCGTCGAGCGAGGCGCAGTTCGGCTTGATGAGGGAGGTTTACATCGAAGCCGACGTGGATCCTAACGAGGTTGTGTTCGTCGAGGCGCACGGAACAGGTTTGTAGTTGGCCAGGTGTCTTCGGTTTCGCAATGTAAAATTGTTTCGCAGGAACTAAAGTGGGGGATATACAGGAATGCGAGGCGCTGACGAGGTTGTTTTGTTCGAAGAGAGAAGCGCCTCTCCCGATCGGCGCTGTGAAATCTAACATGGGTCACTCGGAAATTTCCTCGGGATTGTGCTCCTTGGCTAAGGTGGTGATAGCTATGGAGACGGGCGTAATTCCAGCGAATATACACTTGGATAAACTCGATTTAACGTTGCCTGGAATATGCGACAATAAACTTCAGGTAAGTACCTCGGCGGATTTTGGAAGGCGAGTGCGAATTGAGGATATTGCAGGTCGTCGGTAAAAACATGAAGCTGGAAAAAGGACCCATTGGAATGAATTGTTTCGGTTTCGGCGGAGCCAATACTCACGTTATACTAACATCGAATGCGAAGGAGAAAACCAACAATTACAAACGTCCAAATTACAGATTAGTACAAGCTTCCGGAAGAACCGAGGAAGGTCTCAAGCGCGTTTTCGCGTCTATACAATCCAACCGAGTCGATCAAGAATTCCTAGCTCTGATCGATGAAATACACAAAACGAACATCGCGGGCTACAAATACAGAGGGTACATTGTACCAATCGCCTCGTTTCGCTTCCATTCAAATCTCTTACTTTCAGTTATACAGTACTAGGCGAGGGGCCAGTAGCTCACACAACCAAGTACGCCGGCAAGCGACCCGTTTGGTTCGTTTACGGCGGATTGGGGGCCCAATGGAACGGCATGGGTAGAGACTTGCTGAACATCGAAGTGTTCCAGAAATCCATAAAACGCTGCGCCGCTGCTTTAAAAACTTATGAGATAGATTTACTGCAAATCCTCACCAGCGATGATCCAACAATTTTCGACGATATAACCAACTGTATATGCGCCATTGTCGCGCTAGAAATCGCCTTTACAGATTTGTTGCAATCGCTTGGTGTGGTTGCAGATGGTGTAGTTGGTCATTCGATTGGAGAAATTGGCGAGTACACTTTACCTATGCTACAATAATTCCGCTTCCTCCATACTTCTCGCGTTCGTTTCTTTTTTTATAGGAGAAAAATTAGTGATCCTGTCGTATTATTTACAGGATGTGCTTACGCAGACGGGTCAGTAACAGCCGAGCAAGCCATACTCCTGGCATATACCATGGGTCACGTCTCAAAAACCACCGAAATGGTTCGCGGGCAAATGGCCTGTATAAATTTACCGCAGGAGAAACTGCTGGCCGTTCTTCCCGAAGATGTATACATAGCGTGCAGGAATTCGAAAACTAACTGCACCATTTGCGGTCCAAGCGACGAGGTGATGAAACTCGTCAACCAGTTGCACTCGCGAGGGGTTCACGCCAAGCTAATCAATTCCTGCGGAGTGGCTTACCACACTAAGTATGTGACGGAAGCGGGGAAGCGTTTGTTGGGCTTCTGCGGGGATATCTTGAACGCCCCCAAACCGAGATCGAGCAAATGGGTATCCAGCTCCGTCCAATCGAAGGAAACCCCGCAATGGGCGAAGCTCAGCTGTCCAGAATACTTCCAAAACATCATGTGCAATTGTGTGGTATTTGATCAAGCATACCAACAAGTGCCAAAAGACGCTATAATCGTTGATATGGCTCCGCATGGGTTGTTGCAAAACGTTCTAGAAAAACAGCAAATCCACGTTGCTCTTGTTGATAAAATGAGCGAGAACAACGAGAGGTTCTTCTTAAACGCTATTGGAAAGTAAGTGTATTTTCCAGATGCCTTAAGTCTTTTTATATATTTGTGTTCGAAGGATTTACATATCTGGAGGACAACCTAACCTGAGAAGCTTATACCCAGAAGTCTCCTTTCCCGTTTCGCGTGGAACTAAAATGATATCGCCATTGATCGATTGGGATCATAGAAAATCCTGGTGTTGTGCAAGTTTCAAAAACCGGGATTCCTTTGGAAGGGAAGTGACTATTAATCTGAAGGATAAGAAATACTCCTACTTGGAAGGTCACATTGTAGATGGAAAAGTTCAGATGCCTTTCGCTGGATATTTGGTAACTAATTAGATTACTCTTCCAGGAAGTGCAGTTAATTGTCGCTTTTTAGGAATTAGTCTGGCGAATGGTGGCCGATTTCAATTTGAAGAACATCGAGGAATACCCAGTTGTATTTAAGAACGTGGAATTAAAACAACCAGCGTGTCTCCACTGCGATAAAGAGGTTAGTTTTCTGGTGAACGTGATGTCCCAATCTGGTGGATTCGAAATATTCCACAACGGATCACTGGCTTGCTCAGGAATTATCCAATCCGCGAAAAAAGTGGAATTCGCTCACACAGAAGCCCAAAAACCTGCGAATCCCGTCATGAAACGGGAAGACGTTTACAAGGAATTTCACATGAGGCAGCGGGATTACGAAGGCTCTTTTCAAGGTGTTTCTGAGTATGATGTGAGTGATTTCCGCGGAACCATCGAATGGAAGAAGAACTTCACCAGTTTCATTGATGCCATGTTTCAAGTTGCTCTGCTTTCGGATACTTCTAGAGATTTAGTGGAACCCAGCTTCATTCTGAAGTTAGTGATTGATCCTCTTAAGCATTTGGACTTAGTGAAGAAGATACAAGGTGAGTTTTTGTTATTATTTACATGTTATATGTAAAAATATGCGAATTTTCACAATTCCAGCTATACCAGTGTCGTACGATGGGGAGCTGAACGTGGTGAAATCCGGTGGAGTAGAGATAGAGGGAATTGAATGTAGAAGAGTAGAACGACAAGGGAATGTTCAACCACCACCAGTACTGGAATCTTATGAATTTGTTCCTTACGAAGCGCCGAATAATTTACACGATTCCGATACTTCTTTAAGAATTGCTGCTGCTGTTGTTACTGAGAATGTGAAATCGCGAGATGGAGTAAAAATATGCGAAATCGATGGACAGGCAACAATGCAAAAAATTAAATCAATTCTGGACGCGCAATCGATTATATCAGCAGATTATTCATCTCGAAGTGCAAAAGACACGGACGATTCGGAATACGATTTGATAATAGCCGATGGAAACGTTGATTTAAAGAAAATTGTCCCGAAATTAAAAGAAACCGGTTTCATGTTATTAACAGGTGACCACAAAACCGACAAAACCAATCTAGAAGTCATATACGATGGAGCAGATGGAAAAATCCGTTTACTCAGACGGAGATTCGAGCTGCCCAAAAACTACGACATCATCCACATAAATTCTCAAAACTCCGATTGGATAGAAGATTTAAAAAGGATCATCCACCACCCAAAGTCCGGGACAATTTATTTGCTAAACGACAACCAGGACATTTCCATCATCCCGGGCCTAACTAAATGCCTTCAGTTAGAAGCCAAAACCAAATTGAACATCAAAGCGATTTGCTTAGACCATAAGAGCCCGAAATTCTCCACCAGCTGCAAATTTTACAAGGACCAGCTGGAGAAGAATTTGACTATAAACGTCTACAAGAACAACAACTGGGGAACTTACGTGCATTTACCGCTGAAAGAAATGGAAAGCAAACACTCAGAAAATGCCGCCGTTCAAATCACCACACCTGGAGATCTATCAACACTAGTTTGGATAGAAAGGCCTTTCAAAGGCTTAAGGTAGTTGCTTTCAGTATTTATAAGCGCATTTTAGAGGCAAATCGAACTTTTACAAGATTTCTTTAATTTGAGTTATTCGTAGAAGTATTACCTTAATTGTTACAGAACCAACAACACTGATGATCTCGTTTATGTGCATTACTCTGCCTTGAATTCCACGCACGTGAGCCTAGCCAGCGGTAGGCTTACGGGGGAGACCAAGGCAGCCTTGGGGATGGAGTTCTCAGGCATAACGGTTCACGGGAAAAGGATAATGGGACTCACTTCGAGCGAGTCCTTAGCTTTACAAACCAACTACAACAGGCAACTAGCTTGGGAGGTTCCCAAGGATTGGAGTTTAAGGGATGCAGCGACTGTTCCATACGCATATTCTACTGTAAGTACTGATGGTTAGATCTTCTTGTGCTTGGTCCAATTCCTATTAAACTTTCAATAGTTTTCCATCTATAGTATTAACTTTAATTGTTCTACAGTGTTACTACGGACTAATAATTAAAGGCCAATTGCAACCAGGCGAGTCTATTTTAATCCACGCAGCCGCTGGAGGAGTAGGAATAGCAGCAATTAACATTGCACAGTCCATGGGCTGTCGAATATTCATCACCGTAGGTTCGAAGGAAAAACGAGATTTTCTGAAGAACTTATTCCCACAATTGAATGACAATTGCATCGGTGAGACATTTGAATATAATAATACAGTTGATTTTAGAGAGTACACTGTACAAGCTGTTTGAGTAAACGATTAGTGGATGATTATAGAGTGGAATTGAATTTCAGGTAATTCGAGGGACACGTCCTTCGAGGCAATGATCAAGCTGTGGACGAAAGGCCGGGGAGTGGACATGGTGGTGAATTCTTTAAAGGGTCCCTTGTTCGAAGCGTCGATGAGATGCTTGGCGGAGAACGGAAGATTCGTCGAGCTGGGACAAATGGATCGTTCGACGATACCCTCGAAGATGTTCCTCAGGAACATCGGCTTCCAAGGGGTGCAAATCGACCAGGTGCTTCGACGCGACGGAGATATTAAAAAGGAGATTCATAATTTGCTGAGTGAAGGTTTTTATCGTTGTAAATACCCGTATTCTTGTGTAGCAAAATATTAAATTATTTCGCAGGTATAGCTAAAAATGTTGTCAAACCTTTGCCCAACGAGGTTTATGATGCAAACGAAATAGAAACCGCCTTTAGATTGGCGGCATCCGGGAAGCACAAAGGTAAAATTCTGATCGAGTTAAGAAAAGAAAATTCAACGACTTCCAAGTCTCTGAAGCATTCGATAAAAGCTAGACCGAAGCTATTATTCGACGCAGGGAAAACGTACGTAGTAGTCGAAGATTCGGACACATTAGGACTAGAACTGACTGATTGGTTACTGAGAAACGGAGCCAAAAAAGTCGTGCTCAACTCTAAATCTACCGTTAACAAAGGCTACCAATGTTATTGCTTTCGGAAATGGTCTGAATACAAAAACTGCGTAGTCAAAATCGATAATAACGACACAACTACGATGAAAGGAGCTGAATCCTTAATCAAATCAGCCAATCAATTAGGTCCTGTAGGAGGTAATACTCCACCAAATACACTCACTTCTATTCAACTAACATCCCACCTTTCCCTAGGAATATTCAACGTTAGTTCAATGACCAGAAACATCTCTCTATCAAACCAAACCAAAGCCGGTTTTGAAGAAGAAGTTACGAGAAGATTAGCGTCCGGAAGCAACTTGGACGCGGCTAGTCGGAAACTGTGCAAGGACATCGACTATTTCGTCGTATTTTCCTCAATAGCGTCTGGAAGAGGTGCAGCAGGTCATTCGAATTCTGGCATGGCCAATTCCGCTTTGGAACAAATCTGCGAGAAACGCAGAACAGACAACCTACCGGCATTGGCCGTGCAATTCGGGCCTATAGATGGTGAAAGAAATGTGATTTTGGACAATGAAAAGGTTAGTGAAATAACCAACAGTAGGAATGATTTTAAATTTTATGATTTAGTTACTTGCCTCTGATTCCCATTGCATCTTTAGGGTGCTCTTTATTTTTCTAATATAGTATTTAATAAATAGTTCCAGCCACAAACGATAGAATCCTGTTGGAGAGTATTGGAAACCTTCATGAATCAAGATTCTCATGTAATTGTTGCTTCCACTGTTTTCCAAGATGCTGCTTCGAGGAGACAGCGGTTGTTAAAAGATACTCCTCTGGAAGCCGTGACAAGGATTATTGGAGTAGATGATTTAGGTGAATATGGTTTGCATTTCACTATCGAAGCCACAAATAAGCAGTAATTTTTATTGTAGATTTGGTGGATACAACCATAACGCTGGCAGAAATTGGAGTTGATGATTTATTGTTGGCGAAAATTCAAAGCGAATTACTCGCAGAATTTAGCATTGATTTGAAATTTGATGATTTATTAAATCTCACTTTAGATTCATTTAAAGTCATGGAAAACCAAAAGGCTATTTAATTTAGAGAAAAATCCGCAGAGCAGTTTATTACTATTATTGTACAAATGAAATATAAAGTAAGTATAAAATGTAATTAGCTCTGTATGGTAAATTATTTATACCCCTTCGTTACTGCTCTATAATAAATGTGTTTCCTAATAATTTATGGATTACCCAAATTTCATCTAAAGCTCTCGCTTTAGTAATTACACGAAAGTAATTATTAATTTAGGATGATTCAATAAATCTCAGTACAGATTTAATTAAAGCTATGGTATTCCCACTTACTTTCTCTAATTATTAAAAACTCCTGAAAGCAAATAACTACTATTGTGAGCGATTTGAACCATGCAGCCTTTTCCTACTGCTCCATTATTAGATTAATTGGCAGGAGCATCCGTATAGTCCAGATTCCAGGTTCAGCTTCACTATTGCTGAAGTATTAATCACAAACGAATCATCTAATCCATTTGCAACATGAAGATTTATAACAAACCGGAGCCTTCCGGCGAATTACGCGTCCCCCTTATCGACAAAATGACCGCGCGCGACTCGCGAACGGCCTTTTAATTAAGATCTCTTGATCGCATCTCCGGCTAACGATTCTATAATTATAACGAGTTGAATTGTTGATGTAATAAACCGTCCCCGGCAATATTTGTAAGTGGAAACCCTTGTAGAAAAACGACCCTAGCTGTCGCGGGCCGCCCCCGTCGCCCCGACCCCGCCGCTTTGTTATTCATATTTATGTTGTTTATCGACGGGGCCCGAGACCGCCCCGCGCCCGGGACGAGCCGCTCGGAAATAATTCGAGAGCATTTCCACTAGCGGGATGATGCGTGTTCGCCGATACTGCATCGCTTTATTTGCATTGAAATTAACATGAGACGCCGATCTCCTTCCGCTTGTTACTCTTGCTGATTGTCGTAAATTCGAGTGGATGTATAATAGAATAATAGCGACAAGAAGTAATGTTTATACAGGGCTTTTCCTCAAGTTCCCCAAGTTCCTCAAGGTCCACAAGTTCCTCAAATTCCTCAAGTTCCTCAAGTTTCTCTAGTTTCTTAGTTCCTTAAGTTCTTCAAATTTATCTAGTTCCTCTAGTTCCGTAGTTTCTTAAGTTCCTCAAGTTCATCTAGTTCCTCTAGCTCCTTAAGTTCTTCAAATTTATCTAGTTCCTCTAGTTTCTTAGTCCTTAAGTTCCTCAAGTTCATCTATATAGTTCTGCTAATTCGAGTGGATGTATAATAGAATAATAGCGACAAGAAGTAATGTTTATACAGTGCTTTTCTTCACGTTCTTCAAGCTCCTTGAGTTCCTCCAATACCTCGAGTTCCTCAAGTTCCTCGACTTCCTGGAGTTCCTTAAGTTCCTCCAATCCTTCGAGTTCCTTAAGTTCATCTAGTTCCTCTAGTTCCTCTAGTTCCTCTGTTCCTCTAGTTCCTCTAGTTCCTCTAGTTCCTCTAGTTCCTCTAGTTCCTCAAGTTCCTCGACTTCCTGGAGTTTCTCCAGTTCCTCCAGTTCCTCAAGTTTCTCAAGTTCCTCAAGTTCTTCAAGTTCCTCAAGTTCCTCTACTCGTTTAAATCGCTTCGAGAAATTTACAATTCAATCTATTAGTAAGTCACTCACTCGCAAGGCATGTTTACAGCTAGTAGATGGCGAAAAAATCTGAAACAAGCATATACGAATGTAAGTTGCATATGACGCGGCGTCGGTGGGGGCGTCGCGATGCATATCTCTTACCCCTATGTGACACCGCTCAATCCATAAAAGTGATTGAGTGTCCCCTAAGAAACGTTTCGCAAAAGCGATTAGTTCGAGTTGTTTGCGATGGTAAATTTTATCAGATACTTATCCGTCTCCATTTCGCGATCGGCAGCCCCCCGAGCGGGCGAATCGAATACGCACGGAACGCGTCCGTTTCGTCGACGCGCTTCATTAGCCTTCGGCTCGATAGAGCGTCGCGACGGCGGGCGGAAGCCGGCCCGAAAATCCCGAAATCCTCGAGGATGCACTGCGCCTCGCCTGATTTAATAACCGGCGAGATTTATGCGCCTGCAGAAAAGAGTATTACAACGACAAAATTGGTGGTTTGCACCGGTAAACCAAAAAAGTTGCAAGTTGGTTCTTCCTATACGGTTTTTTTTAAGTAATTATAATTATACTTTGTTGCTTAACTATAGTACCACCTTTATTTGCTAATGTTAAGAAACTTCTCTTTCAAATTTGTAGTTCAATTTTGGATTCGTTAAATTTGGAATTTAACATATAAATCGCGGTCACCGTCCTATATTTCTAAGGTCTGGAAACATGGGTCGAAAAAGTGTCCCGTTATTTGAGGATAAAACAGGGTTCCTAAAACGGCCGCTAGGAGGCGATGTTGTTAAGGACCACGGTTTTTTGCGTACGAATTATATAGAATTAGCATTAAGGAAGGTTATAGTTAAACTAAAAATAGATGCAAAATATAAAAATATACCTTAATCAGCGATGATTTTGTTGTTAACATCATGCCTCACGTACCTTCGGTTAATGTATTTCTACATTTTCTCCTCGAAATGTCAAATAATAATTTTTGAAGTTTTGACAGCTTGAACTGTCGTCTCACAACCGCGATTTATATGTAACGCGATGCTGATTGGCTGAGATAAGTTGGTCCTCCGATCGTTCGCCACGGTGCGGCACAAAAGTGAAGCTCAAAAAGTCCTCAAATAACGAGACACATTCTCTAATGCATAAGCATAGGGAGATACCAGACCTTAGAAATATAGGGCCGTGATCGCGGTTGTGTGAAATGACAGTTCGAGCTGTCAAAACTTCAAAAATTATTACTTACATTTCGAGGAGAAAATGGAGAAATACATTAACCGAAGGTACGTGAGACACACGACCCTATATTTCTAGGGTCTGGAAACTTCCTATCCTTATGCATTAGAGAATGTGTCCCGTTATTTGAGGACTTTTTGAGCTTCACTTTTGCGCCGCACCGTGGCGAACGATCGGAGGACCAACTTATCTCAGCCAATCAGCGTCGCGCTACATATAAATCGCGGTTGTGCGAAATGACAGTTCAAGCTGTCAAAACTTCAAAAATTATTACTTACATTTCGAGGAGAAAATGGAGAAATACATTAAGCGAAGGTACGTAAGGCATGATGTTAACAACAAAATCATCGCTGATTTAAGTATATTTTTATATTTTGCATCTATATTTAGTTTGAATACAACCTTTCTTAATGCTAATTCTATAAAATTCGTACGCAAGGACTGTTTTATCCTTAAATAACGGGACACTTTTTCGACCTATGTTTAGGACAATAATGATGGTAATGGAGGTGTTGATGTGGAACGTTTAGCAGAGGAAATGATACGGCCTTTGGCCAGTCCGGGTCTGCCGTGGGTCGTCCGAGCGCGTTTAATTCAGCCTCCGAGAGCCCACGTCAGGCGAGATTCGCGTTGGCGCCGCCGATATATGGGACGCGAAAGGCATGAAATGCTCGCGTAACGTTGGTTTACTTTTTATGGCCCCACGGCGACGACGAATATCCTTTTGATTTTCCGATCCGGCTGACGTGACGGCCTAATTGTCGTTGCACTTATGACGCTTTGATTGCACATGGCACGTTTGGGTTTGGTTTAGGTTTAGGTGCATTTGTGGTGCTTGGTTTTTGAGCACTTGAGGTTTGGGGTAGGTGGGAAAAATGTAGATGTGCTGAGGAAGAGGAGTTGTTGAAGAATTGCGTTGAAATTGCGATGTTCAAAGTATTAGAATTTTGATTTTTTTAGAGAAATTTAGAAAATTTTAGAGGTAATTGTAATTAAGTGAGTTTTATGTAGGTGTTATTTACAATGAAATAAGTTTTAATTTGCTTTAATTAAGAGCACTGTATGTCATTTTTTCAATGTGTTTTCGGGTAATTTGCTTGATCAATTACTCACCATACCTTTTGAGTTATTTTTTTAATTAAGTCATTTTTAATTAAATCTATGCGTATATGGGTAAGTGTGCAATATGGTCAATTCTATGAGTTGAACAAAGAAAGATTATCAAAATAACAGTGGTTAGAGTGAGAAAGTTGCAATCCCACAATATTATTCTTTCTTTTTCTTTATATGAGACTAATAGAAGATGTCTTTGTTCCACACATAGCCTTTATTGCAAAACAATTTTTGCATCTACCTGCATAGTCAATTCTATGAGCTGAACAAAGAGATAATTATCAAAATAACAGTGGTTAGAGTGAGAAAGTTGCAATCCCACAATAACACTCTTTCTTTTCCTTTATACGAGACTTAAGGAAGTTGTCTTTGTTGCACCCATAGACCATATTGCGACCATTGAAAAAAGCATATAAACTTTAGAAATTTTAGAAATTCGACTGGTAATTTTTTTATTTTTAAATCATAGTGTACCACCATATGGTTGGATCACCCTGTATATATATGAATACTTTCTATTCTAAAGGATGGGCTTTCGAAATCGCCCGGTACAAATTCCCCAAATCGAACGCTCCATATAGAGAAGATAAAAGCGAGATTTAACGCAATTTATTAATTCGAGTTCCGCTTAATTAATTCGAATGTCAACAACAAATAAAGAATTGTGTCAACTATCAATGTATTCATATTAGAATTTCCATAACATTTGATAACCGAACGTAGTTGGATTTTTTCGCATCGACAAAGCACGGGCAATTAACTATTAACTATACTATAGCAACGTTCCAACGGTCATTTCTAAATATAAAGCGAATTCGTAAAACAAGTAATTCGCGTTATTAATTCATCGACAGCGACCGTGCGCCCCGATTTAATTCGATCAATTCGCGCCTAATTGCCCTTTTAACCGAACCGCGTCTACGCCGCTGGCCGGACGGGAGGTTGGTTGTCCGATCGGCCGCCAGACGTCGCCACGATAAACACCAGAAAATCAGTCGAAATCTAAATAATCGGGGCTGGGCGTGTTGCTTTCGCGAATCCGTGAATTGTTTAGTGTTTTTTCGATAGATATGTAACAAAACCGATCGGAAGTACAGGTGAGTACGAACATTTCGCACGTTTCCTTTCAGAATGGCCCGTCGGGCACCGACCGCAAACTGACCATTTTAGGCTATACGGAAGTTTAAAGTTTCATGTGTTTGACATAACACTGTCGAGGGGTTAAAAATACATTCGAATCGAATCGAAACCGCCGCGAATCGCTCGATGTTCGCCCGATGAACGGGGTTATTCGCGTTTATTTCGACGTCCATAACCTCTCGGGGTTATTTCCCTCCGTGATTCTCGTTTGTATTGTGTTTACGTTCGCTAATCTGTACTCGGAGAGCTCGAAATGGAATTTCGGCGATATTTTATGCAGCTAATCAATATTTTGCGATTCTGACGTTGACTTTATTTATATTCGGGTTTGACGCACCTACTCCAGAGCCTGCTTTGATTCTGTGCTGTGTACTTTAAAAGCCACCAGGGGCGTAACCTCGAATTTAAGGGTAGTCGCGCTCGACCCGCGAATTTCCAATAAAACTAATTCTAGCGATGTGTTTTAATAATTAATAAAGCGTTGAATCGCGATTCGAATAAAAATAAAACAAACTGCTTATCTGGAATAGAGGTAATTGAAATAGGAAGGAGTCTTTCGTGCGATAAGTTGTCTTGCCTATCGGGTTCTTATCAAACTGTTTGTACTGCTTGAAAGTTTGCTGTAGATTATTATTACTGTCGCTACCTTCTAGATTATTCTAAATTTCATCCGTTTCGTAAATTTCTTCGATCATTCACCGGCCTACTCGTATATGGAGAAAAATAGAAAGTTAATTATGTAACGAAAATTCGATTTGTAAACAACTTTATTTAGGTCGCGTTAGCGCAAATGCGCTTTTTCGCTCCCGATAAAACTGCATTATTATAAAAGAGTAATCTCCCGTTGACATTACGACACGGATTTCCAATAAACGTGACCTCCGCAAAACACGAAATTTTAGTTTAGAAGGCCGAAATAGCCAGCAAACTCGACCTGAAATAACATCGCCGAGCAGTGACACAAGTCTGTTGAATGTTATAAACATTGTTGATACAACAAAGTGGAAAGTTCAAAAGTCCAGCACCACTGCGGTTAAAAACTTTACTGGGGCAAAGTTGGCTTCTGAAACTCTTTTCACTAGATATAGGGTGTTTCCTAACTGCGTTAGAAAATTTGTTTTAAAACTACTGTAGTACTTCTACTGGGCAGAACTCCAAAATGCAGCAATCGACACGTTAATGAGTATTTTTCAAAAAAATTATTGTTTCTACCTGTTAGAAATACAATCCAATAACCTACTATCACATAATCATAAAGCAGATTGTCACGTAAAGTGTAAATTAAGCGACAATTTAAACCGCAACTAAAAACCTGCATATAACAGTCTGTTTAATTACCGGCATTGTTAGTTAATTATCGAACTCTTTGTGTAGTATTTTTCGTGGAGTTAATCGAACCCGCAACGGGTTACATCCTGAGCTATGGAGAAAACTATATTTGGTATTGCCTTGTAGTATTGTCTTGCAACCTCCGTTCCTTCGTGAGGAATACCAGATGCACGTTTTATTGTGAACATAACCAGATGCTTCCTTTTAGAGGTCGGGCCGATGTGAAATAAATTTTTATTCGATCGTTCGAAGGGATTTCGAGCGCAGTTAGGTTAATGAACTTTCTAGTTAATGCCATTTCGGACCGAATTAGTTGATTAATGTCCAATGAACGTTGGGCGGTTTATTTGGAGAATCGGCGAAACGGTATAGATACTGTTGCAATTTGAAGGAATGTAAATACCACACTGCAAATATTTGGAGGGATATTTCACAAAATGGAGATAATGAAAGGATTCTGGGAAAGTGTGTGATATATCAGAGGAAGTAGGAGTATAGGTATACATTATGAGTAATTTTTTGAATGACTACGAATTAATCAGCTTTTATTAATAATTCTTCTGAAGATATTAGAAACAGATAACTTATTAATACATTACACATCAAAATTGAGGCCTTGTCCTTTCATCAACTAATTTGTTCAAATTAAAATTCTTAAAAATAATGGTGATATCATTGATGGATACATCCCACCTCTATAATTTAGAGTTAGAGCCTTTCCCTATAACGTATGAGTACCTACATGATTGATCGAAGGTTTTTTACGCTTGTATTAGCTCTACCTGTTTGCTTTGGGAATGAAGCCCTTATCCCTTTTTTTATTTGTGTCCCTTAAAGTTACTTTTTTTTCATCTTATAACCTGATAACGTGACTATTGAACTTGAATCGCAATCTTCAAAAAAATTCCCGAGCGAATTTTTCTCTTAATTTATTTTCAAATTCAAAATATGTTTATTTGGCAGCAGTTAACGTAATCTCTAATCGTAAGTCTAAGAATACATTATTAGTTAAAACTCTTTCAAATGATTTGTCGACTCATATTTTTTGGCTATTTATAGCGTATCTAGAACGTTTAAAAATATTCTCAATTTTCAAAATGCTCAAACTCCAGCTCCTTCCATTATTATAAAACTATTCTCAAAAACGTTTGACTACCTTCAAGTGCGCAAAATTTTAATCATTACAATTTCAACAGTCAATTGTCGACTGGGGAAAATTGTATTTACACCGTGCATTTTCGTATAAAATGTTTCTGATTTAGAATGAGGATTTCCTCAAAATCTTGGCAGGTTTTCCGACGAATGTTTATAGACACAGACTGAATCACTTGGCGAAAATAGAACGACTACTTCAAGAGTATTATTCGTTACGTTGCTTTGGTTCGTGCGTGAGCGCATATTGAGGTAATAATAACAATACCTTCGATTCGCTACTCTCAGTATACAAGAGAGATTCCAAAAATTCAAAACCACTCCAAGACTATTTACCAGTAAAACATTGCTTGTTGTACAACAAGGTATAAAAAATTAAAGATCTTTGTCATCATTTCTCATCCTTTCTCTCCTTCCCATCTTTAGTTAGTCTGTATACCAGGCGAGAATTACAATGGACATCATCATTAACTCCATCATCCCTATACTTACACCCCGAGCCGAATGAATCGATAATAAGTTCTCGATGGAAAATGCGTGTTCACGCCAGATATGCGGGACACGTGGACGCTACGTGTACCGTTTCCTTCCGCACGTTATCCTCGGCGTCGCGTGTATCGAGAAAAGCGATGCCCGGTCTCGCGGGGAAATATCTTCGGGGGCGCGTTGGAAACGCGGAAACTGCGGGTGGCCGACTGACTGGCGCCCCGGAGACGTTGCCGCTCTACTTGTTTTTTCTCTCCCGGCGATGCTGTTGTGTGTATATATACGCGGCCCCGGGGTGTCCCGATGGCCGCATTGGCGGAGGGACGGAGGATAATTGCGCGGATTGATTTTCCGATAAAGTGGAAATTAACGGTGGTATTTGGTTTTGCAAATTATCGACATGGGATGTATACAGTACATTTCTTTAATGTCCCCCCCCCCTTTTATTTTTTGAACGGGTCAACTTAGAAAATTGAAATTTGGGATAATGAAACTAATGCATGATTACTATATTTTGGAGTAAAATTGACAGATGAAAATTTCAAGATGGCGACTGGGCGCCATCTTGGAAAATAAATTTAAATGGAAAGGGGGGTCTTGTGATACATCATTTTGAAGCTCCTGACAAATACTCTACAACCCTGAAATATAAAGTCAATATCTGCACCTGCTACAAAATGGCGGAACATTTAATAATTACCTGAATACAAACAAAATAATATCAATTTTTCTAGAAATATTTGTTGTTCTATGGCAAACAGCAATCCCAGCAAACCGATAAGGTTTGACAGGTTATTTTTGGTTAAAAAAATTCCAAAAAATTTAAGTACGACAACGAACATTAATTGTTTAGTCAAAATATGCTCATTTAGTTTTTGGTTTTCCTAGTGTTCAAAATATTCTCTTTAGTTTTCGATTCTCCCAGTGTTCAAAGTATTTTCATTTAGTTTTCGGTTGTTTAGTTCTCATTGCAGTTAGGTAGCACGTCAACTAACTCTAAAATGGCCAATTCTCGTCCATTGGAAGATGGAGCACCACCACATTACTCCAGACAAGTAATGAACTATTTGGATGCTATTTTCCCTGGTCGTTGGATCGTTGGATTGGTCGTCGAGGTCCTACGGAATGGATTTGACCAGAATTTGACCAGATTTGACACCTTTAGATTTTTTTTATGGGGCTATTTGAAGCAAAATGTGTACGAAACTAAACCTGCTTCAATATTGGATATACGAGAAATAATTACAGATATTTGTAAAAATATCGACGTTACTATGTTCGAAAATGTTCGGATAGGCTGTTCTTACATTAAGAAGTTCAAGGCAACCATTTCGAGCTTTTTTTGAACAGAACTCAGCTTATTTCCTCAAATTATGACGTTAAACGTCGATTTATTCAGGTAATTATTAAATGTCCGCCATTTTGTAGCAGGTGCAGATATTGACTTTATATTCCAGGGTTGTAGAGTATTTGTCAGGAGCTTCAAAATGATGTATCACAAGACCCCCCTTTCCATTTAAATTTATTTTCCAAGATGGCGCCCAGTCGCCATCTTGAAATTTTCGTCTGTCAATTTTACTCCAAAATATAGTAATCATGCATTAGTTTCATTATCCCAAATTTCAATTTTCTAAGTTGACCCGTTCAAAAAATAAAAGGGGGGGGGGACATTAAAGAAATGCACTGTATACATAGTATGTGTACAATCTATCGGATATTTCTAACTTGAGTTGATAACAAGGGGGGTTAAGTAGATTGGGGAATTGGTGGGATGATGTGATTAATGTTTTGAGTTTATTTGTGCAAAAATGTAATGTGGAAATAGAGAGCGAAATTGAAGGGAAAGATTAGGAGAAAATAGAAATGGAATTAAGAATGTAAAGCTGTACTGGAATCAGTAATAATATAGCAAATAAAGACCTTATTTGCCTCTTATTCCACTATTTTTTTGATAAAAGGATAAAGAAATTAAGAAAATAAGTAAAAAAATATAGAAGATTGCAATGATAAAAGAAGGTGAAGATTAAGTAGACATCAAAATAGTAGAAGAAACATACAATATTAATTGTATTTGATGATTAAGACATAAAATGAAGCAATTATTTAATAAAAGAAATGTAGAATATAGCGAAAAAACACCTTCATTGCCTCTTATTCAACTATTTTCTTGATAAAAGTATAAAGAAATTAATAAAATAAGTAAAAAATATAGAAGATTGCAATGATAAAAGAAGGTGAAGATTAAGTAGACATCAAAATAGAAGCAACATTAATTGTATTTGATGGTTAAGACATAAAATGAAGCAATTATTTAATAAAAGAATTGTAGAATTTAAGGGAAAAACAAAATTGAGTCAAAATAGCTACTATACCTACTAAGAAAAATAATATGTATAAAAAGTAATAGTCTTGGAAACTTCAACCAAATATAATGGAATGGTCTTCCTATTGTTGTTCAGCACATTCGATTGCTACAAACACGACACTCGACTCGAATCCTCCTTTTTAATTTCCATCATTTTTCAAATGAAATATCTTCATATTCACCGCCCCATCGCCGCCCCACCGCACCGACACCACGATCTCTTGCCATCAGTTTTAATTTCGGAAGCAGGAAATTGTATTTTTGTTGAAACCATCCCACATCAATTTTTTTACGCGAATTTTTTTCCAGCATCATCCAGGGTTAAAATTGGAACCCGTCCAATGGGGAAGCCGGGTAGTTTTCAGCGCGGCGCCAGTCGGTCGCCTCCAATCGGCGGCCGACGCTCGCCCCCCTCTACTCCCGCCGCCTACCCCCGGCGTCGGCGGCCGACCAATCGGGGCGGTTTTTCTCTTCCAGGGGTTGCTGGAACGTTAGGAACTTCGCCGATGGCGAAATTGCGTCATTGTCGATGTGGACCTCGCGTTGTTCGGTTTGTTCGACGTTTCGGTTCTCCTGTTTGTCCATCATCAGTAGCTATCATATTCCATAACAGTCTATAGTTTGAGTTTGCTTGCTTTTTCCCTCTAAGTCTTTACCGAAGTTCGACGATGGGGAGGATGGCGTAAGTAAATTTTTGTATTTATTTAACGAAGTAATTGGAGCAGCCGGATTGATTGATAAATTTTTTTCGAGTTCGTAACGGTCGTAATCTCGCTTGAGCCGTTCGATTGGAGTCCGGAGAATCCGCTATTTGCGTGGGATAGCGCAGTTAATCCTTTTGGTTCCGGATCTCTTCGGAGGGATAATTTGTATAAGCTCTAGGAATTTAGTTTTAGTCCATCAATTTGAATTTGGTTTACTAAAAAAATAGCAATTATTTTTCCGATTAACTTAAATTGTCCAGCATTAGGGCGCATCTAATGGGTGTTGCTAACGAGTAGGAACAAACTCTTTAACCAAATTTTATTTTTCTTCTCCACAATTTTTTATCCACCTAATCCCTTGTACATTATTATCTCTATTATGTTTCATTTTTACCCCACCATAGTCGGATAAGAAATTTCCGGATTTTGGTTTCATCTAAAATTTACCGAAGGAATTCGGTATGGAATTTGAACACCACGCTGGTTTGGTGTTCCTACGCGTTGCGATATTTAGAGAAAGGATATAGGTATCCGCTGGACGTTTCGTATGCGTTTTTATTCTATGTAAATAAGTAAATACGATCGGCGTGTGTCCCTGAGATGCCCGGTTTGTTCGCCAACAGGTGTAAATAATTTCTAACGATCGTGTGTCGTAATGATATTAATGATACAGCGAAGATGCTTATTAGACATTGCCCAAGATGCGAGAAGATGACACGTTGCATTGGAGTTTATCTTTGATGTGTATTCTTAATTCATTGGTATAGAATGTAGAATGATCGTAAAGTATGGAAATCATTAAATATCCGTTTATGTGTACGCAGAAAAGAGCTCACTCAAACAGGGCAATTTTTTACACTTTTAATTGAGAATTTATTTACTTAATTACTATTACGGTTTTTATTATTTTTATCAATTTTTGAGTGGATAAAACTACCAAAAAATTGAAAAAATGTCCTTCTCTAGTTAACTATCGTCATATTTGACGTAATCTTTGGTTGCGAAAATATCATTGAATATAAAATAACGTCATATTTCAAAATTTAACCGGCAATTGTGTCATCGGTGGTTTTGATTGATACCAAAAATGTAGATAAAAGTGTACTCTGCTCGGTTTTTTAGTGCACATAATAAAAACTCGTTCGCTCTGTAAATTTTATTATAAAATTATAATTAGCAATTACGTGATTTTGTTTAAAATTTACTACAAATTGTAACAGTAAGTACCTAACTCACACGCTTACTTATACAACAGGATGTTCTCAGTTTTATACTCTCAATTCCATTTTAATTCCAACGATGAAAATGCATTTATCGTACGGTTGATTTAGAATTTATTAATTCAACCCACCCTTTTTAACAAATAACCAACGGTATAACTAAGCGGAATTTAATATCTGGACGATTCAAATCGGAACATAAAACCCGCCTTATATTGCAATACATATCCGGGTAATGAATACTTAAAACCTTACCCATCTTCGCGCCACTTCGGTACATTTGAGTCCATAAAGCGAGGCGAAACGGTCGAAATTTGCATCTGGAACGATGTGAATTAAATCTTTCATTTGGGCATATTTTCCACAAGGGGACATTCCTACCTACCCTTACGGTTGCGTTTGAAAATTGACCGAAAATTACCATCTATTTCATTTGATGCAGTATATTCAGTGGACCTGTTGGTGCTTCTACTTTCCAAAGTCTAGTATGGACTAGTAGTATAAGACTGGTATAGTTTTGTAGGTTTCCATAGTTTATTGTATGAAGTGAATTTTCAGAAATATTAAAAATAAAATTCATAGTATGAGTATGTGTGATGTGGAATGTTTGCATTTTTTCTATTTATACTCTTTGATTCAAATCTATCGATAAAATTGATAGGTTTATATATTCTATGCGCTAATAAAATATTTAAGATGTTCTAACATCGATTATAATTTAGCAAACTTGTGTTACTAGCAACTTTTTGTAGTACGTACGAATTTCATCAAGAATCAAATTAGTGATCAAAATAAATAATTGATCAAGTTATTGTAGAGTTGGACGTTCGCTCTGTTTAAAACATACACACCTTTATAACGCTTGAAAATAATCAAATTGAATTGAATTTAATTTATCGAGAAATCAATAAACTTATTAATGCGCGTATGTACGATGTGCCATTTAAACGAACGAAATTAATAAACAACTTTTCGAATCGATAAATATTGTAAGGGCATTAGCGTCGCACGCATTTATTAATATTCCAACGCCAAACACCGAATTACCCACCAAAACATTTATTATTTTCCGTCTAAAATCGCCGAATAATTAATTCAACTCGGCTCCGAAGCAAGCCAGGAATCTGCCGCGATCCGAACGCCGCACAGCATCACCCTCTACCGGTGGCGCCACCGGCGTCGCCGTCGGAACGCCGAGCGTCCGAGAGCCGTCGTCGCCCCGGCAACGCGGCATCCATTCCTCCCTCTTTCTCGGCGTCTTCGACCGCCCTCCCTCGGGCGCGCTTGTTCGCCCCCCTCGACGAAACCTTCAGTTTTCCGTTTCGCGTATGATTCAATTATCGGGACGCGACATGTTCCCGTCTTGGCGGTTTATTGACTCATTTCTTAAGCGGTCTTTTGGCCGGGCGCGTCGATAAACGAACGGCCAGCGCGATATGGGGGGTTAGTGGCGTCGGGCGAGCGGGCGGTTTTACCGATTCGCGGCCGTTTGTGAGGCCTAACCTGCAAGGGTTGGTTAGCGCATCGCCTTTCAATGTTCCGCTACTTTGTTCTCTATCGAGCTGGAAAATATTTTTTCCATTAACTAGCTTGTTAAGCGTGTACTCGAAACGTATTCAATACTGGTCAGTTCATTTAATAGACTAGAAAGGGAAGGTGCAAGGCAATCAGCTGATTGAATAGATGTGCTGTTTACGGGTTTGTAAATGTTCGTTTTTTTTGGTTTACAGACCATTACTAGGAAAGAAATTATGGCGCTATCGCTCAAAATCAACATCATCGACGAGAACGTTACAAAAACTATCGTTTTCGATCCCGCAACAACAGTACACGACGCTTGCCGCATCATCAGAGACAAATGTGCAGATGGAGATGGACAACGTAAGTCTATAATTAAATGATTTATTTTTGTCGACCCTAACGACCCTACGGTTTTTTTTATTACATTATTTCCTGTGGAAGCGGCGCAACTTATACTGGTCGTTGTTTATTTTAGCAAAAGATTACGGTTTGTTCCTCACCGATGAAGATAATAAGACAGGAGTTTGGCTAGAACCGGCCCGAAATTTAGAATACTACATCCTGAGAAACGGCGACACCATAGAATACAGGAAGAAGTTGAGAACGCTTCGCGTGAAGATGTTAGACGGTAAGCCGAAATTTCGTCTAATTAACTCGAATTCGCTAACTAAAAATCGTTAAAGGCGCCGTAAAAACGATGCTGGTGGACGACTCCCAGATTATAGCCAATCTAATGGTGGTGATTTGCACGAAACTGGGCATAACGAACCACGACGAGTACTCCATCGCATTGGAAGACATCGAGAACCAGGAGAACATCGACAATCGCAACTACGGCACGTTGACGTTGAAACGGAAGAAGGAGGAACGCGAACGGGACGCCAAGATGGAGCAGTTGCGCAAGAAACTCCACACCGACGACGAGGTGAACTGGCTGGACCCGTCGAAGACGCTGCGCGAACAGGGAATCGACGAGTCGCAGATGGTGCTGCTCCGACGGAAGTTCTTCTATTCGGATCAGAACATCGATTCGAGGGATCCGGTGCAATTGAACCTGCTGTACGTGCAAGCCAGAGACGCCATTTTGCAGGGGACCCATCCCATTACGCAGGAGAAAGCCTGCGAATTCGCCGGCCTCCAGTGTCAGATACAGTTCGGCGATCACGTCGAGAACAAACACAAAACCGGCTTCTTGGAGTAAGTTTTACCAGCTTCGAACACGCTTAATTAGCGTACTAAAATCTATTTTAGTTTGAAGGAATTTCTACCGCAATCGTACACGAAGATCAAGGGCATCGAAAAGAAAATCTTCTTCGAACACAAGAAGCACCAAGGTCTCAGCGAACTGGACGCGAAAGTGAAGTACACCAAGAACGCCAGATCTCTGAGCACCTACGGCGTGACGTTCTTCCTCGTCAAGGAGAAGATGAAAGGCAGGAACAAGCTGGTGCCCCGTTTGCTGGGCGTCACCAAGGATTCGGTGCTGCGATTGAACGAACAGACCAAGGAGATACTGCAAACGTGGCCGTTGACGCAGGTGCGCAGATGGGGCGCCAGCCCCAACACGTTTACGTTAGATTTCGGCGATTATTCCGATCAATATTACTCTGTGCAAACCACCGAAGCCGAACAGATACAGCAAATCATCGCCGGTTACATCGATATTATACTGAAGAAACAACAAGCTAAAGACCATTTCGGTATCGAAGGAGACGAAGGATCCACCATGTTCGAAGAGAATGTCGCTAAACAGAAGTAAGTTGAAGATTTTAGAAAATTTTGTAACACAAGCTTGTAAGTAGAGATAAAATAGAATTTTGCATTTTGCACCACCCAATGCTCTTTTTGAGAACTCTTAAATATTGTGTTCTGAACGGTTCTGGAGCGATCTCAATGGTTCTAGACAATTCTAAATGATTCTGGAGCGTTCTAAATGTTTATGAAGAGTTCTAAATGGCTCTTGACATTTCTAAATAATTTTGGAACGTTCTAAATGGTTTTAGACAGTTCTAAATGATTCTGGAGCGTTCTAAATGATTCTATCCCATTCTCCTAAGATTCTAATAAGTAATATACTCTGATAGTCGGCATTGTATGTGTATATGCCTTATCTTTTTCTTTTAATATACATTTCAAAAAAATTATTTAATATCTGGTTGTTTCTGATTTTTTGAATCGAGCAATCCTTTGTACACAAGTATTGAGCAATTATGCATTGACCTTATTCAGTACACATTATTTAATCCTTACTGCTGATGAATTGATGATGAAAATTTTGTATTATTGATTAATTTGAACGAATTGTTTGTTTCCAGGGCGACCATTTTGCAACACGAATCGAGCAAAGTGGGCAAAACGAGCATCGAATCGTTGGCGAAGCCGGCCGTGATGAGAGTGGCCGATGGTAAGTGGATCGATTCGAATTAGCGATAGAGCGAATTTAATGGCGCCGGCTATTTTGAATTTTTGTGTTTTATAGAAGGGGAGGACACCTATTTCCGTTCAGATATTATAAATCGAGTGTATGTGCATAGAGATGTGATTTTCGATAAGCAGAGCTCGCCGAACAGATACAAAGTGTTTGAATACAAAGAAAAGAACACTTTTACCGGATTGAGTTACTAGTGCTGTTCGACGTTACAATGCCATTGACCTATTAATATCGACTAAATGTAGGATTAAAAATTTCTAGTTTCCGGAATTACACGAAGACATAACGATTTGAATTTGTTAATTTTGGAATCTGGAAAAGCACTATTAAACACTCGTATAAAATCACATACCAACAAAGTACTAACGTTCTAGAATCGTTTACTAATGTTTGGTGATAGGAAACAGAATTAGGTGATCACCCCCTTTCTAATACTTAATTTCTTCCATCGCATATTAGTTTAACGTTAAATCGTTTTTTACAACAAATCGACTTAACAAAATTAAAATGTACCAGTAACGAAATCAGATGAATCATTCGAGATAAATGGCTCGAACGAAGGGAAGAATGAGGACGTCTATTATTATTTGCTCGTTTCTATTTGGCTTTATTACAATTAGGAGAAAAACCGTATACAATGGGCATGATGAGTGGGCCGTTGCAAACCACAGTGAGTGGATCCGTGAATGTCGGTCATGCCCCGCCAACGGTAAGATTTTATTTTAATCCTTTAGCTTAACTAAAGCTGTTATTAATCGACTAACAGTTATTTTATTGTCTTTACATGTCTGTCTATGTTAGGGACGAGAGTAGGTACAGATAACGTTTTTTACATTTGTACATAATCCATCAGATTAGATTTTTCGTTATTCAAATGATATTCAATTCCAAATTCGTATAATTTTACTATACTTATTTTGTTGATTTGCATGCAATATTCATTTTGTAGTTAACGTATGTTATTATTCGTTATTATAGCACCGGTGGGAAACTGCCTGGTTAATTCAAAGTCGAAAGTACTTTTTGTAAATATCGGAAAGCATTCAAAAAAACAGTAGTTCACTTGAGTTTTTTCTTCCGACTAGCTACATTAGCATGCAATTCGGTATGTTGGTATGACTTGTTAAATACAAACTAATTTTCCCGACATCACATCAATTCAGTATCTGAAATATTCTAACGTAAAATAATGAGTAATGTAACAATTTTACTCTTAACAACAAAACAAACCAATTACCTGTCTCTTAACCTTCCGCAAACAAAACACAACTCTCACACAATTATCAACTATCATCGTACTAACTAACCGACTAAAAATCGCCTAGTAAAGACCACTTCTTTTCGTCTATAACATTAGACCACAACGCTCCAACAAACGAAGATCACATCGGTCCTATCGGAGCCCCAACGAGCCCTCGTCTCGACGATATCCGCCACGCAGACGCGCATCAAAGAGTCGGAAATCGAGCTGGCTGGCAAGGCGCACGTCCCCGAGCTGGGCACCGATCCGGCCGCCAAGAAGTGGAAACAGGTCACGCTGGACACGCGCAAGCAGAATGTCGGCTCCCAAATAGCCGCCATGAACGCGGCCACCGCCCAGGTGGTGACGCTCACCTCCGGGCCGCAGGACGAGGTCGACCACACGGCCGTCGGCGCCGCCATCACCACCATCGGCAGCAACCTGCCCGAGATGACCAAGGACGTGAAGATGATCGCCGCCTTAATGGACGACACCAACGTCGGCGAGAAGCTGCTCGACGCCACCAGGCAGCTGTGCACCGCCTTCAGCGACCTGCTCAAAGCCGCCGAGCCCGAATCTAAAGAGGTAATCCGCTGGAATCGACCGAATTAAATGCGTTATATCTCGCGGTTTTTTTTTCTTTTTTAGCCTCGACAGAACCTCCTCAACGCGGCGTCGCGAGTGGGCGAGGCCAGCACTCAAGTGCTCGCCACGATCGGAGAAGACACCGCCGAGAACAAGGAGCTCCAAGACATGCTGTTGTCGTTGGCCAAAGCCGTGGCCAACACCACGGCCGCTTTGGTGCTCAAAGCTAAAAACATCGCTTCGACTTGCGACGATCAACAGACGCAGAACCGCGTCATCGGCGCCGCGACGCAATGCGCCTTGGCCACGTCGCAGCTGGTCGCCTGCGCCAAAGTGGTCGCTCCGACGATCTACTCTCCCGCTTGCCAGGAGCAATTGACCACCGCCGTGAGAGAGGTAACGCTCCATTTAATCTCCGCCCTTTTCGAACAGTATGAATGTTTATTAATTCGTAGGTGGCGAGAGCGGTCGAGAACCTGGTCACCATATGCAACGAAGCCTGTCCCAACGAAGAGCTGAACCAGCAGCTGAGAGAAGCCGCATCGGCGGTGTCGAGGACCTTGAACGATTTGCTGAATCACGTTAAATTGGCGTCCCGCGAACGCGCTCGCGAGACTGTGCAAGAGCACAGCGTCGAGGAAATTTACACTGCCACCGACAAGCTGTCGGCCGCTTCGGGCGATCCCAACGAAATGGTGCGACAAGCCCGACGGCTCGGCCAAGCCACGGCGCAACTTATCCAGAGCATAAAAGGTGAATTCGCGGTTTTATTCGCGAGGATTATATCTTAACTTCGGTCGATTTGTTAACAGGAGAAGCCGAGAAACTGCCGGACTCCGACATACAACGTCGCTTGTTGGCTGCCGCTAAAACGTTGGCGGACGCGACCGCTAGAATGGTGGAGGCGGCCCGACAGTGCGCTAGTAATCCACACGAAATCGTCTATCAGGATCAGCTGAGGAAGACCGCTGAAGATTTGAGGAATGTGACGGTAGTGGCGGCGACTACTCCGGCGCTTCGCGCTAAACTCGTCGATAGGGTGCAAATTTGCGCCAAGAAAGCGGTGTCTACGGCCACGCAATGCATAACGGCCGCTCAAACCAGCCACCCGTACAACACGAACGCCGCGACGAGAGAAGCTCTAACGCGGGACACCTTAGAGCTGGCCGAAGCCGTACCGTTGTTGATCGATTCTATTAAAGCTAACGTTCAGAGACCCGAAGAAACTTCCACTCAAGTCGAACTGATGTACATTGCCGAGGTGTTTTTGCATCCCGCGCAACAATTCATCCACTCGTCGCAGTAAGTCTTCTTACTTATTAGCCCATATTTGTAAAAATGAAGCATTTACTTTGAAGTAAAAGGTAGATGCAAAAGATAAGAAAATAAGGTTGCAAAACCTCTCTTCCTTCACTTCTTTTTATGCATATACCTTGAAGCAATTCCTTCATTTTTTTTTTAAGCAAAAGGTATTCGGGTTCGAGCAAACGCTTTATTATTTCCAGATCCGCTTTGCCGACTCTAACGGAACACTCGATTCGCGAGCAACTGTCGAGCACCACGCAGAAATTCAATTCGGAACTGAGCGAATTGCACAGCGCCATCAGCAGGGCCAAGCCGGCGTGCCAAGGCCTCGGCATCGACGCCGCCCAACAGCTGATAGCCGAATTGCAGGAGGAGTTGAACGAATTCGATCGGGCCGCCGAAATGCACCGATTGAAACCGTTGCCCCACGATACGGCCGAACGGGGCGCGCAACAACTGACCGCCAGCAGCAAACTGGTCAATCAAGGTAAATAATTTCATAACCTGCTTGTAATCCACATGGAGAGTTGTTTGTCTACACTGTGTCTAAAGTCGAGCGCTACATTCGTCCGCCGATTCATCGCGCCGAAGCCGCGCCTCTCCACAGTTCGACTGATTCTCTCTTTCTACTGTTTGCAGCGCTCGAACATAAACACTCTGTATACACAAAGGCACGTATTCAGCGCCTCACTTTAATTTTAGTGTGACTCTAAAGTCGAGTCTTTAACTTGATAGTTGTACATTGTTGTTATGAATTAACTAGGGACTAGAGTCGCGACTTTAGAGTCACGCTAGAGTTAAAGTGATAAAGGTTGTCCCAATAGTGTAATACATACTTAGTTCAATTAATCGATTCTAACCGGCTCAATAACGGTGCATTATCTTTCAGGTGTGGCTCAATTACTGAGCGCCGCGGCGCAAGGCAACGAAACGTACACGTCGCAAGCGGCCAGAGACACGGCGCACAGCCTGAAGAACCTCACCAACGCCGTGCGCTGCGTCGCCGCGACGTCGGACGGCGTCGAGGCGCAGCGGAAGATCATCCGCTCGGGCCAGCAGGTGTTGGCCTTCTCCTCTAAGCTCGTCAACGAGGCCAACAGGAGCCTGGCCACCGTCGGCGTCACGCCGGGCCTACAGAAGGCCGCCAAAGAAGTGGCGCAAGCGTTGAATTCGACCGTCGGCTGTCTGCCGGGCCAGAAAGACGTGGATAATTCGATAAGCAGCATCATCGAATGGTCGTCGACCGTCACGACGTCGGCGTTCCCGTCGACGAGCAAGAGCTACGGGGAGTTGCAGCAGGAATTGAACACGGCCGCCGCGAATTTGAACGAAGCCAGTTCGAGCGTCGTGGAGTCCGTCCACAGCCCGGTTCAATTGGCTTCGACTTCCAAAGATTTCGCGTCGTCTTATCGCGATCTGTTGACCGTTACGATGGAAATGGCTGGACAAACCGTTGATGCTTCAGTAAGAGGTATGTTAATTGGTAACTCCTTATCATCTAGGAAGTAATACACATATCCCCAAACAAGTCACAGTGTATATCTATGGTAATACATGATCGTTGTTTGTTTTTATTACAGGAGAAATGGTCCACTCGCTAAGAACGGTATCGACGACGTCCAGCACTCTGCTGACGACCGCCAAAGCCCTCTCGGCCGATCCCAACCTCTCCAACGGCAAGAACCAATTGACGGCCGCCGCCCGGGCGGTCACGGACAGCATCAATCGCTTGGTGAACGTGTGCACGTCGGCCGCGCCCGGCCAGAACGAGTGCGACAACGCCGTCAGGCAGATCAAGGCCATGCGCTACCTGCTCGACAATCCGGCCGAGCCGATCAACGACTACTCCTACTACGAGACGCTCGACACCGTCATCGAGAAGAGCAAAATCCTGGGCGAGGACCTGTCGGGCATCACGGCCAGCGCCAAGACGTCCGAACACGAGAAATTCTCCGAGCACGTGAAGAGCTTCAGCAACGCCATCTGCACGATGATCGAAACGTCCGCCCAAGCGGCGTATTTGGTGAGGATTGTCGAACGATGTGGACTGTTTAAATGTAAAGCTTTATTATTTTAACATTTAGATTGGAGTGTCGGATCCTTCGAGCATAGCCGGTCGACCCGGTTTGGTGGATCAAGCGCAGTTCGCTAGAGCTTCGCAAGCGATTCAACAAGGTTGCGGCGCTCTTTCTTCGTCGTCGAGCCAACAGAAGCAAATCCTCGACGCCGCTACGTTGATCGCGAAGCACACGGGCGCTTTGTGCAATTCCTGTCGAATAGCCAGTTCGAAGACGACGAATCCGGTGGCCAAGCGGCAGTTCGTGCAGAGCGCCAAGGCGGTGGCGAACAGCACGGCGGCTTTGGTCAAGGAAATCAAGTCTTTAGACGCCGAATACACGGAGGAGAATCGCGTCAAATGCTCGGAGGCCACCAAACCGTTGTTGGAAGCCGTGGAGAACTTGTGCGTGTACGCCAGTTCGAACGAATTCGCCACGATTCCCGCCAAGATACCGCCGCAGGCGCGTCACGCCCAACAGCCGATCGTCGAGGCCGGTCGCAGGCTCATCGATAGCTCGTGTTCTGTCATTAGCGCCACTAAAAATCTAATCGTCATGCCCAAGGATCCTTCGACGTGGCAACAATTCGCCGGAAGTTCCAAGAACGTTTCCGATTCCATCAAACAGCTCGTCATCAGCATAAGGTAAATTCACATTCATTCGTAAATTCAAAAATGTTTGACGCCAACATTGAAAATTATCTGTCGCTTATTAAGTAAACGAGTCAGAAAAAAGTAAGATAGAAAATAGAGGTAACATGACGGATCCAATCAGGCGCCTTGAGCGTAGACAAATATATTTTAAATAAGAATTTAATTATGTTAAGAATTGTTATGGTTAAAATATTGTATGAAAAAACAGTGACAATTGCTTCCCGGTTTCCCGCTATTTGCTATTATTCGCAGGGAAAATGAGATAATACTGTTTTCCGATCTCTCTTTAGTCGAAATCGTCTACAAATTTTACTACGAGCGGTAGTACACCGTTGCCAAATTTGTAAGAGTTTATCTATTACAGGAATTTTGAAATATATAATTCGTCACATTTTGAAACTATTTCTTAAACTTGCAATTTATTATATGTTGTCGGTGTATTTTGAAGAATGTAAATAACATTAGTTTTTAGTATTAAGACGATTACATAATAAGGATATAAAAATAAAAAATATAGCAGAAGGAAATTGTAAAAAATTGCGCAGCAACATGCAATGTTTTACCTCTATTTTCTGTTAGACTGTGACCTATAAAGAGTTTTTTAGAGTTTGTATTTATAACGGGTATTTTTTCTTAACAGAAACGAAGCGCCGGGCAAAACCGAGTGCGAAACCGCCGCGCAAATTCTGACCAATCACTTGAAAACCCTCGACGCCGCCTACATGGACGCCGTGTCGCAATCGTTGGTACCTCGCAGGACTGCTTCTTTGCAAATTTACAGCCAACAGGTGGAAAGATCGGCCGCCGGTCTGTTCGATATGATCGAACCGCTCCGACACGCCGCTAAATACGAGGCCGAAAATATTAGTAAGTAGAAATAACTGAACTAATCGCTAGAAATTTATGGTTCGATTCGTGTCGTAGGCCACGCGGTGAACCAATTGATACAGTACTTCGAACCGCTGGTAGCCAGCACGATCGGCGCCGCGTCCAATTTGAACAATTCGAAGCAACAGGAGCAGATACTGGACCAAGCGAAATCCGTCACCGAATCGGCTTTGCAATTCATATACGCCACGAAAGATTGCGGCGGAAATCCGAAGGTAATACGACAACAATCCGCGTATCTCAAACGCGCGTTAATTTCGATTATTCCAACGATTTACAGGCCGTCAACATCCATCCCGACATCGACGAGTGCGCCAACTCCACGCGCGACAACCTCCAAGATCTGATAACCAGCCTCGAAGTCATTTCGACGCAGAGCGGCATCGTGTCGGGCGTCGTCGACAATCTGACGAGGGCGATGACGCGCTTGTCCGACAACCGAGCCTCTCTGATCATCTCCGACGGCGACGTCGGCTTCGTCGATTACCAAACGCGCATGGTGGCCTGCGCCAAAAGCGTAGCCAAGATCGCCGGCGAGATAGCCTCCAAAGCGGCCACCGATACGCAGAAAATCGCCCAATTGTCCGCCGATCTGTCGCACAAATACAGCCAATTGGCCGGCGACAGCATCGGAGCCGCCGCCGCCGCCACCAACTCCGAGGTCGCCTTGAAACTTAAGGTAACTAGTCGAACCTACAGGGCGCCATTCACGAGCACATCGATTGGAACGATTCCATTGCTGAATCAATTGAGAGACGTTCACTAATGGTGCTGTTACCGCTCCATTTGGAGGTTCGGAGTGCTCGTGAACGGCGGCCTTTGACGCCTTTGGCTAGCGGTATTTATCGGTCCGTTTGCAGGAGGTGGTCCAGCACCTGGGAGGCGCCTGCATCGAGCTGGTGCGTTCGGGCGGCCAGTGCCTGGTGCGCAAGGACGACGCGACGTTGCGCTCGGTCGGCGAGTGCGCGCGCAACGTGACGGAGAAGGTGTCGCGCGTGCTGGCGACGTTGCAGAACGAGTCGCGCGGCACGCAGGCGTGCATCAACGCCGCCTCGACGGTGTCGGGCATCATCGGCGATTTGGAGACGACCATCATGTTCGCGACGGCGGGCAATCTGAATCCGGAGAGCGAGCACGAGTCGTTCGCCAATCACAGGGAGAACATATTGAAGACGGCCAAGGCGTTGGTGGAGGATACGAAGACGTTGGTGGCCGGCGCGGCTTCGTCGCAGGAACAGCTGGCGGTCGCCGCGCAGAATTCCGTCGCTACTATTGGTGAGGTTTCTTTTTTTTTACCAGATTTGTATCTAACCGGTCGATCGTAAAATGACCAATATTTCTTGAAGCGTTTACTTTGAAGTGAAGGGTGGAGGTGCATTTGCTTTGATCCATTTTCATAATCTCAGCCGTTTCCTTGCAAAGAAACGCCTTTAAATGCTCCTAAACAGTTCTAAATGGTTCAGGACAGTTCTAGATTGCTCTAGCCAGTTCTAAATGATTCTAGACAGTTCTAGATGATTCTGGAGCCTTCTAAATGGTCCTAGATAGTTTTAAATCCTTATAGACTGTTTTAATGTTTCTGGAGCATTGCAGATTGTTCTAGACAGTTCTAAATGATTCTGGAGTGTTCTAAATGGTTCTAGACAACTCTAGATGACTCTTGAGCGTTCTAAATAATTCTAAACAGTTTTAAATAATTCTGGAACGTTCTAAATGATTATAAACAGTTCTAAATGATTCTAGAGCGTTCTAAGTTGATCTAGACAGTTCTAAATTATTCTAGACTGGTCTAAACTTTTCTGGAGCATTTTAAATGATTCTAAACAGTTTTAACTAATTCTGGAGCGTTCTAAATGATTATAAACAGTTCTAGATGTTTTTGGCCCGTTCTAAGTTGATCTAGACAGTTCTAAATTATTCTAGACTGCTCTAAACTATTCTGGAGTGTTCTAAATGGTTCTGGACAACTCTAGATGACTCTGGAGCGTTCTAAATGATTCTGGAGCATTCTGGATTGATCTAGACAGTTCTATAGATGATTCTGAAGCGTTCTAAATGGAAACAGCTAAAATACACAAAAATTTTACATTACAAGCTGTGCGGTGGCTGAGCAACTACAGAAAAGATTGTGAAAAGTTGCTATGAATCTAGATTCCATTTTTACAAGCAAATCATTTTTAATTTTAAGCAAATGCTTCTTTTTATAAATACGGAAAACATAAAACCTGTCGCTTTAAACCAACAACAGGGTCCTTGAAGCAAAACCTCTTCACTTCTTTTTATATAATGTGAAGCAATTCCTTCGTTTTTGAAAGCAAAAGGTTAAGCTTCTCGTTATAAACACGGCCTATTTGAGTGAACCGGTCAGTCAATCAGTGACCTCTGCCGTTTAATGCGATAAAATTAATGGAGTATTTTATCTGTTTTATCAGTGCAACTGGCCGAGGTGGTGAAGTTCGGAGCGGCCAGTTTGGGCGCGGACAATCCGGATTCTCAAGTGATGCTGATAAACGCCGTGAGGGACGTGGCGAGCGCCTTGGGTGACCTGATACAAGCGACGAAAGCGGCCAGCGGAAAGCCGATTAACGATCCCGCTATGGCCCATTTGAAAGACAGCGCGAAGGTGGGTTCGTTCATGAGAAACTAATATTATTTTGCGATTTTTATTTAACTTACTCCTACTACTTACTACTGTATTATATCCGCTTACAGATAAACGTTTTATAATTGTAGCGATTTTTATAAACCCATTCATATACTAACCTATTCCTATATTGTTATTATTGCATGTGCGTTGTGTTAATTATTGTGAAATTTCACACACGTGGACTTTAAATAATACAATTTGATTAACTTTTTTGGTGGCAAAGTACTCTACATAAAATGTATTAAACACTTATCAGATGTTGAATATATTAATGGTTTTATTTTGCACCAAAAACGATTTACTATAAATAACGCTCATGCAATTTGTTTTTAACTTGTCTTTTTTTTATTAAATAATTCATACACGAAACGAGCTACTCAAAACATGTGAATTTGTTGTTGTTTAAAGTCCACCTGGAGGAAATATTTGTTGTGTACTCGGTTTTTCAGATTTTTTTTCGGGGTAATCTACCCTGTTGTTTATTTTTTGGTAAATGTGGTGAAAAATCTGAAAAACGTCTTAACTAGACGGTGGTGTATCGTTAATGAAAAGAGACATGTTTTGATTGGCCCTTAGGTGACGGATTCCGAAACCGAATGGTGGATTTCCGATCAAGAGGAAGAATTGCTGAGGCTGCTGAGCGACAGCAAGGAAAACGTTAACTCCGATTTGCAATCCGATATCGTTCAGTGTTTAGTTACCGCTTCTTCTTAAGTTGCTCTTTTTATTTAGCTTTTCTCAAAAATATTATATCCTAGTCTTTGTGCGACTATATCTAGCATTTTTGATTCGATTGTGTTCTTCGAAAAATATTATTCGGAATACTGTGTTTGTGTATTTCGTGTTTTGTCACAACTAGCTTGAAAAAATCGCGCGTTTAAAGTATTCTGATTAATACGAGCTGATTTATAATAGGTTTGTTTTTCTTACTTTTATATTTTGCTACCCTTATTTAAAAAACGAATATTTATTTTCCTAAATGTTTATCGAATAAACTGTGTGTATTTAAAAAAAAACGTAGTTATTCATTAGAAGCTTTTCCGAATTAAAAAAAATCATATTTTATATACTTTGGTACGTATTTTCTCTGTTTTGTTCTGATCTAAATGTGTTTTTATCGCTGCAAACTTTTCACTATCGGTTCGTTATTAACATAATTCTTTCAGCTTCAAAAAAAAGGAGTTTTGTGTCGTTCTAAACGCATGCGTGTTATCGAAAAAAAAACTGTCCGTTCTTTATTAATCACAACGATAATCGATTTCAGGTGATGGTAACTAACGTAACGTCCCTCCTTAAAACCGTTAAAGCCGTTGAAGATGAACACACGAGAGGCACTCGCGCTTTGGAATCCACTATAGAAGCCATTGGACAAGAAATGAAGGTAGGAATAATTAGTTGATTTAGTAGATTTACCACCGTATTCAGAAGTTGCTAATAACCAAATGGTTTTGTAACCAACAGTTATAATATTTCTGAAATTTAAACAGGACAATGTTGCTTATTTGACTCTTAAACAAGATGAAAATGCTGTTAGTTTTTTGTCATTTTTCTGTCATTTAGAGCGCTCCAAAACTTCATCTAGAACTGTCTAGCACAATTTAGAACGGTCCAGACTCAATGAGAACGCTCCAGAATCATTTCGAACTGTCGAGACCAATTTTGAACTCTCCACATCATCATTTAGAACTCTTCAGACTCATTTAGAAGGCTCCAGAACCATTTGAAACTGTCTAGAACAATTCAGAACGGTCCAGACTTATTTATAACGCTTTAAAATCATTCAGAACTATCTAAAACTACTTAGAACGCTCCAGAATCATTTCGAACTGTCTAGATTGTCTAGAATTACTTAGAACGCTCCAGAATCATTTAAAACTATCTAGAACAATTTAGAACGCTCCAAAACCTTTCAGAACTCTCCAGACTCATTTAGAACGGTCCAGAATCATTCGGAACCGTCTAGAACCACTTAGAACGCTCCAGAATCATTTCAAACTGTCTAGAACAATTTAGAACTCTCCACATCATCATTTAGAACTCTTCAGACTCATTTAGAACGCTCCAAAAACCATTTGAAACTGTCTAGAATAATTTAGAACGCTCCAGAATCTTTCCGAACTCTCTACAACTATTTAAAACGCTTCAGAATCATTTAAAACTATCTAGAACAATTTAGAACTCTCCAGACTCATTTAGAACGCTCCAGAATCATTTCGAACTGTCTACAACAATTTAGAACTCTCCATCGTCAATTAGAAGACTCATTTAGAAGGCTCCAGAATCATTTAAAACTGTCTAGAACAGTTCGGAACTCTCCAAACTCATTCAGAACTCTCTAGACTCATTTAGAACGCTCTAGAATCATTTCGAAATGTCTAGAACAATTTAGAACTCTCCATCATCATTTAAAACTCTCCAGACTCGCTTAGAACGCTTCAGACCCATTTAAAAACATTTAAAACACGAAATGCACTGTACATAACTATAAAATACAGTACCAATAGAGATATTATCAATGTTTCAAATTTCGACATCGGTTTAATACTAAATTTCGGATATTAACGAGCTACATTTATAGGCTCTATACGCCAACGACGATTGCAAACCGGGCGTGACGGCCGAAGATCTGGTACGCTGTACGAAGCAACTAACCAACGCCACGGCGAAATGCGTATCGGCCGGCATCAGCAACAAACAGGACGACATCATATCGGCGGCGAATCTCTCGCGACAGGCCATCTCGCACATGCTGATCGTCTGCAAGAGCGCCGCCCACAATCTATCGGAATCGGGCGAATTGCGCCGCGACGCGCTCAACACGGCCCACGATTGCGCCAAGCAATTCAGGGAGCTGCTGTTGTTGATACTGCAAGGCAACGGATCGGCCGATGTCAAGCAAACGCTGCCGCTGGTGTCGCGCAAGATCGCCCAAAGCGTCACCGAGCTGTTGAGCATCGCCAAGCGGCTGAAGGGCTCCGATTGGGTGGATCCCGACGATCCGACCGTCATCGCGGAGAACGAGCTGCTCGGAGCCGCCGCCTCCATCGACGCGGCCGCCAAGAAACTGGCCAGCCTTCGGCCCAGGCAACACGTCCAGGTGGGTAATATTTACTAGTAGTTGACTATTTTCGAAATGCGAGTAGATAACGCCGGTGCATTTCCGTAAGATATGTTTGATATTCTTGGTTGTCGTTTAGCAAACACCCAGGAGTCAAACATATTATTACGGAGGTGTGCACAATCGACGAAATCGTTTATCTACGTGTGGTAAGTTTGCTCTTCTATTAGATATCCTTATAAACTCTAATTGAACGGCGTTATGCAATACATTGTTATGCTACACAATCATACGCGGTTATAAAATAATTTTATTCCACGGAATATATTGTGTCATAAGATGAATCGACCGAAATTTTACAAACCGTTTGACTCATTACATAACAACATCTAATTAGCATTTAGTTGAATACGCCTGCATTTCGGTAGTGATTGATTCGTGGCGGTTCTTTCAGACGCAAGATTTGGACGAGTCGTTGAACTTCGACGAGATGATCCTCGAAGCGGCCAAATCGATCACGGCGGCGACTTCGGCGCTGGTTAAAGCGGCCAGCGCGGCCCAACGCGAGTTGATCGACGCCGGGAAAATGTCGGGCACGCCGGTCATTTCGTCCGACGACGGGCAATGGTCGGAGGGATTGATATCGGCCGCTAGATTGGTGGCCGCCGCTACGCACAGTCTGGTGGAGAGCGCCAACGCTTTGGTACAAGGTATTGCTTCCATTTTTGCGTATCGTGGATTGTGTTCTATAACGCGATTTCTTAGGTCTCGGTAGCGAAGATAAATTGATAGCGGCCGCCAAGCAGGTGGCCAGTTCGACGGCCCAGCTGTTGGTGGCTTGTAAGGTGAAGGCCGAAGGCGATACGGAGGCTACGAGGAGATTGCACGCGGCCGGTAACGCGGTGATCCGGTCGACGGATAATTTGGTGAGGGCGGCCCAGCGGGCGAAGAGCGTCGAAGAGGAACGGTATTTGATATTGAACAAGAAAATGGTCGGCGGTATCGCGCAGGAAATTAACGCGAGGTGAGTTCGAATGGCGCGCTTTGTGGTTTTAGTTATACAGGTTGCTCCATTTTTGATCGCAACATAGGTTATATAGGCCATGGGTGCGTTAAAGACAACTTCCATTAGACACTTACAATGGAGAAGGAAAGAGTGACATTTGTGTCATTGCAACTTTTCACTCTGACAACTGTTATTTTATTAATCTTTCTTTGTTCAACTCATAGAAATGACCATGTTGCAATCGGAAATGGAGCAAACGATATATCTATGGTGGTATCAACTTGTATTATATTCGTGTATTGTATATTGTACTTGTATTTTATATGTAGATCCGAGGTGTTGAAAAAAGAACGTGAATTGGAGGAGGCGCGGAATAAATTGAGCGCCATACGACAGGCTAAGTACAAACTCAGAGGTTACGATACTTCTGGGGATGATACTGATGGATATATCAGTTCGGCGCCGGAGATGGATAATTCTATGCGGTAAGTAGTGGGATTTTTGTGGTGGTTTATTTTTTTTTGTTACTAACAATTTGGGAGTTGCACTTTGCTTGATGGAAAATGGTTCTTTATAGTTAAGTAGGTTAAATAAATATACAGGGTGGTCCAGAACTCACGGCCCACCGTGGGATTGATCGATTTTAAACATCTTTATTTGCCAAAGGAAAAACTTTTTCATGTCTTTGGCTGCAATTTTGGCATCTCCATTGGCGTTTCCGTAAGAGCTTTCTCGGTGGGGCGTGAGTTCTGGACCACCCTGTATAAAAAACGGTTTAATATTTGTTTAAAGAATCATTTTTTGTTAACTTGACTTATAGTGTAGTGTTGAAATGAATCAATGATCTACATAGTTCTTTTGAAATTGATTATAAATGTTTATTTACTGGTTGATTATTGATGTAATTTCATTAAACATTTGTTGTTATTGTTGTGTGGTAAAGCACTGTTGCTAAAGAATTCGACGAGCATAATTAACAATATGTATGTAGCGTTTTTTGCTATTGTTGCTTAAAGTTATTCACATTAAGCTGTAATATATGGCGCCTTATTTACTAATAAAAGAATCAATTTTGAATAAAGTATAGATTGTGCGAGAAATATAATTTTAAAACTTTTATAAAAAGCACTTTTTGATCTTATAAAAAATTGTTTAATGATTGTCGAATTCATTCATTTCTATAAAACTTATGAGCAAGTAGATTTGGTTACTATTTTCTATTAGAGACTCTACGTTTATTCAAATTTCCACGTTGTTTTTTCAGTACTAACTAATGCTTGTTTGTTGCATGTACAGAGTGAAGGTTGTAACTAAAGAATTTAACAGTGATGATTAAGGTGAGTTTGTCTTCCATCTTCGATATTTCTCACTAACATCGCACTTCCCTTGTATTACAAACGCGTTTCTTTTACATTTTAGTTACAATCAGAGCTACGATTACCAACAATCCTCCAGTCCCCAGCAACCCTACGATTACCACCAATCCCGCTCCAGTCCGCAACAACGATACTACCAAGATTATTCGCAATTGGAAAGTCCGGAGAAGGTTAACTCACTAGAACGTAACAAATCGGTTTCAAAACCGTACGCGACAGAGCCCGATTCCGCAACATACGGACAAGATTATAACTCTTACAAGCAACAATCGCCCAAATTTTATCAAAACAGTTCTTACGCCGCCCCCGCCGGGCACCTTACAAGTTTCGAAGCTCCGAACGTCGAGTACTTCCAGCCGATAGACACCAAGTACTATTCCGACGGGTATTCCAGTTCCGATTACGTTACGAACACTTACCAAACGCCCGAAGGGTACAAGACCAACACGTACAGGTACGAGAGCTACGAAGCGCCGCCGCAACATTCGTATTCGTCGAGCAGCGAGAAGTACTACACGAGCGCTCAGTCGCCGAAGGACAAAAAGGCCTTCGAGACGTTCAAGAACGGCGGCAGCAATCAGTACTCGTATTCTACAAACGTTGAATACATAAACGAACCGCCTGTCGTCAGAGACGATGATACTTTGGAACAGAAAATGTTGAAGAAATCGGTGACGCAACAAATTATAGAGAAGAAAACCGTATCCATGACGAAAAGTACTAAGCAGGAGTCTTCGATGAAGAGTTTTAGATTCGATTAAATTTCATCGCTGCCATATTATTACGAAGCGTAGTTGTTTTATTGTACATTATTTTTAAGTGTCCTTATTGAGAATGGTGCTAATTTGTTTTCTGCTTTGTTCAATTTATACATTTAACCAAAAATTTAGTTCGTAGGTCTCGAAATTTATGTTTCAATTGAATGTATGCATAAGAATACATAAACGAATATATTTTAATTACCTTGTACATTGAATTTCGTAATTGTATGAAACACAATCCAAAAGTGCCTATTTTATTGCTTCTGTTTTTATCTTGTAATGATTTATTTAGATTTTAGGTATAATAACAAGACTTACTAGTGCCTGATACTTATAAAATCATGCCTTATATAATATTGTACTTTTTACACGATACTTGTAGGAATGTTTTTATTATATTTAATATTGTACCTAATGTAAGTGAAATAAATATTTTAACATTTCGAGTTTTGTAATTATTAAAATTTTCTTATATAAGACATTTCATATAATTATACACCTTGCTCCATTTCCGATTGCAACAGGGTCATTTCTATGAGTGGAACAGAAAGATTATTAATATGACAGTTGTCAGAGTGAAAAGTTGCAATGACACAAATGTCACTCTTTCCTTTTCCTTTGTAAGTGTCTAATGGAAGTTGTCTTTATCGCACTTCTAGCCTATATAACCTATGTTGCGATCAAAAATGGAGCAACCTGTATACTATTAAATGTATTTAATATATTGAAGTCTTAAAATTACTTGCTATCAAGCTTTGATTATCCTGCATAATCTAGTATAAAAAAAAATGTTTTTCAAAATTGCTATTTAATGCCTTGAAGGTACTACAACAGCTAAATAATTCGAACTAAAATCTATTACTTCATGTTTTTGCTTGAAAATATCATCATGTTGAAGATTATCAAACCATCTACACAGGTTTAAATACTTCTCCTTTTCGAAATTGGAAAGTGAAACCTACAAAAAAAATTGTTTTAAATACAGAATAATTTATGAATGGTCAAATTTACGCTATCATAACACTGATCATTTTCCCTTATTTTTTTATCTCCTCTTTAAACCACCCAATACAATATTAAAACATAACTCACCAAGGTATCCTTTAGTACGTAAAAAAGTAGAATATCTGCAATGGTCAATCTGTATCCCACCAAATAGGTTTTTATACTTAACATTTCGTTGAGCTCCTAATTAAAAATAAACTATCAAGTACAATATTTATCGCAACCTATCGACTTACCGACAAGACAGTTTTTGCATTTTGTGGACTGTCTATATGAGCTGCATACGTGTTAATATACTCAATCCATTGTTGTAATTCCAACGATTCTAAATCATTGGTTGGGTTTAATTTCAATTGCGAGGATTTCGATAGTTTTAAAATTTTGTTAACAATACCAGTGTTGGGTATCTGTAATGTAATAACTATAAGTATCTGTATTGAAGAAAATTACTTTTTACCTTTTACGTTTTACTTACTTTACTTGTTTTAGTATTGTCTACTTTAGTTTTTAGCAATGCTGCTATTTGATTTAGTTTTCCTTGAATATTTACAACCATTTTTATGAAAATTTGTCGCAATTTTAGGTTATAAACCTCTTCTTTTTATCTAACCAAAAAATAAATATTGATTTATTGATGGCCTTTGACTCATTATGTTTTTCCACAATTTACAAAATAGAAGAAGAGCCAAACAAATATTTAGGTTATGTGAACTAAAAATTAAAATGTTGCGTTTCTATTTAAGGATTATTCCAAAAGAAATATGCAAACTTAACAGTAGTTTATTATTTAACGCGCAACAAAACAATAAATTTTCATCTTTCAGTGTAAAATTTCGACATAACCTCAAACAAATCAACAAACTAAATTATTGTACTGAAGCCAAACAGCACATAAACGTAGGTACAATAGGGCACGTAGATCACGGTAAAACCACTTTAACGGCGGCCATAACAAAGATTCTTGAACAAAAGGGGTTCGCAAAGTACACATCGTACGATGAAATCGACAGGGCTCCCGAAGAAAAAGCGAGAGGTAACTCTACACTTGCTTTATCTAATTAACATTTAAACCCTTAATATGCTGCAGGCATTACAATAAACGCTGCTCACATAGGCTACAGTACAAGCAAACGTACTTACGCTCACACCGATTGTCCAGGCCATGCTGATTTCATAAAAAATATGATATCAGGAGTGTCTCAAATGGACGGGGCTATTCTAGTTGTAGCAGCCACTGACGGGGAAATGCCTCAAACCAGAGAACATTTACTTTTAGCTAAACAAGTGGGCGTCAAGAACATCATAGTGTACATTAACAAAGCCGATTTAGTCGATAATGAGGTATAAAAAATCGCATTTAAACCGTACCTTTTTTATTGTGAACAGGACTTTTAGATGCTGGAGTTGGTTGAAATTGAAATTCGAGAATTACTGGAGAACTTCGGATTCAACGGTGTGGAGTCCCCTGTGATATACGGGTCAGCATTGGATGCCTTAAACGAGAAAGATTCTGAATATGGCGTTAAGTCTATAATGAAGTTGTTGGATACTTTAGACAGATATATTCCAGAACCCCAGAGGGATTTTACTTCACCATTCATGCTACCGATTGACAACTTTTTTACAGTTCCTGGAAGAGGTACTGTATTAGTCGGTACTATACTAAAAGGGAGTATCAAAAAGAACGCCGAAGCTGAATTGCTGGGTTTCGATAATAAAATCAAAACTTCTGTATCAGATATTCAAGTGTTCAAGAAAAGCGTACCGCAGGTTTGTTTACAATACATAAAACTATTCTCGATTATCGCTATGGTTTTAAGGCAATCGCTGGGGAAAATGTTGGTACTCTTATACGAAACGTAAAAGTAAAGGACGTAATGAGAGGGATGGTTCTATGTGCTGCTGGTAGTCAAAAAATTAACAATCGATTCAAAGCAAGCATTTATTTTCTCTCGAAGGCTGAAGGTGGTAGATCAAAACCAGTGACTAGTAGATATTGCCAGCAGTTGTTCAGTAAAACATGGAATATACCTGTTCGTGTTGATATGGGTATGTTTTATACATACTTATAATTATAACCAATTAGATTATTTACAATACAGGGTCTTTTCTATCACAATTTTTATAAGAAAATTATGATAGAAAAGTTATTTTCTTTCTAAAACTGTAACACCCTGTAGCCGGAAAACCAGGAGATTTAAGACATACATTGATATAAACTTTTCTTCTTAAAATCATCCAAATATTTACATCCTGTAGTATCGGCACTCAATTAATTTACACCCTGTATATATTTCAGTGGATAACGTGGATATGATAATGCCTGGTGAACATGGATCTGTTTCGTTAACATTGTTAAAGAAGATGGTTATGTTGCCGGGCCAGCAGTTCACAATTCGAGAAAACAATGTCACCGTGGGAACAGGTATAATCACAGAAGCTCTGCCCAGCATCAACTTAATTGGTAGTTTAGGAAAACTGGAATTGTAGCGAATGCTAATTTTTCCATATAAAACCCGCGTTAAATTAAATATTTTATTTAAAATGGAACTTAAACTAATAAAATCACCTTAGAGCAGTTTATAGTTGTCCCTTAATATTAGGTACAGTTAAAAATATTTTTCCGCAAATAATACTAATAGTTTTTCGAATTTGGAGAGTACATACTTGTATCAAAAACGTAAATAAAATTTAAGTGAATCTTACATTACAATCTCAGCGTTATCAACAAGTGAAAAGATTACAGATATCACAAATGGGGGACAGCATGTCGATTTCTTTGGTAGTCAAAATGCATCGTTTGTAAATTTTAGAATATTTAAAACATCTTCAAGTAAACTTGGGTTAAAAATTAGGTTTTATTCCTTAAAAACTACGGTTCTCAGTGCGTCCTCCGGCCGGATTTCCAGTTTCGCGATTGCCCCATCGTTGAAGGGAAACGACACGCCACCATCCACCACCAGCATAGCCTCGAAGCAATGGGACTGCACCTCAACGCCCGTCGCGAATCCCCTCGGCTTGATTCCCTTGGGATTCGGCCAAACGCCCGACGATATCAAATCTCGAATCGTGTAACCCATTCTCTTGTCCTCTACAACCACATATTAAATCACACACTTTCAAATTACAAGCGGCGTTAAACTCACCGGGCGCGAACATGAGATTCCGGTTGTACAAATCGGACAAGGATTTCGCCAAGCCGTCCTTCTCCTCCGACGAGTCCAAGTCGATTAGCCTCAGCAGCTCCGCGATGCATTGAGTGGACAGCCTGTTAATACTTAAGTGCCACGACGTGGAACCGGTGCCCGTGCAAACGCATATCCCCGAGCACTTCAAATCCGTTTTGTCCTGCGATCCGTTCAATCTCAGCTGCAGATGCGACACTCGTGCTGACAATGTCTCGCCCATAAACACCTGCACATATCAAACAGTAATTTAGTAAACTTAGTCAGTTTATTTCGACAAAAATACTGAACTGATTACGGCCTTTAACACCATAGTAAACCAGCATCACCACTGCTGTGGACTAACTAAACCTCTTCTACTTTGTGAATATAGAAGAAATAATTTGATAATAAAGTTACCTCATTAAGGGCTAGAACTGGCAATACGTTTTTCTCTCCGGTTTGAAACGTGGGCAAGGAGTACCCTTTGATGTCGTGCAAGCATTTGGGATTCAACATGTCCCCTTCGTTGTTCTCTATAGTTGTTCTTATTCTATTGCGCATGAGCCATTTAAACTGGCCCTAAAATAGCAAACGTTAGGTTTAAATACTTTTTTTAGAAGAGTAAATGTTGCGTACCCGTTGTAACTTTTCGAGGCTTTTTTTGATATCTAAAGAACACCAGCTGGGTAAGCACAGACATCCTTCTGATCTACTGGGATCTGAGTTGAAACCGATTACTGGTTTTTTATTATTCCGGACCCTGCTGGAAGCTAAAAGATAGGTGCCATCACCTCCGATGGGGATTATGATATCCGCATCATCTACTTTCTCTTCTGTTAAATTGTATCTGAAAATTAATATGTATTTTGATTGTTTTGTTAGAGTATTAAATCGTGTACCTATTTACAACTTCCACTTCAGTGCCGAATCGATTCAGGGTTTCAGTTAGGTTGTTTTCGAAGTTTCTGTGTAGCTCGTGGAAAGATACGAGTTTCTCGTAATTCGTGCCCCTTTTTCGCAGTATCTTCTCTAACTCGTGTTCGCTGCAATTGCTGTAGATTCGTTTCTCGGATTCATATCTGGATAATTTGGAGACTATCAGGGCTTTCTCGATTTTTAATGGATGCACTTCATTGGAAATGTTTTGCGAGAAAACATTCAAATTTCCCACGCCTGGAATAAACGTCAATAGTCAGTGATATTTGATTTTTTATGTTGGTCATTAGTTATTAATGACTGTTGACAGATACGTCATAATTCAGTAGTTTGAAATTTTTTTTAACAAAAATTTGTTTATTTTTATTGTTTTTATTAAAATTAGAGTTGATAATGTAGGTGATTAATCAAATTAAATAAAACGTAGAAAAAAGTAATGTTGAACAAAGCATTATAAAATGTCAGTGACGAACTGTCAAGTAACTAATTTGATATGTGAAACATATGGAAATATCTAATAAAAATCGAAAACTCTTACCTGAAAATATATTTCGTGTTAAAAATCTTGGTTTATACATTGAAAATAAATAAAATTCTAAATCGTCTTTTAGGTTAAAACACAAACGTTCTGAATAAAATTACTTAGAGGTTAGAACAGTTAAACGCACTTTGAACTTACACAAAAATTATCAGCAAGTTTACGTTTCCCAATATTTATTTATACATAATCTTTAATCAATGTTGTGACCTATTTCAGCAACATACTTATATTTAGGAAGTTTGTACGTCGACATCTCGTCCATACGGTTATTGACAAAATGAAAATACGCCATGCAATCACATAACCTCATCCTTTTAGCGGGAAAAATCAAACTCGCTTTCGTTCAATAGATATAATTCCATACATATTTAAAACTACTTAACAGTAAACGCAACACATATATATTATGTACATTTTATGTTTAACAAAATAAATTCTATCTGGAGTATCCCAACAACGGCACAATACCAAATGCTTGGGCGAGCATCTGGGAAAGTGTCGTCGAAGTTGGGAGACTCCAGTGGCGTACACGAAGAAAATAATGAGAATAGGCCTTACATTACTTTTGTGAGGTGGAAGTTTGTTAATTATGACCGGTACAAAAGCTTCGTTAACTTAGGTGGCATGCTTTGTTGAAGTGTGTGCAGTATTTACAGAATAAAGTGCAGTAGTTACATTTTCTGGTATCTCTCCTTGAATTTATCGCCCAAAACGACTTTTATAAGCAACTTAGGAATATTCTCCCTTGTATGGGTTATCGTCTGTTCCATTGGAACAATAAAAAGTTACTCAATTGGTCGATAAACTATAGGTTTGTTCCAGGTATTTGGAACAAACCTTTATATTAACATAACATAATCTAACTTCTCCAAATATTGCTTTGAAGTTTTAGGGCGTATTAATTCAGTTTCAAGATTAAAAAAAATGTCGAATAGGTGATAGACATGCATTTGATGTTACAATTTCTTGTTAGAAATTATGTAAAAGTTTTCTCTACTCTTCGATGATCGATGGACATGCAAAGTTCGCTGAAATTTTTCGAAAATGTAATAGCTTAGATGGCGAAATCCAATGCTGAAACGGCGTGCATAGAATAAAATATTATCTAGGGGGCACTAGAAATGTTAAAAGCCGCTATTTTGATCGATTCGTTAAAATTTCTAAGGCGATTTTATTTCGAATTTCGGCCTTTTACATTTAAAATTCTCCCTGTACAGGATGTCACAAAGCGCTTTCTTAAACTTTATTTTCAGTCACCCTGTATTTCTATTGAAACAAGCAATAATTAAAACAATTTGCATCAGTTCCAGTTAAATAGCTGATGGTCAAATGATTGAAATTCTCATGCCAAAAAGTGCAAATTGTGTACAAAAACCATGCTTTCGAAACCAAAATCACAAAGAAAGTCATTAATGAGCGATTTAAAAATGTGGCGGATAAATGCTCGGAAAATACAGGGTGTTTTTAACACATATTACATACATGTTTTGTACATAACGGCGTAACGTGAGCATTTATTTGGAACTAACTTTTTTTTGTAAAACAAACCAATTAGTTTTTACGATCAATGATTGGATGTTTTTACGAAAAAAAGAAAGGAAACGAACGCTACAATGATATGAAGGGCTCAACTATATGACAGTTCCTGATATGCTCTACAAGTGAAAGTGGAAGTACTAAAAAATATTAAGTAATTTATAGAGTAAGATGACCCGAAGTAAAATGTATCAGATTTTCAGTTCAATTTAATATAGTGTATGTAATTCAATTCGACGCAATAGGAAGTTTGTTTGGTAAATTTTTGTCTTATTCCAGCGTAAATATTATTTGTTATTAATTATTTTTCATCTGATACATTTACTCAATTGGATAAATCAGCAACGCACTAGAGAAGCGAATCGAAATCTACTTATCTTTTTAAAACTATTTTTTATTGTCTAAGGGTCAGAACGATTTCGTATTAATAAAATTAATAAACTCCAACGTCGTAAATTTTAAAATATTTCATTGAATTATAGCGATAACTGAAACGGTCGTTTTTCCGTTTTCGTGAGTACCAAAACCAGCGAAATCCCCACGAACTGTATCGTTTTGATACACATCAGTTTTGATACTCAAAAAATTCGATTGATATGAGTCTACACACTACGTAACGTTAAATCGTAACATTGCTTCAAAAAATTGACTAATTTCTTCGCTAAATCCGAGTTGTCAACGAGTAGCTTCTATACAAAATTACGTATTTGGCACTTTCAAACAAAAGCTTTAAAATCCCCAAAACGCCTATATGTTTCTTAATAAGTTCATAATTCGTAGAGCTTTAAGCAACGTTGTTGAGGTTCAAGATTTTCCTGATTTTGCAGAAAGCGATCTGGAAATCTACTTGGGAGAAGACTCAATGGCAAGAAATAGATAAAAATGTATCTGATGAGTTAAATAAATGCTTGTTAGAAATTTTTTGTAACTATAACATTTCCATGGTGTATCTGATGGCGGAAGAAAGGTTTGTTAATAGAGGGCATTTAAATAAAATTAGCCTAGGCAAGATATAAAATGTTAATATTAGGTATTAAAAACCGAGATAATTTGGAGGGAGTTGTAATGAGCATTATTATTATAAGAGTTAGAAAGAGAAATGTTCCGAAAAGTTGTATTATTGTTGAATTCGAATATCAAACAAGCAATGAGGAGTTAAAACATCTGATAATTGACAACAGAACACAAGAAATTTACGGTTTTTTTTAACAAATATTGAGCGTTTTCGTGAACAATTTTCAACTCGATATGTAATGGACAAGAAATTTTCTGATATGGTGTTTACCGGAACATATTAACATTCAACGAAAAAATGTATCTTCCTCAGGCACTACGAACAAGCACCCTCAAGCGAACCTATCGCCTAAAATCGCGTCTCTTCCTACCGATTATTCTCGCTTTGAAGCAATGCCTTCTTCGGTTGAAAAATAAGTAGTCAAAGGGTGAATCGTCCGATCGTACAACGAAAAAGTCGCCGCCAGCCTAACGTTCTAAAGAAACGAATCTCTACCTCATGCACAGGCGTGTAAACAAGGCTACTAGGGAGGCGAGGAACAGCGTTACGGCCGCCTCCGTTCGGGGGCCTACAATTACCGCGGCATTGCACATGTCCTCCTCACAAAAGCACATGTGGCCCGTTCCGCTACTTTCCATCATGCACACGTGGTCGACCATGAAGAGGTTGATCTGCAGCTGGGAGGTGCACGTGCGACGGATCACTTCATAAGCTGCGAACAAACGTTTTCGTTAACCATCTTTCTACTCCAATTTACTTGCACCAAGTTCCAAAAGAGCGATGAAAAAGGAGATTTAATACGCTAAACAAACTAAGAAAGGGAAGCTACATGGATAGGGTTGCTGCTGGGGTCTTATAGGCAAGTGCTGAAGCACAAATATCCAATAAGTACCTACAATAAATGTAGCTCGGCAGATGAAAATTGGATTAGATGAATAAACGAGGAAGAATGATGAACAAAGTTCAAGGAGTTTCTCACCACCTGTGAACTGCCGGAAGACACTTCTGTTCACTTTTCAATGTATACCCTTAATTATATCAACTACACAACTGGAAATCTTGTGATCTTTATTCTTTGGATGAGAATCAATAGAGCTCTCGATGCCTACCCTCTTCCTGAAGATTCCCACTACCAAGCTACATTTTGTGAGGTATACATGAGAAAGTGAAACCAAGAAGTGGAAGTTTAACTAAAATTCCTGCTGTTTTAACAACCATTCCTCGGTTTAAAGACTACCAAAATAGAACCTTCTACCTCCATCTGCTGCAGTAACATGTACTTATATTGGTTTGATAACTGTTGAAGGGCTGTAAATGGGAAGGGGGGAGAGTGTGTGAAACTTACGCGACTTGGAGTTCCTGACCATTTTGACGCAGCACCCGTTGCAGGTCATCAATGGGGGTTGGTCTTTGGGGAGTGCGGTGTAGTTAAACGGGTCTTTGCATCTTCTATCCGACCACGAATCGCATTCGTAGCAGTAAATTTGCCTCGCTGAAATTCATCAGGCGTTACTCGATTGAGCGCAGGAGGGGGTTTGTGGATGCTCGAATTGATGCAAACAACAAATCGCTAAACGGTTAATTTTGAGAGATTTTTTTTATCGAAAAATTGGTTGGGTGATAATGTGATGAGTCGTTTGAGAGTTGAGTTTGAGTAGCGCCAACCAATTTTTGGATTTAGAAGATTTATTTACATATATTTAGGCATGCAAAAATTAGAAAGAAAGTTGAAAGTTTGTTAGTGCGAAGTGTTATCTACAGTGAATACAGTTATTTACTTGGAAAATATTCCTAGTGTAAAGTTATAATTCAAAGTAAATTGATATGTAACATTTCGTTCCAAATTTTGAATTATTTACCAAATTGTTTGTGATACTTAATTCAAACAAATAAGCAATCAAATTTAGCTTCACCTTTAATTAGAAAACAATCAAGAAAGATCTGTGTTAGCATGTAAGTGACAGTATTTTCGTAATGTAAACAACGAAGAAAGAAAACCAATGCATTTTACTAAAATCTAAACGAAAAAATAAAAGAGCCTAATGAAAATGGTAATACCAAAAAAGCCTCCTATATATCATAATTTTATACATTTATAATATTTTGTCAGAAACAATTATTATTAACACCAAAATACACATTGAACGGCAGACATCACGACTTACTTTGGCATTCTGCTTTAGATACTGTAGCAATAGCTATCAATATTATCACTGAAAAATAAAAGTATAGAAAACATTAATTGGTTTGATGCCGCAGATCTCAGCTAGCTGCTTCTTTTCAAATAATTTTTCGAGTCGAGTCATTTCCTTTGTGAGGCAATTCAACCACATTGAGGTATCGGGTCAAATAGAGGATTCCAAAAAATTTGCCCGTTTAAGATTCATTCGTTTGGAAAACTCTTAAACGCGCAACTCCACAACGAAAAGCTTATGAAAGAGTGTATAAAACGAGCAAGGGGACGAGTATTAATATTTACACAAATCCAAGCAAATGGAAAATTCTTTTCTATCCGTTTCTGTTCGATAAATTACTAATAATTGATTCTGATTTCTGATGTGCCATATATCTCTCAAGTCGGTCAACTTGATATCAAGACCGGTATGGGGATCCCCAAACGTGAAACGAAATGCCATAATTTTTTTCGTTTTGGTGTAACAAAATTGTTCCGGGTGCGCCAATCTGCTCTAGGGGATGAGTATAACGGCCTTTTACAAAACCAAAAAAAAAACGTAACGAAACAAAACGCTTGTGCCCAAAAAACAACGAACGAAAAACGAAATAATTTTCGGAATTTCGGCTCGCTTTCCCAACGCAAATCGAACCCGGAAAATCCGATTCTAAATTACCATCTAAATTGGTGTAAAGGGAATGGTGATTGGTGACGCAAACTATTCATTGAAAGGAAACGATTTGACGAAATTATTATAATAGGTTTGATGATGAATATAGCTGCAAAATCGTCGGATATGCGTAATTGAATGCAAGTAGGTCTGATTAGTAAAATACCTCTATCATTTTGAATTGAATGCAGGTCAGTTTTAATTTTGTCATTGGAGGTAGTTTGTCAATTGCTCGAATTAGATGCGGGGAAAGAGCGATGAGAACTTAAAAGTATTTTAAATACATTAAAAAATGAACAATCTGAGCAAAGCAAGAGTAAACTGGCTAGTATGAAGAAATAAAAAAAGTACAATTTGCAAGAGAAATGCGTGTCGAAATTCCTACTAGATAAAAAACTTTACAAATGATCGATTATGTTTTGTACAGAATTTCGTAAAATGTGGTTGAATTTACATAATAATATTGTTGTTTCTAATTTTAAAAAGAATTCATAATATGTATAATTATATATAATTTAATTAAAATTTACGAACATGTTAACTAGGCGTCTAGAAAAAATCTAAATGGAGTATTAGTAAATACTTCAAGCAAATTACGAATGTGTAATGTAAATCATTGAATTTTACTCACGAGCGCATTCCCATTGAGCACATCCGAAAGATATAAAACAGACTGGAATAAAGTTAACGTTTTTATTATGTTTAAAAAATTGTCCCGGATAATTGTTCTCCTGATATAAAAATTATTTGAAATGTTGAGATAAATCGAAAAATGAAGGATACCTTCCTAAAATCGTACATTTGTTGCTAATGTTTTAGGTATGTAATAAATTGAGATTATTGTCTTGACAATATAATGCATTTTTTATTTTATTTTATCGTTAGCACACTTTTTATTTGATAGCCGATTACCAAACTTAATTCTGAGTTATAATAAAACTTCCAAAGACTTATCTAAAGACAGCTTTGTATAAATTTGTACAAGGTGGCCAAATAAAGGTTAAACACTGCAGTTAAATTTGTGGGCGTGATATATTAAAAAATTTAAGAAAAAAAATCAATCTCTATCATTTTAAGGCAGAACAAGACATACTTGACTTTCTTTTTTCTTTAGTGTAAGAGATTTACCAATAAACTTGAATAAAATGGAATATTTAACAAAAAATGTACTAACTCACCCCGTCATATTGTATTCGAATTAAAACAAATATAATGGGCAACACACTGTAAAACATTAGGTAGTTAAATTCCTCGCGTGCTCAATTACAATTAGCAATAAATTACTGGCATTACCTAATGGTACCAAGATTTTATACATCTTGGTGGTCGGTCGATCACAATCACAGGTACCTAAATATTATGTGGTTAAAATTTTAGAGCGTCTCTCGTCACTAATCTATTAGTTCTCCCATAACGGTTTGAGTTTAAATTGAATTTTAAATTTCGAACGGACTATGCGGCGATAACTAGGCATTTTTAAATATGTTATTTTGATTGAGCTGGACGCCGTTGTGGTCTATTTCTCGGCGCCTGAACGCTGCCATAGTGTTTTATATTGATTTTATTTCGCGTCCTTGTCCGTTGAGGAGAACGCATTGGCGTTCGTCCTTTCCTACCTTTCCAAGACTCTATTATATTCTAATAATTATGTACATAGGTATACCTACTTATTTATAAACTATTTGCTCAGTTTTAGGAGAGCTAGAGTATGCTATAAAAACTCAGAATTTCCAGTCACCTTTTAGGTAGGTTTTTGTTCAATATCCTGCAAAATTGAAATTTTTCTTTGCAATTCGAACGCACCGCCACTGTATTACATCTGCAATTGCAATTTACAGTGCCAAAATAGAGCGCAACATGCAGATACACAAGAATTCGTTTCCTTGGGAATTTACTCAATACTGTTTAGTATTTTTTATGAAATTATACTGAAAATTTGGTCCTTTTAAAAGACCAAAAAATTCAAATTTGCATGCTAAATTAATTATTCGACGCTCTTTCCGTTTTCAATTACATAGCTAATTAATCTTTTATCTAATTACATACTAGTCATAAAAAATTCCATTAATGAAAAAACTCATTTACTTGAGTAATAATAAATCTACTCTAATTAAAAAAATGTCTCTCTCTCTTGTTAAAGATATTCAGCGCTCCATTTTAACGCTAATAAACCTTAGTCTCTTTAACTTGACAGTTGTACATTGATTGTTTTATACTTTGGACATTCTTTACATTAAAGGGACTCTTTAAACGATTGATTAGCGTTAAAAAGAAGCGTTGAATGCTAACGAAAGACTCAACTTGAGACATAAAGGAGGAAATACTTGTAAAATTAGGCCATTTCAACTAATACAATTTATAATTTATTTAAAATTAAAATTTACTATATTCCTATATCAACAACAGAAAATCGGTTAGTGATCCCCGTGATGATGGTGCTCATCGGGAAATATTTTATCGTAAATGGCTGTGCCTAAAACGGTAACAACGGTGGCTGCAAGGCCGAGTTTGAATCCTCTGAACATCAATTTTTTAAGCATATCATGGTGCGTTGAGAATTCTTTGGTGTTGTACCTCCACACTTCGTTCCGCAGCCAAGGATCGCTCAGGCCTTGGGCGGCGAGCGCCCTTTTTATCTGCATAAGTCGAGGGACGTCTTCGACTTTGTATATTTTATAATCGGGGATTTTGTAGGGGTCCCCGTGGCCGTGTCCTCCGCCTCCCATAGCTGGAACAAATTTTTAACCTCAATTCATTGCATAATCGATGAAGATTGAATGCGGGTTGTAATGGTTTTGGATATTTAGTAGTTTGTTTAGGGTTTTATAAGAGTAGTTTGATGCTTTAGAATGTACTTACTTTTGTAGAAATAATTAAATTTTGTTTTATAAATATTCTTTATTTTCAATTAGATGTCAGTGTCACTTGTCTTGTCTTTTAAGAGTGCTTCTTCTTTTTTTATCTTGATAGATTTCAAATATTTTTAAGTTGTTGGCTCTGTCTTGTCATTACTTTGACAAGCTTGATAATTATTCTGAGGCAAAATGTAAATATTTTTTGGATTACTTGATATTTATCAAATTTATAAGAAGAAATTATTCCAAATTTTATATACGAATCGTACATTTGAACTACATTTTTTGTAATGTAAGCATGCTTTCAATTTTAAAAATGTCCACCTTAATTCTATTCAATTCTAGGTATGGATTCACCTACCCTTTAATTTTCACAAAACTTATATGCCTTTTGACAGCCTTCTTATTCAACTTTACATTATTGAAAATAACCAGAGTTTACGCCTTCACGTGATAAATGGCCGAATGTTATACAGAGAATCAAAATGAGTAATATGGAAAGCCCATCGAGCCCTGTGGTTGTAAATAAAATCTTCATTAAAGAAGAAATTTATTCCTTGAATAATGGAATTGAACAAATAAATGAAAATAATCCAAAAATGGCTTTCGAGATTAGTAGCAATGATAAACTGCACACGACAGTGCATATTAAAGAAGAATGTGCTGAAGAATACAATGAATTTATTAACATTGAAGATTCAAGTATTTCCTACAAAGATGATTTTACTGTGAAGCAGAATGAAGAAATATGTGTAAAAAGTGAAAACGAAGAATTAATTATTGATACAGATAATAAAAATCAAATTAATTGTGAAGCTAGGGAAAATATTGAACCCGATGATCATATAATTAAGAGAGAATATGATGATTTACCTGATTATAATGATGTTAAAATTAAAACTGAAGATATGTTTAATGCCAATAATGGAGTACATCCAGATAAAATTAATGAACCAGCTTCGGAATTAAATAGCAATGCACATTGCAAGTTAGAATGTGAGTATGTTTTGAAACAATATATTTGCACGGATGATATTACCCCCTTAGTGAATGAAGATTTGAAGGAAGAAACAGATTTATTTGAAGTACCCCAAATAGGCGAAATTCCTGAACAATTCATTAATAGCAATCCAATTGATGATCCTATGAATAACGATTTACTGAAAAAATATCAGTGCAATCTCTGCAATAAATCATTTACTAGAAATGATCGTTTAAAAAGTCACTTGGTATCTGTTCACAGGAATGAGAGAAAACACAAGTGTAATATTTGTCAAAAACTGTTTGTTCGCAGCGATCACCTCAAAAACCACTTAGTAACTCACACTCGTGAAAAATTGCATCAATGTTACCTGTGCCAAAAATCTTATTCCCGCAAGTACGATTTAAAGAGTCATATAGCAACTCATACCGAAGGCAAAAAGTATCGATGCGACATTTGCGGAAAATCGTTTATGCGCCAGTACAGTTTGAAGGCTCACTTGATTATTCACAGAGAAGAGAAGAAGTACCAATGTGATATTTGCCAAAAAACTTTTACTAAAGAAGAACGTTTCACGAGACATTTGGCTACTCATACCAAGGAGAAGAATTACCAGTGTGATATTTGCCAAAAATCATTCAACCACCGTGATACATTGACCAGCCATATGATTGTTCACGATAAGCACAAATTCGAGTGTGATGTTTGCCTGAAAACTTTTGCTGTCGAAGACGACTTCACAAGGCATCTGGATACTCATACTGAGGAGATGAAATACCAGCGTGATATTTGCCACAAATCATTCACTTGCCGTGGTAGCTTCACCAGACATTTGAGTGTTGACGATAAGAAAAAATTCGAGTGTGGTGTTTGCCAACAAACTTTCGATATCAAAGACCACTTGACGAGGCATTTGGCTATTCACACCGAGGAGAAGAAATACCAGTGTGGTATTTGCCAAAAAGTCTTTACTTGCGACGAACGTTTAAAAAACCACTTTACTGTTCATGTCATGAAGAAATGGAAGTGTAATATTTGCCAGAAATCGTTTGCTCGTAAGGATCATTACGAAAGCCATGTGGCTGTTCATAAAGGTAAAAAGAAATATTTGTGCAAGTGTTGCGGAAGGGCCTTCTCCCGCAAGGAGTATTTATTAAATCATTCCGCCGTTCACATTAAAAAAGTAAAACGGCAGTGCAACATTTGCCAAAAAAAGTACTTTCAAACTCATCAATCGCCAAGTTATAGTGTAGACAACAACGTTATAATATGTTCTGAAAAATGTTCGTTAATTCAGAAAAATTTTGTCACGAAAATCAAAACAAAGTACGATATGTTTTTCAAAATAAATTAGTTTATTATGAGGTTTTTATTACATTTATCCTTTTGGGTGGGTGCTTTTCTTCGGTGTAAAAGAGTTCATGAAAAATATTAAAATCTATAATTTTAAAGTAAAAATTATATCTCGTAACTTGTACATCCGTAAAACAAAAAAACAATTACTCACCTATAGTACAAAATAGAAATAAAAATTTAAATTTGAAATTTTTAAATGCGAGAGTTACTGTATAGCTTTGAAGCAACGGGTCAGTAAATCATAAATCTGTAAGTTGGTTACACTGCGTGTCAATAAATTTGACATTAACGTGACTGTCATTCGTTGCTGGCAGGGAGAACGAAACGGTTTTTTTATTACATTTCCAATGTTTTCTCAAGTCCCACGTAAATTGCACTAAACACTCCTAATTTACATCCGAGCGAAATGGGAACGGAAATTCTAAAGTCCTTCGGCAACCTGCAGAGCGAGCTAGACGAAGCGAGGAGCAGTTTGAAAGGCGTAGACGAAAGTATAAAGAGGTTAATCGGAAGGGACCCTTCCGAGTTGCCACCGAGGAACGCGCAAAAGAGGTCCCTGGAGGAGAAAAACCGGAACTCCAAGGTGCCTGCGCGCCTACGCAACTCCACTTTCGAAAACGACGAGCCTCCGGTGAAAAGGCGCAGCAATATATCCGTGTTCAAGAGGTTATCGGAGAAGATCCCCGACGACGATCATTCCATATCGCATAAAGGCTTAATTAGTAAAGTTATCGTGACACCCAAGGAGGTGCCCAGCCGGGAGCAAGCCCTCGAAGCGCAAAACAAAGATGAGAAATTCAAGGCTCGTAATAAGAGGATGTTCGGCGCTTTGCTGGGCACCCTGCAGAAGTTCCAACAGGAAGAAACCAAGCTAAAGCAAAGGGTGAGTATTCAACAAGCAATGATATTAATTTGCTAAGACATGCGCTTTGTAGGAGCAAAAACGCGCGGAATTGGAGAAGAAAATCGAAGAACATGAAATCAAGGAGAAGGAGGAAGTAAGAAAGGAGCGGCAAGAGTTGTTCTTCAATCGTAAGAAGAAACAGGCCGAAATTAAAGTTATCGAGTTGAAAATGCTGAGAATGAAGGAATATGCCTCCTGGGAGCAGACCCAAACGTCCAGGCTCAATTACATTTTAACCAAAGCTAAACCCCACGTTCACTATTTGCCTCGCAAAATGACCGAGCAGACTACGAAACTTCTCGAAGAAAGCAAATCCAGTATACAAGGTAAGTTTTTTTTTCCGTCTTACTTACTGACCTTTTTCTTGTAAGCTATAAGCCACTAACGCAGGAAAATCGACGTGTTATGAGCAAGATTTTGAGTTTCAAATGCTTCGATCGATACTTGCAATTAGTAATTTGCCACATAAATAAGTCACCATTTTTATCTAACATAAGGGAACTGTAAATGGGAGAAACTCTTTTTGAGAAGTTGGCCATGAATGACAAAATTTTTGTTGGCAATACTTATTAACCAGTAAACAAGTGGCGCGAGATTTTGAATTTATCAGTGTATAAACATGACTTCTCGATTAGATAATCAACTTCTGTAGGTATCGCACGATAACCTCTTTAATTTATTTTCTTTTGCCACTAGAAATGCTGGATATAAAGAAGAAACAAATCGCCGAAGAATTGCAGCATATCGACGAGAAAATGAAGAAAAACTTCGACTACAAGTTCGGGCACAAAGAGGAGAAGGAGGAAGTTCGACAGACGGACACCCGCAGGAGGCACGATACAGACAAAGATAACGAAAACGACGATCAATACGACGAAATTCAAAATGATGAGGTCGAAAATAAGGATGGGATGGAGGTGGAAACTCTAAATGAGGACCAAAAAAAAGATAGCAATTTAAACGGGAGTGCTGATAATGGCGAATCGTACCCCAATGGCGATTCTAACGTGAACCAAACAAATCCCACGGAGGATTCTTCAAATAATAATCCTGCGGATCGTTCTAGTCCTGTTAATACTGAAAGTAACGTTAATGATGCAGTTAATGAGTCGCATTCAGAGCAGAATTCGCAAGAATCGCCGGTTTACAACAGTATAAGTGTACAAATGGGGAACTTTGGGCCACAGACTAGTGACTGATGGTGAACCTTTGAGTGTATAGTGCGCTAAACTCGTACTGTTTACTGATTTAACACCTTATAGCAATTAAGCATTTCCATTTTTATTCTTTTAAGGTGTAGATATGGAATTCAAGAAAACAATTAATAACGCGTTTGAAGTTGATTTTCGTTTTATTCTTAAACGCTTAATATTTTACCTTTGAATATGTTTCGTGGATTTAAGTATAGGAGAAAGTGTATCAAGTATAGGTTTATTGATATTTCTGATTGAATAAAATTAAGATTACACAATTTAAAATTACTAAGTAATCCAAGATTATTTGCAGGGTAATTGAAGAGAATCGACGTCTTTAGATAAAACTTGAATTAAATCCGAGATAATCTCCATCGTTGAGCCCTAATAAAAACATATATCTTAGTATCCTTATTTTTGCAGGTTTTTATTTTTTTGTAGTTTTTTACCTTCAAGCAAGTTGGATCGAATACGAATTTATTGTCAGGACTCTTCATCACATAATCGTTTACGGCATACTCGAAAATCGGACTTAAAATACAAGAGGCTTTCTCCGGTTCGTAGGAATTCCACATTGTAAGTAAGATATTAAAAATATTTAATACTTTAGCAGCAATACCACTTGCTTCGGGGTTTTTATAGAATCCTGTTAAGCTCACCTAAAATCGCACATGATTTTTATAATGAAACTTATTTGTTAATTTCTTATTCTTAATCATTAATACAAGAAACCATTTGATGCTAAGCAGGCGCTATGCCATTTGTTAGCAAGAAAATAATATAACAGAGATGGGGGGATTCTTCTAAATTTTAGTAATTACCGTTTCATAATTGTATTCCAAGTTTAACTTCAAATCGTATACTCTACTCTTATCTCCTTTAGAAGTAAAAGCTATGTGAAGATTTGACGCTGGTAACCTATAAAGTAATAATTTTATTGATAAAATCGCTTTAGTGATGGAAAAGTTACTACTTATTTAATTATTAGGAAAATGCCTACCCAAAATTTTCATCTATTTTGAGAAATACAATGAGACCGAAACTTGCAAGTTTCTAATTTATTAGACAGGGTGTCCCGCATAACCGACACAAAGTAGGGGCTTATAGGAAAGCCTATGCCCTGTATAATTACACTTACTCAAACGTTCCCTTTCCGTAAATAGGAATGTACCCCATCCAATCAACGTCTATTTCGTATTCCAATGTTACACTTATTTTTTCAGCAGCAACATCTAGGCGCACATCGACTATTTCTACGTTTGGATCAGGCTGTGTAACATTGATATTTTTGTTCGAGTCCTCCAGGTCATTAAAAATCAACGTATCCAATCCGTTTACCATTATGTTGTCCAAACGTATTGAACCTCTACAACATTTTTAGCATAAAACATTTTGGATATTTTTAGTGGAGATTCGCGAAAACTAGGAGACCTTTCGATGAAGTGAGTGGACAATAATATGCCAAAAATTTTGCACGAATTCATTTTCGGGTCTTTTTTTAGTTTTCGTGAAGCGGCTGAAACGGTTTATTACTTGATTGTATCGTCGTTTAGAAGTTCCGAAACATTAACTGATATGCTGTCGAATGGAGTAAATGGATTATCTCGAAGACTCATCAAGTACAAATAAATGTAGGCCTGTATCGTTTCGGCTGTACGAAAATAAGAAAGGCATTATAAGTGTACGTAACTATATTATTATTATTTTACTTACTATCCATATTAGTTATTTCACTGTACAAACAATATAGTTTAGAAGCTTTGGAATTGCCTGGTAAATCAATTCGATATGTATTTATTGGGTGTTAAATGTTTATCAATTTATTGGGGATTTAGATAAAAGAAATTGGCAAAACACAATAAGAATTATAACGAGAATAATTATGAGATCATTGGGAATATAACGCTGATATGATATTGTATTTAAATTTGGTATTAGATGGATACATTTTGTATTTCCTGTATACAAGGTGTCCTGCACAAGTACCGACACATAGCAGGAGCATGTAGGGGAACCCAAAATATTCTGTTTAATACAAAATTACATTCCTGAGAAGTTATAGGCCTTCAGTTATAAAGAAAAAATGTCTCGGTTCTTATGCGGGACACCCTGTATATTCTGTATACGCATAGCTTGCGATTTTCTAATTTGAAACTTTATTAACGCTATTTGATGATATTGTTTAAATCGAAATATGCTTTTTGGAAAAATGTCGCTGCACATATAATTTCCTTAGCTATCTTTTTTAATTTCTCTTTATCCTCTAACATCTCTTTCAACCGTGCAAGGATATTGTTAATAGCTTTGGAGTCCACTGCAATAATGATTTCTTGTAGTTTATCGATAAAAGCGCTGCCCTAAAATAAACAAATTGTAATTAAAGGACGTTCTTTAACAGCTCTATCGAACGCAAACGAACCTCCAAACATTTACATCTTGAATACGTGAGTTTCTCCTTGGTCAATTTGTGGTTTATTATAATTTTTATTATCTGTTTAATAATGCACTTAAAGCACTCTTTGTGATAATTGTATAACATGGCGATGTACCGTTCGATCTTATTCAGTATTTTAGTTATAAACTGGCTCACGTTGGAATTATGCCAAAATCCTGTTACATACGACTGAAATTTAAATATGTATACTAAATAATTAGTTTACTAAATACATTCTACCTCATTTGAACTCCTGAAAGTCAAGTCGAAATCCAGGTCTTGTAATTTTAGACCATTTCTATCGTTGAAAGTCGCATTCGTTTTGATATCAACGTTTCTGACTTCTAATCTGCAACATACAGGGTGTTTTGAATTGTAGAAACGGAAATACTGTGTACTTAATTAGTGTTAGTAATAAAATTTGAAAAGTTGTGTACAAGTCTGTGTGCTATTTAATGAAAATATTTACAAGTTGTTCTATGTGGAATATCATTTTTTCATGTTTACACAAATGCTTCATTGTGGGAAACTGAAAGAAAGTTTGGTGTTGCTTGGTGTCACAATTACATTTGAGCTACTGAGTAACTGTTTTGCCACAGAGAGAATTATTCTCTTCTAATTAAATGACTCCAACTCACTGAATATCTCCTTTTCCATACAAAGGTAACTCGTTCAGCAAATTCAAGTCGAGCTCGTAAACAGTGTGCAGGCCGATTTTCTCGAGTGTGGCGTTAACATCGATGTTGTAAATTTTTATTGCAACATTATTTTCCATTTCTTTATCGACATCCACTGCATCGCTGTATTCCAACGTGGACAGTCCGTAGAGAGTTACGTTTCTTACACCGATGGCTCCCATTCTAAATATCGCTTTTGCTATTAATTTTTTCGAAAATGTTAGTAGTAAATACTTACATCACGTCGTCGAGTATACCGGGCGTTTTAATGTGTAAGTTTTTAAATATCACAACGTGGCCGGTGTTTTTGATTTCGTTTAGGGTCGTTTCTAAGGCGATTTTTATTAGGAATGCTGGATTTGATAAAATGAAATGTTAGATGAAAATTAATTAGTTGTGTATTAAGTTGAATACCTGAAAAGTAATCCTCTTCGGATTGAGTAAACTGAACGCATAGTAGAAATGCCACTGTTATGAATAAAATCCTCAAGTTCATATTAGATGAATACACTGAAAATTTATTTTGTATGTTTAAAATATTTCTGTTTTAAATATAGTTGATTTTAAAGAGACTGAAGTCATTACGATATGGTAAGAATATACCTATTGAAGCTACCAATTTCAATTCGTATTTATTTTTTTTTGTTGTATTATAATTATGCATATCGTTCGATTAAGCATGTCGTTATCAATGTAAAAATATAAGACTACGCTAGCACATAAAGGATTCGAATGTTACAATAATTATTAAAAAAATATTAAGGGAACCAGTTGAGTGATTGTCTTTATAAATTTAATTTATTTTCAGTTCAACAGGTTATTTTCATCTTTTACAGTTAATAAAATATTGTCGTAGATTTTTCGGGCTACTTTCACGGTTTGTGGTTTTTTTAAGGTGTCTTTTATCCACACTTGCAATGTATTTGAGTCCAATGCTTGCAAAAATCCCTCGAGAATGTTTTGCATTTCATTAGTGATTTCCTGTAAAAAGCAAATAAAAAATGAAAATAGTAAAATAATTAAACGGGCACATAGGGAGCCGAGGTTTATTTATAAGACAATTATAATAATTATAAAGGTTCCCTAGGCACACTTCTCTAACTGAAGTGAACTTGAACCCACTTAGCATATTATTAGTTTTTACAGTAATTTCTGCTTTGGATAAATTTGGGTATATTCAAAGTATATTTCACTTACATTTAAACATCGGCATTTAATATGCGAATGTGTGCCGGGATACAAAACCTGATCTGCTATTTTTTGAATAATCCTGCTCAAAATGCAATCGATACATTCGCTGTTGTAGTCATACCAAGCGCAGAATAACGGCTCTATGTCGTTTATTAAGCTCGAAAGAAAATTGCTGACCTCTTCGTTTTTCCAAAAGTTGCGAATATAGTTCTTCAACATTAATAATAGAATGGTAGGTAGTGAGATTATTTTTGGAGACAAATTCAATAACTCACTTGATTAGAATCTCGCATGACGAACTTCAAATCAAAATCCCTTATTGAAATATTGTGATCAGATTGATCGCTCATGGTTAGGTTTATAAAAACGTTTGTTTTATTGAAACCTAGTCTGGAAATGTCTTGTCAGGTATCAAACTTATAATTTGATCAATAATTTCGCTTACCGAAAGTCGCCTTCTCCATAAACAGGTATAGTATCTAAAATTCCCATGTCCACATAATAATTACTACGTACTCCTATTTCAGCAAATGACAAGTTTACGGGTATATTATTTACTGTAAAGTCATCTTCATTCGGTAAACCTACAGGCTCACAGTCATACGACATGGTGTCGAATCCATAAATAGTTAAGTTATTAAATTCCGCGTAACCAACACTAGAAAAGTTTTTCATCAACCACTCACCGTATTCACCCGATTTAGCTTATATTGATTTATTAATGCAACGATTCTGAGACTGTTCTGCAATTTACATAATCTGTGTAACGTTCAATATTAAGTTTTACAGATTTCTATTTTACAATGTTTTTATTAAGTCTTCCAAAATTGCTTCGTAAGCTACGATTTTTTTACATGCAACGTTAAAATAAATGTTCTTGCAGTGTTTGGCATAATTTGAATATACATATTTACCCGTATTCCTCAAGAATTTTTGGTACATGAATGACTAATTTATTATTTATAGTCAACTGTTTAAGAAAAAATTTTAATAACGTTAATCCTCCGTCTATTGTATGTTTAATCGTCTCTGAAAATCATTAATATATATTTTATGATACCATCGAAGGTCTACGAACTTACCTGGGTCAAGGCATGTTGCACCAATCACTAAACAATTAAGTGTCAGTAACACTAACTTGTAATCCATTTCTTCAGAATTTTACTTTAAAACGGATACCCTATAATACTCTTATGTAATTCGAACGTAAGTAAAATACGTGCATATTATCATGTATTAATAATTATAGTTTTCTATGTAATATTATTACAACCACTTCAGATAAAATTTTCATTATCTCTCACTACGCTGGATATGGTAAAGTACACAATGGCTCTCGTTGATTTCACAATATAATAGAAAATACATTGCAATAAGCTGGATATTTTTGTAAAACCTATGAGGAAGATAAAAATTCTCTAGTTCACTAGAAAAAGGAGAAGGATACCATCAAATAAAAAATAAACCTACGCTAGTGTTAAGAGGATGTTTTAAATATTACGCCAACTACATATAGTAGTTAGGTGATTTTTTTATTAATTTATTCATTTTCAGTTCAACAGGTTATTTTCATCTTTTACAGTTAATAAAATATTGTCGTAGATTTTTCGGGCTACTTTCACTGTTTGTGGCTTTTTTAAAGTATCTTTTATCCACATTTGCAATGTATTTGAGTCCAATGCTTGCAAAAAACCGTCGAGAATGTTTTGCATTTCATCAGTGACTTCCTGTAAAAAAAATCAAAAATGAAAAGTTACACAATTAACAAGCACATAGGGACCCCAGGTTTATTTATTGCTTTATCCACCGATAAGCTATTAATTTAATAATAAAATTTGCCCTAGGCATCTACATATTCAAAGTGTATTTCACTTACATTTAAGCATCGGCATTTAATATGCGAATGTTTGCCGGGATACAAAACCTGATCTGCTATTTTTTGAATAATCCTGCTCAAAATGCAATCGATACATTCGCTGTTGTAGTCATACCAAGCGCAGAATAACGGCTCTATGTCGTTTATTAAGCTCGAAAGAAAATTGCTGACCACTTCGTTCTTCCAAAAGTTGCGAATATAGTTCTTCAACATTAATAATAGATTAGTAGGTACTGAGATTATTTTTGGATACAAATTCAATAACTCACTTGATTAGAATCTCGCATGACGAACTTCAAATCAAAATCCCTTATTGAAATGTTTTGAGCATATTGATCGCTCATGGTTAGGTTTATAAAAACGTTTGTTTCGTTGAAACCTAGTCTGGAAATGTCTTGTAAAGTATCAAACTTGTAATTTTATCAATAATTTCGCTTACCGAAAATCTCCTTCTCCATAAACAGGTATAGTATCTAAAATTCCCATGTCCACATAATATTTACTACGTACTCCTATTTCAGCAAATGACAAGTTTACGGGTATATTATTTACTGTAAAGTCACCTTCATCTGGTAAATCTACAGGATCAAAGTCATACGCCATGGTGTCGAACCCATAAATAGTTAAGTTATTAAATTTCGCGTAACCAACACTAGAAATATTTTTCATCAACCACTCACCGTATTCACCCGATTTAGCTTATATTGATTTATTAATGCAACGATTCTGAGACTGTTCTGCAATTTACATAATCTGTATAACGTTCAATGTTAAGTTTTACAGATTTCTATTTTACAATGATGTTATTGAGTCTTTCCAAAATTTGCATTATAAGCTACGATTTTTTTGCATGCAACGTTAAAACAAATGTTTTTGCAGTGTACATATTTACCCGTATTCCTCAAGAATTTTTGGTACATTAATGAGTAATTCATTATTAATAGTCAGCTGCTTCATCGATTTTATTTTAAAAAGAGCTGCTCCTAGTGCAATTTTAATCGTAACTGAAAATCGTTAATGTAATAAGAAATTACCACTGAAGTCTACGAACTTACTTGGTGATAAGGCCGTTACACCAATTACTAAAAAATTAAACGCCAACAACACCAACTTGTAATCCATTTTTTAAGAACTTTACTTTGAAACAGGTGTTCAGTAACATGTAAGTCGAATGAAGTAGAATACCTGCATATTATCATATAATAATTATTTTTTTATCTGCAATAATGGTACAACCACTTCAGATAAATTTTGATTAAAAAGGAAGGTTTATATAAAGAAACATCAAAACAGTTCAATATTCCAACCTTTATAAATAGACAATTAAAAACTCTCAAATTATGTGATACATATACTCGTATGTAGGTATAATTATTCAGGGTGTAAAGGTGTAAGTAAAAAGTTGAACAAGATGCTGAGAAAGGGGAATCTCTACACTTCTTATCGGTTAATTAATATCTTCGTTATTATGTAACAACGTTACAATAATTTCCAATAATTCTTTTACGCCATAGCCCTACAACAGAAAAAAATGTTAGAACTTAAACGTGTGTATTGAATTCAATCTTCAACCAACCATTAAACATGAACATTTAAAATTAGGAACATCCCTTAGTGATTGAGACAATTTGTTGAAAATGCAATCTAAGCAATCCCTGTTATTTTGATAAAACGACAAAATAATTGGCCATATCCAGTTAAAAATGTCTACTAACGTTTCACTCCTCTCACCAATATTCCAGAATTTATTTACATTCACCTGAAATAAAATTAATTTTAAAGCTAGCGTTAACTAATTTCTTAAATACTTACACTAAACATTTTAATCAATTTGGCGTTAATTATCAATTGTAAATCACTCGTGCTTAGATTTCCATATTGCTTGTTCCATAATTTTATAAGCTTTCGATTGCCTATTAATTTAATATCATCGTTTGTTGGTAAAATTAAATTTGATTCCAAATCGTACGTATTAGGACTTTCGAAACTCAAAAAGCTCTCACTAAAAAATGGGACATTTAATGAAATTTTCTATATTAGGATTCACTTACAAAATCATTTTGAATTCCATCGGTAGTTCAAAATTTTGAAAAATTTTCGCAAATTCGTTTGATTTTTTCAACACATCTGTAATAAATTAGTATTATACAAAACGTATTAAATAAACAAGAAGCATTAATCACTTACCTGATCTGAGACAATTGACTAATACTAATTTAGGATTTTGAAATAATGTTAAAGGAATTAATAATAAATAAAAATGTATCATATTCTCCCGACAATATTTTAAACTGGTATTGTAATTGAGACAATGAAATATTATGCAAAAATTATGTGAACAAAAAGTAAATTATCATAAAACTTTTATTGTATCGTGAAATCGATTTCGATTAATAATGTTACTTACCTATACCAAAAATGAGTTAAAAATAAATATAATTTAAACATAATTAGAATAGACTAGAGTACCTACCCCTGCCTTTTATTTATTTTTATTCTTTTATTCTCTTCTTATTCTATTCTTTATTCTTTTATGCTTTTATTATCTTACCGGTTGTGCAACTCTCGACTCTACTTTGCTTCTCGCGGGTAAAACATTTTCCTCAATCAAAACCACAATTCAATTCGTACACATTTAATTTACATACACTAATACATTTAATAAAACTAATCCTGAATGGCCTTCTGGTAGGCATCCAGGGCGACATCCTTGAGCTGCTGCGCCATCACCGGCCCCGTCTCTTCCACCAGCTTGTAGAAGAACCCGCCTTCGATTTGGAGGAGCTTGTGCGGATGATCGAACTCCACCATCTCTCCGAAATTCATCACCAACACCTTGTCCGAATCCATGATGGTGTTCAGCCTGTGCGCTATGGTAAGCACCGTGCAGTCCTCGAATCTGCTCCGGATGGTGGACTGGATGAACGAATCCGTTCTGCAAATGTGCATAAGAATAGTACCTAATTTGTGATTCGCTAGAAGCACCAACCTAAGATCAACGTTAGCAGTAGCTTCATCTAGTATGAGAATCTTGTTGTCCCTCAACACGGCCCTTGCCAGGCAAATCAGCTGCCTTTCTCCAGCGCTGAAGTTTCCCCCGCCTCCTGCTACTTGGAAGTCCAAGGAAGCCACGGAGTCTTTCAAACCTACCTGAAAGTACACCGGCTATTACAGAATCTTTAATCGATGAATTGCAGTACCCACCTGCTCGAGCGCATTCCATATCTCCTTGTCCTCGTATTCCCCGAACGGATCTAGATTGTACCGCAGGGTTGAAGAGAAGAGCACCGGCTCCTGGGGTATGATGGAAATGTTCCTTCGCAAATCGCTCAGTCCCAGCTTCTTGGTGTCCAAGTCGTCGATGAGAAGTTCGCCTAGGGTGGGCGATAGGCGGAACAGGGCGGATATGAGGGAGGATTTCCCGGCGCCGGTGCGACCGACTATTCCTATCTGTGATAAATCGTTAATTACGAGCAGGGGTTAGGGGTTGAGGTTTACCTTTTGCCCGTCTTCTATGAAGAATGAGAGGTTGTTCAACGCTGCACGATCGTCTTCTGCGTATCTCAATGTTAGATTTCTGAATTCTATGCGTCCAGTGGTTGGCCAGGGTGTCTCCGGTACGTTTACTAGAATCAGAACCATTGAATCAGGATTATATTAGGGGTACTTTGTGGCTTACCTTCGTCCGTTTCGAAAGGTCCTTCTTGCCGTATAGTCGTATATTCCAGCACTCTTTCCACGCTGGTTAATTGGTTGATAACTTCCGCGGTTTCCCGCATACCGTAGGTCAACATCCCGGTGAGTATCATTGATTGGGAAATGGCCAAACCCACCACGCTACCATCAAATTTAATATCTGAAAAAAGCGGAGAAAGAATATTAAAAAAAATTAAGATTGTTCAGTTCACTTTAGGGGTTAATTGGTTGGAATTTGGGCAGTTTACTTACACTCATCCAATACTACAAAAGTGAATATGACGCTTGCAGCAAAAATTGAACAAACTATATCTAACCAAAGGCCGAAAGTAGACGTACAGGCTATTGTTAAATACCAGGCAGAAGTGTGAACATCCTGTAAAATTAATACATTGAAATGAAATGCATCATTTATTTAATGCACCTGCCTGATGTTCGTCGAACTCTTCAATCAAAATACGTTGAGCGTGTGACGCCCGTATAGTGGTAATGCCGTTTATTGTGGAATTAACGTGAGAAAACACAGGGGATTTCGCTAAAAGAAATTTAACACAACATTAGTTAATTTATCAATCTAACTGCATCAAAGTATACTTACTTACACCTTCGAGATGCTTAATGGTCTTGGCAGTTAACAGGTAATAATTTCGAAGTTTCATGAATAGAGCGCCAAGGACAATTATAGCAATTACTATGTAATGATTCGACGCGATAACGTTCGCTAAAATACCAACCAGCACCAGTAATATCTAAAAAATATATCCCCAGTAATTCCCCGCGCGTTAACCATCCGATTAACTAAGCAATCCACTAACTTGCACGACGTTCAAAATCTCCTTCGGCAGGACCTCGTCGACGGCGCCGATGTCCTTGGAGAACCTGTTCAGTATCCTTCCGCTGGGGTTGGTGTCGAAGAACCGCATCGGCGCCTTCAGCAGCGAGTGGAAGATCTTCGAGTGCAGGTTCACCGAGGAGATCATGCACATTTTGAAGAAGAAGAACGACCGGGCCAGGGTGAGCACGATCGAACCGGCGATCAGCGCACCGTAGGCGTACATGGCGTAGTTGCTCTTTATCACGCGGTACTCCTCGTCGTTCACCAGGATTCTGTCGAAAAGGGGATCCAGGAAGGACTCGCCGGGCGGGGTGTAGTTGTAGAAGTAGGAGCTCGGGTTGTGGTGGACGCCGTCCAGCTGGTGCACTTCGATGATTTCTGTTGTTGAGGATCGGTTCAAGTGGCGGATTTCTTCTTCGGATGTCCTTGAAAGGAAGGTATAAGAGTTATTGTTCGGTAAGCTGTGCAGTAGAAGATTCCTTACCAGTATGAGACCCAGTAGTCCGCACAAGCGCAAAGAGCTTGAGCTAGTACTAACAATATGGCTAAAATAACTAGCAAACAAGGGTGGTTTGTAGCAGACAGATATTTCCTGAGTGGCTTTGAATTCGGATTTCTTCCACACTCTTCTTCTACATCCTGACTCTCTTCAATATAATCAATAGTTTTAGAAACCTCCTGTGAAGTAAAACACTAATGTAGTGGTAGAAATAACCGATAGAAGTTAGATCCATACCATCGATGTAGTACCCCATTTTCTACTAGAAGTAGTCAAAGTAGCATCGAAAGTAGTTGCTTCAGAAACGCGATTGATTTCATTCGCTTCGCCGGACTCCGCCATCAATCGACTAAAACCCGTTTTGGAAGAGGACAGTTCAGCGAAAGTACCGACGTCCTCGACTTGCCCCTGCAAATTAAAACCTGCAATCCTCCACCAACGCAAGACCTCTACATACTTTATTCATCACCACGATCAAATCGGCCTTCTTCAAATACTGCAACTGGTGGGTGACCAAAATCCGGATCCTCCCCTTCAAGTAGTGGTCGACGCAATCATCGAACAGCTTCTTCCCCACGTGCGTGTCCACGGCGGACAGGGGATCGTCCAACAAATAGATGTCCGCCTGCTCGTACACCGCCCGCGCCAGGTTGATCCTGGCCTTCTGGCCGCCGCTCAGCGCCACTCCTCGCTCGCCCACGACCGTCTTGTCGCCGAGCGGCAGCTGGTCGAAGTCCTTGCGCAGCGCGCACGCCCTCACCACCTGCTCGTAGAGGAACCTGTCGTACTTCCGGCCGAAGAGGATGTTGTTGCGGACGGTCGAGTAGAAGAGCCACGGTTGTTGGGAGCAGTACGAGATGCTTCCGCCGATTTTGACGTCGCCGGTCGAGCTGGGCAGCTCGCCCAGCAGGAGCTACAACACAGACAGCTTTACAGAAAATGGTAGGTACAGAAAGGACGAAGTACCCTGAAGATGGAGGAAGCAATAAGAAACAAGTAGTGGGATGATTCGTGAAGATGGTAGGGTCAGCAGAAATAACGAAGTATTATGAAGATGGAGGAAGCAAAAAGAAAGAAGTATTGGGATTTTCTAAGAAAATGGTAGGGCCAGCAGAAAGAATGAAAGCAAAAAGAAACCAGCAGAGGAAAACTTAAAGAATATTAAATAAATTGTCAGACAGGAGAAGAAGATATGTCTTTTGAATGTTTATAAACTTCTTCATAGAAAATACACAAGAAGAGAAGTTGTTCTAGAACGAAGAAAAGGTTATAAGAAGATAAAACCCATTAGTAAACAAAAGTAAGAATATACCAAGGAGAAGGACCGGTCAAACAAAAGAAAGAAGTTGTATTCTTGTGGCATTTCTCTGAACTATTGCTTCTCTTGAAGTATTATACCTGTAATAAAGAAGATTTTCCTGATCCCACTGGTCCAACGACAGCACAGAGAGTTCCTGGTGGTATGTTGAAGGAGACGTTGCTCAAAGTCGGCGTGTCAAACCAACGGGCATTAACCGCGTTCAAAATGATGCCCTTTTTGCTCGTTTTCTCGATTCGAGGCTCTTCGAGTTCTTCCAGCGAGAGGAATTCCTGCAGCCTTCTGATCGATACCAAAGCCTCGGCTCCCTGAGAAACGGCCATCGGGAACCAAATGGCGACGCCGTTTTGGAGAAGATTGAAGGCTTGAGCCAAACTGAACACAATCGAGGCGTTTATCTCGTGACCTATTAGTGAAAAAAGATGTGTTTCTCTATAGTTTTAAATTACCGTACTACTTACCTAGAAGTACGTAACACATTATGGTGATTGCCAGGGCTGTTCGATCGAGGAACACCATGCAACTAGCGAAAATCCCTCTTAGATACGACGTATAAGTGATGGTTTTGATTTCATCGGCTCTGGCCGCTTTCACGATCGCTTCGAAAGAGTTTTCCCACACATACATTTTAATCACCTGGATGCCCGATATGATTTCGTTCATTAGCTTCACTCGCCTGTCGGTCTTCTTCGATATCGTCGACCGGAAGCGACCGATGTACTTCCCGAGGAAACCTGAAATTCACCAAACTTTAGACTCGACCTGTTGATCTATCCAATTACCATCACCTTGTAACGGAACGCCTACTGAGATGAGCGTTACTAACCCAGCCACTGTTGCTATACCGACTTGGGTCCAGATAATCCAGGACAGGAATACTATTTGAAAAGGCAGTACCCAAATGCAATGTAGCGGGGTAAGGGCCTGATCGAATCTGGCTACATCGTTTGCCAGCAAATTCACCACCTGCCCAGCCGCAGTTCGACCCAGCGACGTCTGATTGAGCCTCATTAACTAGATAAAAAAGCGATTGTTCATCTCGATTGGCAGTTAATTGGTGATTAACTAACCTTCCTGTATATCAACGAGGAACAGGCTATTCTTATCCTCATTCCGATTTTGGACAGCCCGAAGTTCATGTGATGGGTGAGGAATACGCTGAATAGCGTCAAACCCACCAATCCGGCGCTGTAATAGTATTTACTGTAATCGTTATAATCCCTGTCTTCGTTGGAAAATTGCGCGATGATTTTTGCCAGGAGGATCGGCTGACTGGAGCTGAAAATTGGGAGTCATTGCATGAAATAAACTAACCAATAATACAAAAAATATTAGGTGGTGAGTATCTAAAATTATAATTTTTTTAATATCTAATTAAATCATCCAACTGATCATCTTCGTTCGGTATCAGGAGATTGCGATTAAACCTAATTTTTGTAGGCAGAAGATTGCAGGGTAACTTTTTCTAAGGTCTTTACTATTGTATAATAGTAACTGGGATATTAAATAGGTACTAAAAGAATGTAATAAAATGAAAATTACAATAAAATTAAAAATCGTTATCATGTGCTATCTGAAACGATACCATATACTACCTCTAATTATACCTACATATTACAAGTAGTTGTTAGTTATTTATCAAATTATTAAATTAATAATAATTGCTTTTTATTTATTTATTTCGCGCCTATGGTTTACCGCTTGAAGGTTTTATTAGTATCTTCTGATAGCGAACAGAGTATAGTGCTGATTGGTTAAATCGTTAATTGGTAAGAAACTGAAGTCGTTAATCGTTCTCAAAGTTGAATTAACCCAGATAATGGAAAAATACACGCGAAATTGCGACAAATACGTATCATCTTGTACTAACTGAACTGCTAAATTTAAACGTTCGAAAATGATAAAATTGATAAAACTTCAGTAGTTTAAAATACTATTTTTCTCACTTAATTTCTAAAGGATACTTTATAGATTTTCATATGCATTTCAATCATTCATACACTTTTCATACACTCTTCTTACACTATTCATACAGTTTTCTTATTCAGAAAATCTATTTACAGTTAGAATAATAACATCAAGATAAGCGAGGCTTGAAAATGGTGATGTAAGAATACATACAAATCGAGCTCACGCAGTGAACGAGACCTTACTTTGATAACATTGTGCTTAATTGTGTTTTTAATAACACATTACAAAAGTTTACCTACCGGAAAATAGCGTTAATCAAAAACCACATTAAACCATACAGCATAAATTCGAGAAAGAACGTCTTCCTAATAGCACTGAGTAAACTGGGAGGTTTATTCTTCGTTTCCGCCTTGACAACTTCATCGTTCCAATGCTTCTCTAGCTTATTCGTGAGCCTTTCCGATTTATCAGGATCCAATGCTTTGTAAAGGTCTTTTAATTCCAGCAAATCGTTTTTTCCTTTGCGGACTGTTTCGATCATCCAACTGAAAAACATTAAAGTTTCCTAGTTTATTGGGAAATAAAGTAATTTCTTAGGTAATATTAAATTAGTCAAATATCTAATCACCTATAAAAAGATTAATTAACATGCAACATATGTATACGTATGTATTTGTGTATAAATAAATTGCGATAATTTTGGGATTACTAAAAATGTCACTAAATAATCGAAAATAATTAGATAAGAGGTCATTAAATTCGCTACAAATTATTTTTTAGGAATATTACTTTCTGTATAATTCTAATTAAATAAAAATTATTTAAATAGAGTCTATTTTGTCTTTCTTTTAGAAGAAATTTTTAATGGCATGTCGATTTTCGGTTTAAAATCAAATTATCAAATAGCACGTGTATATCAATACCAACCTAGATAATATGTAATTAAACCCCGAATTGAAAAATTTCATAAAAAAATGCACTTACCCGAAGAATAATTTCGTTAGACAATTTGCCCTTTTCTTGGGATTCTCCCTTTTCAATTTGAAGCCGACATCCATTTTGTTTATTCTTTCATCACCCTTTCACGCTCATCCTTATTAAAACGGTCGTTAAAACGGTGTTTAACATCGACAAACATTCGTACAAATCAGGTTTTTCGTCCGTTTGTTTATTTTCATTTCGATAAATCGTGTAATGAATGTAATTAACAACTGTTTTTTGATTAAGTAAATCTGTAATTTAAAAATAATTTTTATGGATATCTTATAATTCCTCGTAGGCCATTTACATTAGATACCGTTGCGTAATTCGTTTTAATTTGCGCATTCTTTATATTAGTATTACTGGTTCATTGAGAAGGTGTAATGGATGTAAAAAATCCACTAATTATAAAGTTTTAATCTAACCAATAATACAGATATTAATTTCTTTATAATAGCATATTCTCTCTACTGTTAGAGCACAATATTACCTAAGGGTATATCAGGACTATTAAAGGTCTTATCGGTTTTGAGAGAGTTGCAATATCAATTATTCAAAACTTCCCAGATTTTCTCTTTCACTGACAATGAGATATTAAAGGATTGTTTTTTAATTTATTTACATAGAAACAACCTTTGACTAGTGTTAAGAAACTCTGAGAGGGTTTGCTGTCTGCACGTGCAGACTTTGCGCGATAAATTTTATTTTTCCAGTAATAAAAGAACCTAACGTTTTTCTAACTGTTATCTAGAATTGCTACTCCATATAGAAGGATATCTCAATAAACTATAATTTATCAGTTGTGCATAAAAGTTGTATATTGTGTAAGAATTTTTTGTAGTTGTTTGTTACTGTTTAAAAATGTAAAGGAGGACTCTCAGGAAAAAAATACAATTTTTAATGCTGGAGTTGTCTTTTTACATGATTGTAGGCTCGACCAATTTTGGCGGAGTTTTTGAAACACCCTGTACGTTATTTATAATTGCATTTTTCCCATTAACGATTTATCTACGAAATATAAATAAAAGAAAAGTGCATATATAAAACACATAATTCTATTTTTACTTTTCAATTTTCCACAGATTTTACATATTTTAGTAGATAACTATAACAAACGTTTCTTTCGGTTTCTTTGTGTAAATTGATCCAGTAAATATTCTAGGTGTGTCCAGAAAGTAAGTTCCGTTTGGTAATTGAAAAAAAATCATGTAGTTACATAGATAGAGTGGAAAAATATTCATTGCACAATAACCTAAAGTTGTCGCAAGTTTTCGAATTGCAATGCTTTAGTAAGAATTTCAAGAACTATTAGCTTATCGAGAGATTTGTGGAAATTCCTTATCAAGATCTTCATTTGTAAACCTAAGGTTTTCCTTATAATCTTCAATTTAACTGAACGATAGTTGAAAACACAGACCACAAATGCCCACAAAATTTTGAAAACTTACTTTCTGGACTCACCTAATGTTTCTATGTACAAACTTTTTCCTAAATCTATTCCATTCAGTCAATTAATCTTGCAACGTTTCTATTTCTTGTCCAAATTCACCAACGCTATTCTTATAGGAAATATTTCATTCGGACACCTTTTAACATTTGCATTTAAAGCACAAAATCATTAACTAGTGGTTTTATTCCCGTAGGAAATATGTTGGTAACCAGCAACATCACCACAGATGTAATTATAGCAATCTCAACGATTGCCATCATCATCTATTTCTATGTGAAACACCAGTATTCGTATTGGAAGAGGTTGGGCGTGCCACAATTGAAGCCGACATTTCCTTTAGGAAACTACCCTTTCACCCTGCCGAAGGGCCTGCAAATAGGAGCTTACACACGCCGTTATTATGAGGCTTTTAAAAAACTGGGAGCTCCCTACGGAGGTAAATCTTATTCTCTTCTACAAAATAATGCTCGGCGCAAAAATGCGAAGTTAATAACTACAAATTTTTATTCAACATTTTAGGCGTTTACATTGGTTTGACTCCAACTCTGGTGATTACTGACGCTGATGTCGCCAAAACTATATTGGTAAACGATTTCAATAACTTCACCGACAGGAATATGTACAGCAGCAAACATCAGCCTGTATCGGTGAACCTTCTATCGCAAACAGGAAAAGAGTGGAAGGCTGCTAGGGTAAGTCGCCCTTTATATTCGAAAATTACGTTTCAAAAGAACATTGTATTTTCAGGCAAAGTTTACCAGTTTATTTACGACTGCCAAATTAAGGTCTTTCATTAATTTTGCCGCTACATGTAAGCAGGACTTGGTCGCTTATCTGGATGAATTCGCCGATGGGAAGAAGGATGTGGCTATTCGTCGAGTCACTGGTTTATACGTAGCAGATGTCACAAGTAGCCTTTTATTTACTTACTACATTCATCTATTCATCACCTGATGGGTATATCATCCAACATAAAATTTTCTTTCAGCTATGATACTCTTCGGCTTCCACGCCCACAATTTCAAAAGCGAAAATAAGGAGATCAACAGCTTCGGAAGGGCGGTATTCGAATCGTTTACGCCGCTGTACCAACTGAAGCTGCTGTTGACCCATTGCTATCCGAAATTGGCGCGATTTCTGGGCGTCGGTAACGTGAACAAGGAAGTCGAGGATTTCGGGAACGTTTACATACCCAATGCGGTGGAGTACAGAATAAAGAACAATATACGAGGAATTGATTTCTTGCAGTTGTTAATTGACGCCAAAAAGGCTGGAGTGGAATTGACCATGGACGAAATGGTCTCGCAAGTAAGTTATACCTCACCAAAGCAGTTGAAAATTGCATTAGGTATGCAAATGGTGAAGAAAAATGGACTAAGATAAAGAATAATGGAGTTACTCACCACTTGAAAACTGTCTTTATTTCCACTCTCCTTATTATAATTTTGTTACGGCGCATCCACTTTCTAAAAAGTTCCAACCGCCAAGCTGCATTTAGTGAGGTATACCTGTTACAGTTATCTACTGGTACTTATTATTTAGCAATTGGTATCTCTTTTGGTAACAGTAAAATTTCAACAATACAAGTAATTGTCGCATCACTTCTCGAAGGTATTTCGTAACTCGAAAATAACTGTATTATTTTAACCACTCAGTAGTAATATATTTGAATTGCACCTAATTTGCAACAATTTTGCAGTCTTTCATATTTGCGGCTGGTGGACTGGAAACTTCTGCGAGCACTTCAATGGTTATGTTATACGAGCTGGCCAAGCATAAAGAGTGCCAAACGAAAGTTCGCGAGGAAATTTACCGTATTAGAGAAAAATACGAAGGAAAGACAACGTACGATTCGCTGATGGAACACACTTACCTTCAACAAGTCCTAAACGGTTTGTGGAAATCACTGTATACTACAATTTTACTAACTTTTATCCCTTCGATCGACAATTAAAAGCGCAATCTTGCGCCTTGCAATTGTAGCAGAAAATATATCCTTTACAGTTTATGTAAAAACCTTTTTTTATTTTAGAGGTTCTAAGGATATATCCTTTCGTAACCAACCTATATCGGATATGCGTTCAGGACTACAACATTCCCGGAAGAGATTTGGTCATTGAAAAGGGCACACCGCTTCTTATACCTTTGGTTGGTTTTCACAGAGATCCAGATTATTTTCCAGAGCCCTTGAAATTCGATCCTAGCAGATTCGATGATAAAAATGACAAACAGAAGGGATACCTTCCATTCGGGGCGGGACCCCGCAATTGTGTCGGTTAGTATCTTAAATTTATTATGTTTTAGCTTTTTCTAAAAATACCTCACAATTACAATTGTAAAATTATATTTTTCATAAGAAGATCTATAAGACGATTCATAAGAAGCAGTATTATTCAAGTCTTATAGACGAGTAGCAGACTCGTCATTTTATTATTGATTTTCTTACTCTGTTCATCTTATTGTTTTTATATTATGTTTTTTCTTTCAGCTGCAAGATTGGGAATGATCCAAAGCAATCTGACTGTAGTCGCAGTCATCGAAAATTACGAAATTTCGCTAAGTCCGAAGACTCCAGACACACTGGAAATGTGTGAAAATTCATTTACTCTTAGCTTCAAAAATGAAATTTTTCTTAATTTTAAGAAAATTCAAAATTGAGTTGTATTATAGGTTGTACCTATTACACCAATTTTTAACACAACACATTTTTGTTAAAATAAGTAGTTTTTACCTACCTTTTTGTACTTTTATGACTTTTTAATATACTTTATGGATATTGAGATCTGATGACGGTAAAAATAACCGAAATTTTTAGAACATTTATTTGATGTATGCTATATTATACATATTATATTATATCTGTTATTAAATATTATAAATTATTCAAAAAATCTTACGTTTTCTTATTTCTGCCCCTCCTATTATCGTAAATTGAGGATTGTTATTATTTTAATTTTCTAATAACAACCTTGACAATATTAAACCAAATAGAGATTCTATGCGCAACGTTTACACGCAATACATCTGATTTTTCCGGCAATTGGAAAACCCAATTTATTAACTGGTGTTTCAAAGGAGTATACGGAATTACTAGTTCATACATAAGGATATATCAGGAGATTCAAATTTAACACCCCAGCAGTAAGTATATTTATGTTTATTATTATTTAAGGGATTACCGTTTACCCGGCAATGCCATTTATTTTCCGGTAATAAAAAAAACTCCAAATTTTATAACTGGTGTCGGAGTTGTGTAATTTGCCCATTTTCAATTTAAAGGTTTTAAGAACCATGCAGTTGTGCCACTGAAAGGTTTAAAATACCAATTTCTGAGAAATTGTCACTAAAATACAATCCCCAGAGAAAGAGTTATGGGTAAGGGTATGAGTAAGATCGAGTATGGTAATGGTAATTGTTGGGGCAAGATTTAGGGGATACATAGAAGGGTAGGGGGTGGTTATGGTAGTGGTACATACCAAATAGTTAGGAAAACTCCTAGACTTTAACTACTTTTACTTTTAATAATTGAGACTCATAAAGGATAATATCAGGCCTAAAACTGTAATGCGCCCTCTGGAATTACTGATCATAAATAAAGAAGCATATTTCAAAAAAATCAGATTCACCAGTTAAGCATAAAAGTTGTTAATTTTATAACTAAGCAGGTATATTTGCATATCATCGTAATTGCATTTAATAACTGCATACTCGAAAACGTTTTAAAATTTTTGATTGCATAATATTAATGAATGCGTAATTACATATCATGTAAATGATATGCAATTATAAAAGTCATATTAAAGATGATCTGCAAATATAAGTACTGATTGACAAGAGTTTATCATTTTCTTTTTTCGATAAGAAGGTTTCATATATATACCGTGTAAATAATTTGTAATTTGCCTTTTAAAATTTGTAACAGTTCATGTCTCTTTTAGTAATTAACAAACGTTTTTTACAGTAAAATATTGAAAATTTATCAAGGTGAATATATTACTAAGATCAAATTTTCTCAATATAAATATTTCATTCGGACAACTTTTAACATTTGCATTTAAAGCACAACATCATTAACTAGTGGTTTTTATTACTGTAGGAAAGATGTTGCTAACCAACAACATCACCACAGATGTAATAATAGCAATCTCTACGATTGCTATTGTCATCTATTTGTACGTAAAACACCAGTACTCTTATTGGAAGAGATTGGGCGTTCCACAAATGAAGCCGACATTTCCATTGGGAAATTATAAATTCAGCTTCCCGAAGGGCCTGCAAATGGGAGCTTACACCGACCTTTACTACCAGGAGTTCAAAAAAATTGGAGCCCCGTTCGGAGGTAAATCTTAATTCCTTATCCAGGCTTGAACGCTAGAAATGCAACTGGTTCAAAATTCTATTTGATTTTTTTTAGGCGTCTACATTGGTTTAACCCCACACCTGGTGATTACTGATCCTGATATAGCCAAAGCTATATTCATCAAGGATTTCAATTACTTCACCGACAGGCACATGTACAGCACCAAGCATCAGCCCATATCGGTGAACCTTATAACACAAAAAGGGGACGAATGGAAGGCTGCTAGGGTAAGTCGACCTTTGTATTCGAAACTTTCGCGTCAAAAGAACATTGCATTTTCAGGCTAAGCTTACCAGTTTATTCACCACGGCCAAATTAAGATCCTTCATTGAATTTGCCACTAAGTGCAAGCTGGACTTGGTCGCTCATGTGGATGAATTAGCCGATGGGAAACAGGACGTTGACATTATTAAAATCACCACTTTATACATTGCAGATATTATAAGTACGATTTTTCGTAATTATTATTACTTTTGTCTACATCTGTTCAGAGTCTCTTGATTTCACAAAATTCCATTTAACTTATGTTTTTTTTCAGCTATGGTACTATTTGGCTTCCACGCTCAAAACTTTAAGTGCGAAAATACGGATATCATCAGCTTGGGAAAGGGATTTTTTAATTCGTTCTCGACAGCGTTTCAAATCCAGCTGTTGATTACCCATTGCTTTCCGAAATTGGCAGCGTTTCTGCGTATGGGTAATGTGCAGAAGAAAATTGAGGAAATCGGGTATACTTTCATTCCCAAAGCGGTCGAGTACAGAATAAAAAACAACATACGCGGAGCGGATTTACTGCAATTGATAATTGACTCTACGGAGCCTGGAAAGAAGTTGCCCATGGACGAAATTGTCGCGCAAGTAAGTTATATTCACAACTAGATTGCCTGTTGTAGTGACTGATACAATCTAGGTTTTTTTAGTATAGGTTTTAGTGATTTTACAGGTTTTTATTTTTCGAGGTATTTAGAGGTTTTTAATAGTTTTTGTTGGTTTTAGTGGTTTTTAAGAGTTAAAATGATTTTCGAAGTATTTAGGAGTTTTTATTGATTTTTGTAGGGATTTGAGTTTATATGAGTTTTTACTCATTTTTATAGGTTTCAGTGATTTTAATAGTTATAATTTTTCGAGGTATTAAAATAGGTTTTCATTACTTTTTGTAGGTTTTACTGATTTTTAATAGTTTATATGATATTCGATGTGTTTTGCGGTTCTTACTAATTTTTGTAGGTTTTTATTAGTCTTTATATATTCCATTACTAGAAGTCATTATTGATGAATCGGTGTTTCTGTTATAAGAATCTAAGTAATTGTTGCATTGCCAATTTCTGAAAAAAATAATAATGGTTTCTCGTCTTAATCACTCGGTACTAAAATTGTATCTGCCTAATTCACAAACACTTTCGCAGGCTTTCGCTCTTTTGGCGGCCGGACTTGAAAGTTCTTCGAGCACTTCAACGGTCATCTTATACGAACTGGCCAAGCACAAGGAGTACCAAACGAAAGTTCGCGAGGAAATTTACCGCGTTAAAGAAAAGTACGAGGGAAAGGTGACATACGATTCGGTGATGGAACTCACGTACCTTCAACAAATCCTAGACGGTTTGTTAAAATCTCTATTACAACATCTAATTTCTTTAATTGCGTCAATAAAAGCTCTACATTAGCGCTGCGGTTATAGCAGGAAATAAACCGACTTTTAGGTACATTTTGTGGAAAATACTTTTTTTTTATTTTAGAGTCTCTGAGGTTGTATCCTCTAGTAACGAACTTATATCGGGTATGCGTTCAGGACTACAACATTCCAGGAAGAGATTTTCTGATTAAAAAGGACACCCCGCTTATTTTTCCCATGGTCGGTTTTCATAGAGATCCGGACCAATTTCCAGAGCCCATGAAATTCGACCCCAGCAGATTCGATAATAAAAATGAGAAACACGGTGGATTCTATCCATTCGGAGTGGGCCCCCGTAATTGTATCGGTTAGTAACTTTAATTTATTTAATATAATATATTAAAACTATTAGATTTCATAAGAACTTTGAAGCGGTGTTATCAAAATAATAACAAGAGTTAAATGTTTACATTTTTGTTACTTTCAAAATGACGAAGCAGTTATTAAATTGGCTTCTCATTTTATTGATTTTCTTGTTCTATTCATGTTATTTATTCTTATATTTGTACCTTTCATTCTCCTTTCAGGCGGTAAATTGGGTATGATCCAAAGCAAACTGGCTGTTCTCGCAATTATTGAAAATTACGAAGTTTCCTTGAGTCCGAAAACCCCAGACACATTGGAAATAGATGATGGTGCATTTCTTATTCAGTTCAAAAATGTTATTTATCTTAAACTGAAGAAAATTCAAAAATGAGTTGTATTGTAGGTATATTAATTTTTTAATAAAGCAGTTTGTTTAATATATGTAGCCAAATACCTAGTTTTTTTATGTTTCTAACTTAAATTTCATTACCTTTTGCATATATTTTATTGTTATTAAGATCCGCTGATTTGATGATGATGTTAAAAAACCGACTACAAAAACTTTAAGATCTTTTATTTTACTATTTTTTGGTGTATTCTGGCATTAATGTTAATTAGGAAAGTAATTGGAATGGAAAAATACTATAAATTTGCGTTGCAATTAAAGCAAATAAAATTATAAACATTTCAATAAAACTCTCTAAAAAATGCAGCAGCATTTCAACATTTTCTATGGTTTCAACGATAATGCAATTATAATATTAAAACATTGTACATACACAGTGTATGTAGGAAATTTGCTTAATTTATTATAAGCTATGGGATGGGAAGTTTCTTTATTAATAATTGACTAAATAGATAATTTTCGATACTTTTCTTTATTGCTTTTCTAATTATTGCTGCTATACATACTCGTATAAAAAATATTTTCCGAAATTAGTTTCATTTATAATAGCCCGGTTACTTGAGTGTCTACCAGAAAATGTATGTACATTTGACCTATTACGAGAACCTCGTACAAAGTTTCTTTAATTCGATGAGATATTTTTAATATTATAAAATATTCAAAAATTCTCAGTTTCCTCGTTTCTGTCTCTTTCACTGCCGTAAATGATGGATAGTTTCTTACTTTATTTATATTGAAACAACCTTGACAATAACAAACCGTATAGGGATTGCCGTCTACACGTAGTGATGAATATGATTTTTCAATTAATTAGATAAACGAATATTTTACCAACTGGCATTTGGAATTACTAGTTCATATAAGGATATTTCAGAAAATCAAGTTTACTACTAGTCGAGCATAAAAGTTTATTATATAAGTAAGTATATTTATGTTTATTATTTTTTTGTCATTACTATTTCAATATATTATGTACGCACATGTGTATTTACAATTAATTGCATATCATGAGAGAGATAAGAGAAGTGCTATATCTCGTAGAGATGATAATATACTTACTGTACATTTCTGAGTTAGATCTTGCCCCTTTTAGTAATTAACCAACGTTTCATTCGGTGAATTATAGTAAATTAATTAAGGTGAATAATGATATCGTTTTTTTTCCAAAATAGCTATTTCATTAGAACACCTTATAACACTTCCATTTAAGCACTAAATCATTAATTTTTGGTTTTCTTCCTGTAGGAAACATGTTGCTAACCAACAGCACCAGCACAGATGTGATCATAGGAATCTCAACGATTGCCATCATCATCTACTTGTATGTAAAACACCAGTACTCGTATTGGAAGAGATTGGGCGTTCCACAACTGAAGCCGACATTTCCATTGGGAAATTATCAATTCGCCTTGCCGAAGGGCCTGCAAATGGGAGCTTACACCGACCATTATTATCGGGCGTTCAAGAAAATGGGAGCCCCGTACGGAGGTAAATCTTAATTCCTTACCCAGGCTTGAACGCTAAAAATGCAACTGGTTCAAATTTCTATTTGGTTTTTTTAGGCGTTTACATTGGGTTGACTCCGAACCTGGTGATTACTGACGCTGATGTCGCCAAAACTATATTGGTAAACGATTTCAATAACTTCACCGACAGGAATATGTACAGCAGCAAACATCAGCCTCTCTCGGTGAATCTTCTATCGCAAAAAGGGGATGAGTGGAAATCATCTAGGGTAAGTAAGGTATTAATATTCGTGGATCATTGGAGTACTTAAAGAATGTTTTCAGGCAAAGTTTACCGCTCTGTTCACAACATCTAAATTGAAATTATTCATTGATTTTGCCAGTCAAGGTAAGCAGGACTTGATCACTTATCTGGATCATTTCGCCGATGGGAAGAAGGATGTTGCCATTCATCAGGTCACGAGTTTGTTCGTTGCAGATATTATATGTAAGTTTTTTCACACTTATCACTTTTATCCAGATATGTTCAGCTGGAGCGATCGTTTGTTTCGATTCAACATCATTTTTTCTAAGCTATGATACTCTTCGGCATCAACGCTAACAGTTTCAACAGCGAAAACACGGATTTCAAGAACTTCGGAAGGGCTGTATTCGATTCGTTCACGCCGCTGTTCCAACTCAAGCTGCTGATGACCCATTGCTATCCGAAGTTGGCGCAATTTCTGGGCATCGGCAACCTGCAGAAGGAAATCGAAGATTTCGGGAATGCTTACGTGCCCAAAGCGGTGGAGTACAGAATGAAGAACAACGTACGCGGAACGGATTTTTTGCAATTGCTAATTGATGCTAAAGAGGCTGGAATGGATTTGACAATGGACGAAATGGTCTCGCAAGTAAGTTATATACACAGGTTTATCTCATCAAGTGTAGCTTGACAGATGAGAATTGCATTAGATGTACAAATAGGGAAGAAAGATAGACGAAGTTAAAGAAAAACGGAGTCAATTACCACTTGAGAACTGCAGGATGGTACCCATCTGGATGGTATCTTATACAGTGATGGCAAATTCTATGGCCTTAAATTTTTCTGGGTTACTATACTCTCCTTATTAAAATTTTACTATGGCGCATCCACCTTTTTGAAAGTTTCTACTAGCAAACTACATTACTACTGGTACTTATTTTTAAAGAATCGGTCTCTTTTTTAACAGTAAAATTTCAACAATCTAAGTAAATGTTACATTCCTAATTCTGTATTATATTAATCACTCAGTACATTTTCGATTTGCATCTAATTTGAAGCCTTTTGCAGTCTTTCATCTTTATGTCTGGTGGACTGGAAACTTCTTCGAGCAGCTCAATGATTGCTTTATACGAGCTGGCCAAAAATGAAGAATATCAAACGAAAGTTCGCGAAGAAATTTACCGTATTAAAGAAAAATACGAGGGAAAGACTTCGTACGATTCACTGATGGAGCACACGTACCTTCAACAAGTCCTAAGTGGTCTGTTAAAATTAATAATATCGCTATTGCAACTGCAGTAATTCATAAACCATCCACTACCTAAGCAACTCCTGCATATAATGGAACATTTTTTTTATTCCAGAGGTCCTGAGGTTGTATCCCCTTATAACGAATGTGTATCGTGTATGCGTTCAGGACTATACCATGCAGGGAAGAGATTTGGTGATTGAAAAGGGCACACCGGTTATTTTTCCCTTGATTGGTTTTCACAGAGATCCAGATTATTTTCCGGAGCCCTTGAAGTTCGATCCTAGCAGATTCGATGATAAAAATAACAAACACAAAGGATACTTTCCATTCGGAGCGGGACCCCGTAATTGTGTCGGTTAGTAACTTTGATTTATTTCATTTTAGTAGGTATCTTTTTCTAAAAATACTCGTATTCTCGCATTATACTAGTAGATAACGACATATTTTTCATAAAAACATCTAAAGCGGTGTTATCAAAGTCTAATACTTATCTACATTTTAATTGCTTTTCTAATCATGAAACCATTATAAAATAATCGTATCATTTTATTTGATTACTTATTATTATTATCGTTTAAAAATGTGTATCTTTTTATTCTTTTTTTAGCTGCAAGATTGGGAATTATTCAAAGTAAATTGGCTATCGTTGCAATTATTGAAAATTACGAAATTTCCTTAAGCCCTAAAACCCCAGAGGCCCTGGAACTGGTTGAAAATACGTTCACTCTTAGTTTTAAAAATGATATTTACCTAAAATTGAAGAAAATTCAAAAGTGAGTTACATTAATAAAATTTTTAATCAAAATAAGTGGCCTAATGTTGAATGCCTAATGGAATGTATAATTAGAGCAGTTTACTTTGACATAACTAGTATTATATGTAGGTACAATTTTTGTTGTTAATTAACTAAATTGTTGAAATAAATACAAACACATTATAAAAAATATAACAAGCATTTTATTACCTACCTCTAATATGGGCATAATATAACAAATGAACCAATTATTTTACCATGATTTCCCATAATATGATACCAACCTTACAAATAGAGGAATTGAAGCAAATATCATTAAAATAGGATATACTAATATAGATCTCTAATATAAAATTTTTGGTAATATTTGTTAATAATTATTATTCTGTAATAATTGATATTTTAATATAATGAGTCGTTTTATTTAAGTTTCCATGATAATAGCTCAATCCCAACTCCAAACTTATAATTTTCCCAATTATCTTAATTTCATTGTGAATGAATGATATAGCATTTTTTTTCACGCAAGCTTAATAATTTTAGAGGTTGCTCTGCTATTACATAACAGAACTTTTCGCTGTATAGATTCATTAATAAAATGTTTATAAATAGAATGATGCTCACACATTTTAATTTTATTTACGTTTCTATTTTATTGTATTATCACTTCGATTTAACCAGTGAATAACCAGTATTAATACTTCTAGTTTCTGGTCCAAAGGCACTTACACTAATAAGTAAAATTTGAGAAACTCGGAAAAATTCAAGAGAAGCAGGAACTTCGTCTACATCAAGTAATGCAAAGCATTTCTCCCTTCATTTTAAACCTTAAATACTGACGTGTAGTACAAATATAATTTGCACTACTTCACAACTATTCATTGAGTTAATATAATTTACATAACATAACATAGTTATCATAATTTAGATAACATTTCGTACAATATTATTCCACTTTTTGCAAAAATCAAAAAATCAACTGTTCAGAACAGTTATCTATAGTTTGATATGGAATCCCTTTGATAATTACAATTAATGTTACAATTAATTTAATTATCCAAACACATTTTATAAGATCAATTTTTTGCTATTCTGCTAACCTTCCTTTGAAGGTCTTAACTTTAATGTTATAGTACACTATAAATCAAATTTACAAACTGGTTTACAAAATTACCTGGCATATTTAATTTCCACAAAAGATTACTACAAAATTATGACTCGATCGCGTTAGGATTTTACACCAAAAATGCTGATGCTGATGCATATGAGTTTACAATTATTACACAGCGATTAGTCGAGCACGCGCAGCGAGGATCGGATATGCAACATTCTGCGGTGAAGCCGGGGGTGAAGGGGCGGAAGCCGGGGGTGAAGGGGCGGAGCCCTTCACGAGCGTTCAGCGAGTAACTTATATCTAAGTTAGATAAACTTAAAAAAATTTATCTTTGTATCCCTCGATTTTGATTCCATCATCGTGAGTTGCAGAAAAACAGTGATTGTACTATCTACATATGGATGTATACTAAAAGTCAGATAGTTAAGAGGTAGTCACATAATTAATAATTCAGTTTTGTTGTAACTTGGGCCAATAAATCATTATTATTTAGTATCTAGTATTTTTAAACAGCATTCTTTTGTATTATAGTGATAAAACTTAGCGGTGTAAAATGGAAATAAAAGGTAATATTTTAAAACTATTTTCTATTCTGTTCTAAGATATTAGTTTCCACAATTATTATAAACTCTATTAATTTCTTCATATTATGTATATATCTATGTTATGTTAATTATTATCTATATCTTACTTATATGTCTATTTTTTATATCCTCAAATATTCCGCTTTCTTCAAATTAAAATAAATTCTTATTTCTCTTTATTAGGCCGTCTCTTTCCTAGTTTTTGGAGTATCATGCAACAGTTTCAAATCCGAGAAGGCGGAATTCAACGAGTTCGATTTGGTTTTTTTCGTCTTTGCAGGAGGAAAAACAATGTAAAAGCAACAGGATTCCTGCAGAAGTTAATGGATGCACATAACGATAGGATGATACGATTGAAATGATTTCCCAGGTAATATAGTAAACTATACAAGGGGAGACCAATGAATGAATATTTTGAAAACTCTCCTATAAATTTTTTGATGGTTTGTTTAAATGACTTTTCACCTAACTTTGGCTTTGATGAAATTTGACCTTTTTCCTAACAATTGCAATGCCCGATTTCAGCATCATGTTTTTAGGTATTTCCCAAATTCTTTCAAGTAATTCCAAAGGTAGGAATTGGATAGGTACTTATTTTCGGTAGGTACCTACATATATCCTGTCACCTTTAGGTAAGCAAGCCTGGGAATTTTACAAATCAAATTTGCATTATCAGTAATATTGTAGAATTTAGAAGTTTCGCCTAGTTCGAAATCGATAGAACCCTTAGAAATGGAAGAAACGTGGTTTACATTAACTTTAAAAAAATTCAATTTACCTTAAATTCAAACAAAAATAAAAATAGCGGTGATATAAACCTAGGTTTGTAAAAGTCACAACCAAAAACAAATCATTTCAAATGATTTTTACCTAAATGTGTGCTATTTTTTATTCCCTAATGATGTAATATAACATTTTGTTACAGGTTGTTAAACAATCCACATATAAATAGTTCGCTCTTGCTTTATATTTCAATTGAAGAATTAATTTTTTTGGCCTTCCAGAAAATTAATATTAATAGGACATTAGTGAAACAAGATTAACAAGAAACCGTTGATAAAATGCATTATCTGTCATCTTTCTCTTCAATATTATTTGATAAACAAAATTTATCACAGAAAATAATGTACCTATCATTTTTAATACGGTATTTTCACAAATACAATACATTACATTCCAATTCTGGTTTAACAGAATAAGGTGTGTGTAGATACCCAAACACCAAAAATAAATTTTATCTCTGTGTCCTTCGATTCCGTATTATAATACATAATATTCCATCATCGTGAGTCGCAGAACAGTAATTTTAAACTATAAGTAGGAGGTAGTCACACAATTAATTCAGTTTTGTTCTAACTTGCACCAATAAACATTTATTGGATAGTACCTATATATTTCTAAACAGTATTGTGTTTTTAGTATTACCTACAGTATAGTGATAACATAAGAATTACCGGTGTTAATAGAAGTAAAAGGTAATTACATAAATGAACTTGTTATTAATCTTATTTTTAAAACAATAATATCTCCTACGATAATAGGTGTGCCACAATTATTATAAACAATTTTTTTATGTACATATGCATTTTAACCTTTAAAATGGGCGCTGATACATTCAAAGTGGGCGCTGAATACGGGCCGTTTATGTTTCTATTTTATGTTTATTTTTGTTTTATTTATATTCTCTAATATTGTGATTTCTTCAAATACAAATTAATTCTTATTTCTTTTTATTAGAAAATTGTTAGGCGATATTGTACACATATTATCGATTTTCTAGTAGGAACTTACATAGATCTTTTATTAAAACATGGCATTTCAATATTATCTTTTAAACCTGTTTTGAGTGATTTATATGCTAAAATGGAATAATTTCTGTGTTTAATTACTTTTTAAAAATACTGCTATTAATACCTAATGAATTCCTAATGAGTTTTTTCACAATATAATACTCCATAGTAAATTTTAGTACTTAGTGCAGATTTTTTTTTATTTAACTTAGTATTTCAATATTAACTACCTACTAAATTCCTCATTTTCAGGAATCATGTGGCTGACAAATAAATTATCGACGGATCTGATTATAGCGTTTATTACGCTAATAATCGCCGCATATTTTTACATCAAACACAAATACAGCTATTGGAAGAGGAAAGGTGTAGTCCAATTGAATCCAATATTTCCGTTTGGGAATTTCGAAATGAAATTACCGAAAGGTATCAAAATTGGCGCCGATTCGGACAAGTTTTACCAAGCTTTTAAGAAAATGGGAGTTCCATACGGGGGTAAGTGCCCCATATACTGTAAATTTTTATTTTTATTATTGCCATTTTTCTTTTTTAGGCGTTTACATCGGATTGTCTCCAAATCTGGTCGTTATGGATCCTGATATCGTCAAAACTATAGTGACAAAAGATTTCGCCTCATTCGTAGATAGAGGTCTCTACCAAAACCCGCATAAACCCATCACAAGAACCTTGATAACACAAAAAGGAGAGGATTGGAAACAATCAAGAGTAAGTAATTCTTCTACTAACTTCTTTGAATCAAAATCGTAACTTTGTGTTTACTAATGCAAGTTTGTGTTGCTGTCATTAACTCTTTCCATTATCTATTTTTTTTATTAAATTTCAATTTATTATTTCAGTCTAGATTTACTGCTGTGTTAACATCATCGAAATTGAGGAACTTGGTTAACAACGTAGAACATTGTAAAGATGATTTGATTAATTCCCTAGAGAAATCCTCTGAAGCGCAGAAAGATGTAGATGTACATCACACTCTCAGTCTATTCATTACAGACCTCATAAGTAAGCAAAATCTAAAAAATTCATTAACTATTTGCTCATTCTCTAATCTTGTTTCCGCAGCTTTCCTAGTTTTTGGAGTATCAGCCAACAGCTTCAAATCCGAGACGGCGGAATTCAACGAGTTCGGAATGGCCTTTTTCCAAAAATTCACGTTCGGGCACCAGCTCAAACTGTTGGTGACCCAACTGTATCCCGACCTGTCGCGAAAACTGAACCTCAGCAACATCCAGGAGGAGATAAATGTATTCGCCACCGAGTTCGTTACCAAGTCTGTAGAGTACAGGAGGAAAAACAACGTAAAAGGAACGGGATTCCTGCAGATGTTAATGGACGCGCAGGAAGCTGGAATGGACATTGATATGAATGAAATGATTTCACAGGTAATACACTGAACTATATACAAAGACTCATGAATAGAAATTGTGGGAATTCTCTTCTATCGTTGATTAAATTCGACTTTTCTCCTGGCAAATTTAGACAAAAATATTTTTTTATATTTAGTCGTTTGTGTTCTTCGCTGGTGGATTGGAGACATCCTCAACTACTACCACTTCCGTGTTGTACGAACTTTCCAAAAACAAAGAACTCCAAGATAAGGCTAGACAGGAAATAATTTCGGTGAAAGAAAAACACGGTGGAAAGATCACATACGATTATCTCATGGAATTAAATTACATTTATCAACTAATACACGGTAATAACATCTGAAACGATTACATTACGAAGGTTATTTTGAATTAATCGTTTGTTCTTCGCCCATTAGAGGCTCTTAGGATGTACCCTCTTCTGCTGAACATATACAGAGTATGCGTACAAGACTACGAACTACCCGGAACTGATTTGGTCATCGAGAAGGGTACTCAGCTCATCTTTCCTGCCATCGGCTATCACAGAGACGCCGACTTATTCCCGGATCCGATGAAGTTTGATCCCAGCAGATTTGATGATTTCAAAAATACAAAATACAGGGGTTATATGCCGTTTGGAGAGGGGCCCCGTAATTGCGTTGGTGAGTGATTTTCTATTGATTAATCATCGTCTCTTAAAGGACCATTATTGATGGTCTATTTAATTGTCGAAACTGAATTGTATATATTATTTAAAAAATATATTTTTTCAGCTTCAAGACTGGGAATTTTACAAAGCAAATTTGCTTTATCAGTGATATTGGAGAACTTCGAAGTTTCGCCTAGCTCCAAAACGGTAGAACCCTTAGAACTAGAAGGAACGTCGTTTACATTAAGTTTAAAGACTCCTATTTACCTTAAATTCAAACAAATTAAAAAATAGCGAATGTGATGTCTAATTTATATGTTTGTTGAACAATTTTATATTAATTATCATAATTAAAGTTATGTCATTATAATGAGAGCGGTTTTATTTAAGTTAACATGAAAATAACTAAGTTATTATCAAATCTCAAATTAAACATTTTTAATTTCCATAATTGCCTACCTGTTAAACATTGAACTTATGTAATTTCATTATCAAGGTATTATAGAGCATTTTATCTCACGGCACAGCATATAAATAATTATAATAGAAGTACCTACATACATAACAAAGAGCAAAGTTCACGTGAAATATAAGTGATTATAACTTGTTTATAAATAGAATTATTATTTACCTTTCCATATTATCATTACTTCGAATTCGACTTTTCGTCTATATAGATTGTAACAACTTGAGTTATCAAAGATTATTTAATAATTATCAGATTGGGAAATATCAAATGATACGTCGTCAACACGAAAATACAATTTAGTGAAAAAAAATTTTAAAAATATAATTAATAACTTATGATTATAAAGTTATTGAGTGGACACTTTTTTCTCTTTAATTACACTTCAAATTAAATTCATGGAGTGGTTTAGTTAGGTCAATAGTAACATTGTCAAGGGTACTAAATGTTTACTAAATGATTAACAATTATTATACATGTCTATGTATTTGAAATTGTATTAATTAAATAGGCTAGTAAATAGTTTAAGCACATAAATATTTCGTGTAAAGTCGTGCATTTTATTAATTTTTCTAAACGACACAGAATTTTCAATTTCCATCAACCGAATAGTGTTACTTATTAGAAGTGTAAATAGAATTCAAGTTAATTATGTCATATATTTAAAAATAGCTAATTTTAAGAGTTTCAAGTTTTTTAATTATCGTTCATTAAATAGAAAATTTTTTAAACTAATATAATATGTTAAGTTATTATTTTCTAATCAAAACCTTCGTTTTCAAAAAAATTAAAGATGGAAATTAGTTACCTAAAAAAATGACTTTATTCAATTTAATAATTAACTTTAATACCTATTACGTACATTTAATTATTTTAAGATAGAAACTGAAAATTGTTTTAATTTAATCCACTCAAAGCAAACATTTATTGTGATTTTATTATCTAAAAATTATCCATCGGTTTTGTACTTAAGTTCCTACTCTAATAAAATAAAATTATAATTACGAGTAATTATTATTTAATCGTGTATTCGTGTAACACTTACCATTAGTTCTTAACTCTAAAGTCAACTTACTTTACTTTATTATAATAACTAACTATTTTCTTAATTAGATTAATCTAATTTCAATACTTCTATTGATAATAATCAGATAAGATAATCACTGTTCTATTAGAACCTTGCAGTTTGTAATTAAATGTAATAATAAAAACAAATATCTAAAAGTAATAATTTTTGAACACATTATTTAATTCAAATACGAGATCTGTAGACCTTGAAAACAAATTTGTGCTTAAATATACATATGTAGAATATTCATAATTCATGCCAGTCATGCTAATCATGCAATCCTCAAAAGTTATACGCAGATAAAATTTTGTTTACTCATTTTATTAATTGCGTGTCATTACCATTTCATGGAGACTCCACTTCGTGTGAACAACAATGACAATGACTACAAAAAAATACATTATTGTTTCTTTGGAAGATTTTATTATCATTTTATTATGTGATAAAAATGGAAAAAGATGTTATATCCTTATGAACAATAAGTATTAATATGGAAATGGTTAGATAAGATATCGTATCAATATCTTACAAGACGAATTAATATAATCGTTCATTTTAAAGTGTTACGCTTTTGTAAGGAGTAAATTCCAGGTGAATAAATTAAGATTGGGTAATTAAAAAATATGTTTAATTTTTGACTAATTATTTATCCATTTTTGCATAATTCTAATTTATTTGTGAACTTTACGAAAATTTATGGAAAACACTTATTGCCCTTTTCTAATTTTCCCGTTATATCTTCCAATTTCGTAATGTTGCCGAGGATAATTTTAAATGGTACAGTAACACCTCAATTAATGGACATCTTCTTTCTAATATAAATAATCTTGTCGTAGAAACATACGAATACTAACATCTAATAATTACACTCTTAGCTCTATTTAAGCCCTCTATTGTAGACCTCTATTGTACCATTTAAATTTCCCTATAATTCATCCCAAATTTCTTAATACAGCACAGGAATATGTTAGGTGGTACGGGGGCACCTCCTTTTATATCTTGCCCTTTTTCTTCCAGATAATTAACCAAGTCTTGCTTCAGCTATGCTAAGAAAAGACTTCATTACAATATTATCGTCACTATTTACACTATTTCCTTAATCTGATTCCTTATTTGCACCATCGAATTTCCCCATAGTTTCTCCATATTTCCTTATTTAGCTCGAATTATTTTTAGAGATCAATTTAAATCTGACCGTGCAGCCGGGTGATGAAACTCTGATTTAATTTAATACCTACATGCGCCGGCTCCAAATAATCTAAAATTTAAGTAAACATCATTAACCCCAAATTAAACAAGCATATTTTTTATCTAGATTTTATATAAATAGTAATCATAATCCGTTGCCATTTCAATCTTTTCAAGAAACTAATAGACGAAGTGGCTACCTACTATCAATATCTACGCTATTTTATCATTTCGTTCGTATAAATAATTGAGCTACGAGTTTCAGTGTCATTCGCATAGAAAATGCTGCTAACAAATTCGTTCGTAATCGATTTGTTGTTAGCTTTGGTAACCCTAGCGGTGGCCGGTTACTACTATGTGAGACATAAGTATAGTTATTGGACCAGTAGGGGTGTACTTCAGTTAAAACCGACCTTTCCCACGGGAAACTATGGGAACGGTCTACCGAGAGGTATAACTATCGGACGTGTATCGTATCATTTATACCAAGAATTCAAAAAAGCCGGTCACAAATTTGGAGGTAAGTTCAGTTCTTTATTAATTAGGTACCTTTTTCAGTTATTTCTCTATAAGGATTTGCTGTTTCGGTACAGTTACATTCAGTTTATTTGCTTAAGTATGTACCTTTGTTATAACAATTCGATATTGTTTGATTTCCAGGTGTCTACATGGGTCTGGACCCCTACCTGGTAATCATGGATCCCGATATAGCGCAACAAATATTGACCACGGATTTCACCCATTTCGCAAACAGAGCTATCTACCAATCTCCCAAAAACCCCATAACCAGTAACATAATCACCCAAGAGTTTAAAGAGTGGAGAAACGCAAGGGTAAGAAAATAGTGTATATTTATTAGAAGAAAAAGTTTACAAACATACATCTATTTTTAGACCAAATTGACCCCTATCTTCACATCGGCGAAGATGAAGTTCTTCTTCAATAACATGAATAAATGCAAAGATGTGTTTGGACAGAATTTACAGCGCGTAGTCAATGACCCGAACAAAGACATCGATATCTATGAAACTATGGCTTGTTACTTCACGGATATAATATGTAAGTATGAAATAATTCGACTAATTCCAGGCAAAGGTCTTGTAAAGATTTCCCTAATCGAAACTAATCAAACCAAAATACCTTATTGTTGAGCTCTTAAACAATTCCAGTACCTACCACATTTATCTTCTTAGTCCATATTTCTTCTTCAAGATAATCTGGAACAAACTCTTTAACAACTGCTTTATCACCTCCACATCCTTCTCCAACATCAAATCCTCTCGTTTCACCTCAATCTTTTCATTCAATAGCTTCATCTTCACATTCGAAACATCCTCCAACGTCTTTCCTTACATCTTCAGCAACAATTTCAGCAACGATTTCCGGAATGAATCGATTTCCTTTTTAAGCCTCTGCGGTGTTCGGCGTCGAGGCGAACAGCTTCACCTCCCCCGATGCGGAATTCCGGCGCGTCGGCAGAGACCTGTTCGATAAGTTCTCCAGGAAGGAACAGCTGAAACTCTTCCTGGCCATCTGCTACCCGGGCATCGCGAGGCTGCTCAACATCGGCTACATCCAGGACAGCGTCGAGGAGTTCTTCAACAACTTCGTGCCCGAGGCGATCGAGCATCGCGAGAAGAAAGGCATCTACGGCACGGACGTGCTGCAAACTTTGATGGAGCTGATGCACTCCGATACGAGCATGACTTTGGAGGAGCTGATCTCTCAGGTATGAAGTTTGACGCGTGCTTTTGATGAAAATTAGATGGTAATCTTGTTTTACGATTTAGTCGTTTATCTTCTTCTCTGCTGGATTCGAAACGTCGTCTTTTACGTCTTCGATGATGCTCTACGAGCTCAGCATGCACAAGGATATGCAGGACAGAGTAAGGCAAGAGATTAACAATATTTTGAAGGAGAATGGCGGACAATTGACCTACGAGTCTCTAAAGAGCATGAAATACTTCACGCAAATCTTCTACGGTAACATTGTTTGAAATTTTTCCTGCTGCATACTAACTATAGGTTTAAATTTATTCCAGAAACGATGCGGAAATATCCAGTTTTAGCTACTATTACTAGAATATGTGTGAAGGATTATGAATTTAAAGGGCACGACTTTAAAATCGAAAAGGGCACCGGAATCCTTATACCTCAGCTGGGCTTCCTCAGTGATCCGGATCTTTATCCCGATCCGGAGGTTTTCGACCCAGAACGTTTCGCTGAGAAAGATACAAAACATCTAGGATATATGCCTTTTGGAGAGGGTCCCAGAAACTGTATAGGTATGATTAACATTAAGCACTAGCTGAGCTTTTTAAGCGTAAAAAATGATTGGTAGGGATGATCTTGAAAGATTCTTGGAAAGACTAAGTAGAGAAAACTTTTTAATAGAAAATATTCAGATAGAAACTTCAAGAGTTCTTCGACATCTTCATTCTCAAATTAAAAAATAAACTTTACGAAGAATTTTAAGTAACTTTTACTAATTAAAACTGGTTTTACAGGAAGCAGATTCGCCATCCTGCAGGTGAAATTAGGAGTGGCGGAAGTGATAAGGAATTTCGAAGTTTCCCTCAGCCCTAATCACAAGGAACCGTTGGTCTTCAACGAATTTACATTCGTTACCAAAGTAGATGAACCGATTCTCTTAAGACTCAAAAAGATTAATTATTAATTCTTTTCGCACACACAATTTTTAGAACTGTTTATTTTATGCTTTAGTAAGTTTAAATATTAAACCTGGCATATATTTGTTTCTTTGTATAAATTAAACCACAAGAGACATTCATTTGATGTTCTTAAAATCAAATTTGAAACCAGTTCGATTGTATTCGGCAAATCCACTGGTTCTAAAATTAAGGTCCTGATGTTACCATACTAGTAACTGCTTTCAATTCAAATAACAGCTAAATGTTGATCTAATATACTATAAGTAAATTGTACAGGGTTTTTCACGATAGCAATTCATTAGAATTTTAATGAGTTTTATGAGAACATGAGAACTCACTATACTAAGAAGAACACTCGAAATTTACGAGCTATCAAATAAATCAATAAAAAGAATCACGATGCTGTTGATACTATTTTTAGGCGACCTTGCTTGAAATTATACGATTTTCTTTGGAGCAGACGCAAAAATTCGATTTTTAATCGCGCAACTTTTCAGCGGCATGATCATACTTTGATTTTATGCAATGTATACCTACATACGCCGTCTCCACTTAACCTAAGAACTATGTAAACACCATTAACCCTAAATAAAAGACGCACATTTTTATCTATATTTTTTTGTATAAATATGTAGGTAATAATCTAATCATAATTCGTTTCCCACTTCAATCACTTCACGTGACTACCTCTCCTCTCAATTTACAAGCAAATTTATGTCTTCGTTCGTGTAAATAATTCGAGTTTCAGTGGCATTCGCAGAGAAAATGCTGTTAACTAATTCCTTTGTAATAGATTTGCTATTAGCTTTAGTAACTCTATCGGTTGGCGCGTATTACTATGTGAAACATAAGTATAGTTATTGGAGCAGAAGGGGTGTACCTCAGTTAAAGCCGTCGTTTCCCAGGGGAAACTATGGGAAAGGTTTGCCCAGAGGTATTGCTATTGGAGGTGTATCGTTGGAATTCTATCACAAATTAAAAAAAGCCGGTCACAAATTCGGAGGTAAGTTCAGTTCTTTACTCGCTAGGTGTGTTTTTCAGTAATTTCTCTATAAGGATTTGTTGTTTCGGTACAATTACATTCAGTTTATTTGCTTTAGTATGTACCTTTGTTGGAACAATTCGATAATGTTTTATTTCCAGGTGTCTACATGGGTCTGGATCCCTACCTGGTTGTCATGGATCCCGATATAGCGCATCAAATAATGACCTCAGATTTCACCTCTTTCGCAAATAGAGCTATGTACCAAACTCCCAGAAACCCCATAACCCATAATATACTCACTCAAGAATTTCACGAGTGGAGAATCGCAAGGGTAAGAAAATTGTATATATTTATTAGAAGAAAAAGTTTGCGAAAAACCCTTCTATTTTTAGACCAAATTGTCGCCTATCTTCACATCGGCCAAGATGAAGTTCTTCTTCAATACCATGAATAAATGCAAAGATGTGTTTGGACAGAATTTACAACGCGTAGTCAATGACCCGAATAAAGACATCGACGTGTATGAAACTATGGCTTGTTACTTCACAGATATCATTGGTAAGATGCCTGAAAAGTATGAAATTGTCTGAATAATTTTAGGCAAAAGTCATGTAAAGTTTTTCCTAACTATGGGCAACAAAACTACCAAGTCTGTATTTGCATTTGCCCGTATTTCACCATTCCACGTTTATTTCCTCATCATCTTACTCAATTTTTTCTCCAATATAATCTGCTACAATCTGTTTAAGAGCTTCTTTATCACCGTTACATTCTTCTCCATCATCCAATACTGGTCTTTTCACCTCAATGTTCTCGTTCAACAGCTTCATATTTATATTCTAAACATTCATCAACGTCTTCCTTAACATCTCCTGCTACAACTTCTCTAACATCATCTTCATATTTACCACATCCTGCTTTATTTCGGTTTGGATTTCTGGCCAGAACCGAGTTGGGTTCCAAAAAGCCTGTTCGGAAGCCAAATCGGAAAGTCTGGATTTCTGGATAATTGGATTTCCTTTTTAAGGCTCGATGGTATTCGGCGTCGAAGCGAACAGCTTCGACTCCCCCGACGCTGATCTCCGGCGCGTCGGCAGGCACATGTTCGATACGTTCTCCACGAAGGAACAAGTGAAACTCTTCCTGGCCATTTGCTACCCGGACCTCGCGAAGCTGCTCAAGGTCGGCTTCATTCAGGACAGCATCGTGCAATTCTTTAACAACTTCGTACCCGATGCGATCGAGCAGCGCAAGAAGCAAGGCATCTACCGCACGGACATACTGCAAATTTTGATCGAAATGATGGACTCCGATACGAGCACGACTTTAGAGGAAGTAATCGCTCAGGTATGAAGTTTGACATACTGTTGATGAAAATTAGATGGATATTTTGTTTTATGTTTTAGTCGTTTATATTCTTCACTGGCGGATTCGAAACGTCGTCATTTACGTCTTCGATGATGCTCTACGAGCTCAGCAAGAATAAAGATATGCAAGCGAAATTGAGGCAAGAAATAAACGATATTATGAAGGAAAATGACGGGCAATTGACCTACGAGTCTATAAAAGGCACGAAATACTTCACGCAAATCTTCTACGGTAACATTGATTGAAAATTTTCCTGCTGCATACTAACTATAGGTTTAAATTTATTCCAGAAACGATGCGGAAATATCCAGTTTTGGCTACTATTACCAGAGTATGTGTGAAGGATTATGAATTTAAAGGGCACGATTTGAAAATTGAAAAGGGCACCGGAATCATTCTACCTCAGCTGGGTTTCCTCAGTGATCCGGATCTTTATCCTGATCCGGAGATTTTCGATCCAGAACGTTTTGCTGAGAAAGATACCAAACATCCAGGGTATATGGCTTTTGGAGATGGACCCAGAAACTGCATGGGTATGAATAACCGTTTCACGACATTCCATCACACGACTATAGGGGTGATGATCTGTTGTGGTGATGATCGTCGATGTTATGAAATGTCGCAGTAATAGAAAGTCGCATGATAAATAGTAGTCTGATGGAATGTCGTGGAATCATAAATAACATGATAACTATCTAAGCTCCGAGCTTAATAAAGAATTTGTAAGAGTGTTCTTGAAAGTTTGTTGAAAAGACTAATTAGAAGAAACTTTTTACTTAAAAATATTCAGATAGAAACACCAAGAATTCTCCAGCATCTTCATTCCCGAGAAGGAAGTTGAGCCTTGAGTACAACTTCAAGTCTTTCATACTAATTTAAAACTCTGGTTTTACAGGAAGCAGATTCGCCATGCTGCAGGTGAAACTGGGAGTGGCGGAAGTGATAAGGAATTACGAAGTTTCCCTAAGCCCTAATCACAAGGAACCGTTGATCTTTAACGAATTTACATTCGTTACCAAAGTAGACGAACCGATTCTCTTAAGACTCAAAAGGATTAATTATTAATTTTTGTCGCTCACACACATTTTCGTATACTGTTTATTTTTATACTTTAGTAAGTTTAAATATTAAACGTATTTCTCAGAGAAAATTTAACCATCAGAGATTCATTTGTTCTCAAAATCAAATCTGGAACCGGATAGTTTGTATTCGGTAAATCCCCTGGCTCTAAATTGAAGGTCTTGATGTTACCATACACTATAACTGCTTTTAATTCTTTAATACAAAATAATACTCTAATAAAAAAGTTACAAAAAAGTTACTTCGCTCGCTCGGTGTGATCACCCTGTAAATCAATTTTTCTGTTTTCCTTAGGATAAAAACACTCAGTAGATATATCAATCAATTCCCACAATTTTCTTAAGATAAAAATACCCTGTACATCATTTTTTATTACGTTTTAATAAAGATGAGAAAGCTACAGTAAGCCAAGACTTCGTTACAAAATGGTCAATAATGTCAAAACTATTAACACTATTTTTAGGCGACCTTGATTGAAATTATACAATTTACTTTGGACCAGACAAACAGATTTGACAACGGCGAAAAAAATATTTTGATTTTATAAAAATGTATAAATAAATCGTATGCATTTAATCTATAAAGGTTAATCTACGAAAGTAAACATCATTAACCCTAGATAAAAGACGCACATTTTTATCTAGAATTTCTATATAAATGTTGCTATTATTCATAATATGTTGTCCACTTCATTTATTTCTAGTTCCTACCTCTGATCTCAATTTACAAGCCATTTTATGTCTTTGTTCGTATAAATAATAATTCGACTTTTAGTGGCATTAGCAGAAAAAATGCTGCTAACAAATTCCTTTGTAATAGATTTGCTATTAGCTTTAGTAACTCTATCGGTTGGCGCGTATTACTATGTGAAACATAAGTATAGTTATTGGAGCAATAGGGGTGTACCTCAGTTAAAGCCGTCGTTTCCCAGGGGAAACTATGGGAAAGGTTTGCCCAGAGGTATTGCTATTGGACGTGTTTCGTTAGAATTCTATCACGAATTAAAAAAAGCCGGTCACAAATTCGGAGGTAAGTTCAGTTCTTTACTCGCTAGGTGTGTTTTTCAGTCATTTCAGTATAAGGATTTTTGTTTCGGTACAATTACATTCAGTTTATTTGCTTTAGTATGTACCTTTGTTATAACAATTCGATATTGTTTGATTTCCAGGTGTCTACATGGGTCTGGATCCCTACCTGGTTATCATGGATCCCGATATAGCGCATCAAATATTGACCACAGATTTCACCTCTTTCGCAAATAGAGCTATATACCAAACTCCCAAAAACCCCATAACCACTAATATACTCACTCAAGAATTTCACGAGTGGAGAATCGCAAGGGTAAGAAAATAGTGTATATTTATTAGAAGAAAAAGTTTACGAAAAACCCTTCTATTTTTAGACCAAATTGTCGCCTATCTTCACATCGGCGAAGATGAAGTTCTTCTTTAATACCATGAATAATTGCAAAGATGTGTTTGGACAGAATTTACAACGCGTAGTGAATGACCCGAATAAAGACATCAACATCTATGAAATTATGGCTTGTTACTTCACAGATATCATTGGTAAGATGTCTGAAAAGTATGAAATTGTCTGAATAATTTTAGGCAAAAGCCTAAAAAGTCAAAAGTTTTTCCTAACTATGGACAACAAAACTACCAAGTTTGCATTTGCATTTGCCGGTATATCAGCATTCTACATTTATTTCTTCATCATCTTACTCAATTTCTTCTAAAATATAATCTGCTACAATCTGTTTAGGAGCTTCTTTATCACCGTTACATTCTTCTTCATCATCCAATACTGCTCTTTTCACCTCAATTTTATGGTTCAACAGCTTCATATTCATATTCTAAACAATCATTAACGTCTTCCTTAACATCTCCAGCAACAACTTCTCTAACATCATCTTCATCTTTACCACATCCTGCTTTATTTCGGACTGGATGTCTGGCCAGAAGCGAGTTGGCTTCCAAAAAGCCTGTTCGGAAGCCAAATCGAAAAGTTCTGGATTTCTGGATAATTGGATTTCCTTCTTAAGGCTCGATGGTGTTCGGCGTCGAAGCGAACAGCTTCGACTCCCCTGACGCTGATCTCCGGCGCGTCGGCAAGCACATGTTCGATACGTTTTCCAAGAAGGAACAAGTGAAACTGTTCCTGGCCATTTGCTACCCGGACATCGCGAAGCTGCTCAAGATCGGCTTCGTTCAGGACAGCATCGTGCAGTTCTTTAACAAATTCGTACCCGATGCGATCGAGCAGCGCAAGAAGCAAGGCATTTACCGCACGGACATTCTGCAAATTTTGATCGAAATGATGGACTCCGACACGAGCACGACTATGGAGGAAGTAATCGCTCAGGTACGAAGTTTGACGTGCCTTCGATGAAAATTAGATGGATATTTTGTTTTATGTTTTAGTCGTTTATCTTCTTCACTGGTGGATTCGAAACGTCGTCTTATACTTCTTCGATGATACTATACGAGCTCAGCAAGCACAAAGATATGCAAGCGAGATTGAGGCAAGAAATAAACGATATTATGAAGGGGAATGACGGGCAATTGACTTACGAATCTATAAAAGGCACGAAATACTTCACGCAAATCTTCCACGGTAACATTGGTTGACATTTTTCCTGCTGTATAATTATAAATTGTACAAATTTATTCTAGAAACTATGAGGAAATATCCAGTTTTGGCTACTGTTAATAGAGTATGTGTGAAAGATTATGAATTTAACGGTTTGAAAATTGAAAAGGGCACCGGAATCCTTCTACCTCAGCTGGGTTTCCTCAGTGATCCGGATCTTTATCCTGATCCGGAGATTTTCGACCCGGAGCGTTTCGCTGAGAAAGATACCAAACATCCAGGGTATATGGCTTTTGGAGATGGACCCAGAAACTGCATGGGTATGAAAAACCCTTTCTCGACATTCCATCACACGACTATAAGTGTGATGATCTGTTGTAGTGATGAATTTCTTCGTGATGATCGTCGATATTATGAAATGTCGCAGTGATGGAAAGTCGCATGATGAATAGTAGTGTGATGGAATGTCGTGGAATCATGAATAACATGATAACTATCTAAGCTCCGAGCTTAATAAAGCATTTGTAAGAGTGTTCTTGAAAGTTTCTTGAAAAGACTAATTAGAAGAAACTTTTTACTTAAAAATATTTAGATAGAAACACCAAGAATTCTCCAGCATCTTCATTCCCGAGAAGGAAGTTGAGCCTTGAGTACAACTTCAAGTCTTTTATACTAATTAAAACTTTGGTTTTACAGGAAGTAGATTCGCCATGCTGCAGGTGAAACTTGGAGTGGCGGAAGTGATAAGGAATTACGAAGTTTCCATCAGCCCTAATCACAAGGAACCGTTGATCTTCAACGAATTTACATTCGTTGCCAAAGTAGATGAACCGATTCTCTTAAGACTCAAAAAGATTAATTACTAATTCTTTTCGCAAACACAATTTTTAGAACTGTTTATTTTTATACTTTAGTAAGTTTAAATATTAAACCTGCCATTTAATTATTTCTCGGAGTAAATTTAACCATAAGAGATTCATTTGATGTTCTTAAAATCAAATCTGGAACCAGTTCGATTGTATCCGGTGTGTCTACTGGTTCCAAAATGAAGTTCTTGATGATACCACACAGAACTGCCTTCAATTCTAATATGGCAAAACGTTGACCTAAAATATATTTTGGTAATTCAACAGATTTTTCACGTTAACTGTTCATTAGAATTTTTAGGAGTTTCTGAATGATTAAGAATCAGAAAATTTAGTAGTAAGGTATAGCGAATGTTGAATGGTTGAAAATAGTGTAGAAAAACTCACAACATTGACTATACCTCACTTCTAAATTATCAGATTCGTAACTTTCCAGGCACTCCTAAAAGTTCTACTGTACGACCACCGTAAAAACCCCTGTATATAAATAAAATTTAGCACTACGCCAGTTTCTGGCATGAACCAAACATACCCCTTACAAAGTACAAACTAATAAAGTACCTATGCAATTCCTGGGACCCGCGCTGAACGGGCAGAACGCGAACGGGTGCCTCTTAGCGCAATTCTCCGGCAGGAACCTGTCAGGATCGAAGCGCTCCGGGTCCGGCCAGTCCCTCTCGTTCCGGTGGACGTCGTAGATGTGCACGTGGACCGGAGTGTTCTTGGGCAGCAAGTGCCCCCCGACCAAGGTGTCCTCTTCCAGGTACCGCGCCACTTGCGGCACGCTCGGGTACAGCCTGAGGCTCTCCTTGATGCACCTCTCCAGGAACTTCAACTCGTTCAGATCCTTGATCTCTGGATTGTGGTTGCGGTCGCCCAGCGACGCGCAAATCTCCTCGTAAATTTGATCCTGGAAGAAGATTTGTCGGAAAAATATGCGTGCGAGAAGAAGAAGAAATGATAGTACCTGGTGAGATTTGTGGTTTGCTAGTAACATCAGCGTGAAACAAATCGAAGTGGCTATTGTATCGTGACCCTAAAATTGATTTTTGAACAAAAGAGATAACAACTGTCTAATATTAAAAGCATTTCGTTGTACTGATGGGGAGTTTTCAATTTATTTTACCTCGAACAAAAATGTGTTGACTTCATCTTTGATGCCTTTATCGTCGATAACTTTTCCGTTGATTTTGGCGTTTATTAGCAAATCCAGAAAGGCCATTTTTTTCCTGTTGGAATAGTTGTAGCGTTCGTCGAAGGTGTTGAGGGATTTGCTCCGTTTCTCGATAATATCGTCGGTGAAGTCGTGGAGAATTTTAACGATTTTTTTCTCTTTGTAGCCGGTTGGAAAGAGATTGTAGAAAATGGCGTTCGAATAGGTCCAAGGTCTCATGAGCCTGTAGTAGACGATTTTGCCTATTTGATAGATGGCAGATACGTAGTTTTTGTCCTGTTCGGAATCCAGGTTTAGGCTTGTCCCCATGGATGTTTCTGAAAAAATACGAGATAATCTCTGATTATTCGGCGAATAATAAGTTTGATATGTACCAGAAATTGAGTAGAGGGTAAATTGCGAAATCAAGGGAACTACATTGGTAGAAGGTTTGCCGATTTCTCCCTTTAAAACCTCCACTAATCGAGCGGTTTCCTTGTTAAATACCTTGACGAATTGTTGTAGAATGGAAAAATGGAATGCTGGCGTTAATATTTTTCGCCTCGTGTGCCATTGAGAACCTATGTAGATAAGCAATAAGAGATCTCTATGAAACTTTAAAATGTGATTTGCTTACCCGAACTGGTAAGAAGTCCTTCTCCAAGCCATAAATTCAAGCAGTTATAAGCGAATCCTTTCTGGATGTTTTTTGTGGTACCGGCGATTTTCTACAACAAATTAGCCAGTAATACGTTAAAGCAGTAGGTACTCTTAAGTATCTACTTTATTCTAGAAAAATGTAGCAGTAGATATACAGAGCTGGTTCTAGAATGGTCATATATAGGGAAAACAGATTAGAGGGAGAGAAATAGGCAGGGATAAAAAAATGCATTTTTAAACTATTTAAAAACCAGTACCAACCTCGAATGCTTCAGGTCCAGAAATAAAAACTACAGGAAACAGATATGTCATAGATACAAGGTAGAGAGGTCCGTGTGTTCGGCTCCATTCCCGCATTTTCTCAAAACATTGTTCTGGAAAACAAGTTTAATAAATAACATACAAATGTGAGGTACAAAAACCTTATTAAGGAAGAATAGAAAAAAATTATGGGTGAGGCTCATTTTCAATAATAATGTTTTATTGCTATAAAATTATTCGGTTATTGACAAAGCGTTTAATCAATTTCTCTGAACGATTATTCCAACAATTAGGCATCGTTAAATCACTTTTTCTTCCTTTACCTAAATCCTTTCACTAAACATTTTGATTACATACAAATTATAAATCCGCTTTTGTAAATAATTATCCAAATTTAGCATATATGCAAGACATAACAACTTAGTGTAAATTACACACATACATATTAATTTTTTTAAATTATAAACGTCTTACATGTTACTAATTACTTCAATATTTTGCCCAGTGCTTACCCACTTATTTTTACTGTTTGTCCCTATTCAAGTAGATCTACAGTTAATACAGGGAGTAAAAATTAGAACACACTCACCTGGTGTACACCAAAGTTGATGAAGATTTCCGAACACTGGGTCCCTTTTTGGGCCGGGTAATTGGTAAATTACCATTAAGTACTTGACGAATTTCACGAGTTTCTTAAAGAATCCGATCGAGAACAAGTAGCTGACGAGAGCCCAAATCAGAACAAACCACGCCAATAACATGTTATTCCCCGGGTTGGCTGGCAAAGGAGTCACTGCATAACACAGCATGTGTATATGAAAGAGAAGTGAGAAAAAATTTGGTAATTGTTGATATTTATTGGATAGTTTTGGGCGAAAATTGTCGGTCTTTTCTATTATGTGCAATTAATGGGAATGTTGATTATACTTCGGTGTGGGAGAAAATTATAAGAGTGAATGATTGTTTGAATAATACAAGTAATTTTATAAGTAAATATATTTAGTTTTTATAGGTACCTAAAAACATTACAGTTTTATGGTATAATCCGCAGAATTTCTATATTAAAGTATAGTGCATAATAAAATAATATGTATAAAGATTATTTAAGTACAACAATGAGTTATAATTAGTTCAAGCAACAATAGTTTATAAAAATATATTTGATTGAATTTTATTATGAGAAACAATCGAATTTTACGCAATTAATGTAATGTAGGAAAAGTATAACATTTAAATATTTATAAAAATAATATTAATTGATTTGATATTATTTGGGAAAGTTACAATCTCACAATATTACTTTCTTTTTCCTTCATATGACAGTAATGGAAGTTGTCTTTGTTATACCCATAGGCCACATATTGCGTACAAATTTGCACTTATCTGTATGAATCGAGGCCAAGAAGAAAAAATTACTGAACAGTAATTATAACAAGTAAAGGGCCAAATGGAACGAAAATCCCCCATTCTAACTCTTGTTAACCTTGTTTAACTCATTATTGTTAACACAAGCATATTCTTCCACGATAAGGTCATGGAAACAACAAATTATTTGATTCACTGTCATTAACATTTTTTTTTAATTTGTCACATTCCTCTTATTTCTTCTGAAAGTAACCCAAGATGAAAACATTCGTTTTCAATATAGGAAGTGTAAGTACCTAATATTTTTATTTAGTTAAATTTATTAAAAAAATTATGTAAATAATCTCACATTTAAAACTTTTTGTTTTTTCAATATAGTTATTACAACTGAGACAATTACAGTACTACTTAAGAGAGCAATTCTCGTTTTAGTAAAAAATTATAAATTCAACGCGATTATTTCAAATTAAATTATAGAAAATAGTGCTATTTAGTTTAATCAATTTGTAGTTGGTCGCAATGGCATCATTTTAACTACTGTCACTGTCATTAGTGTCACAAATGTCATTGTCACGTTTAAAACGAACGTCAATCAAAACATCAAGAGTTTTATGTAATTTTAACTAAATATTATATTTATTCTTTATTATGTATACCAGTAAGGTGCGATTTAAATCGTAAAATATTACCGATCCAATTTATCTAATTTTCATTGAATTCCAGCTATTGAAACGATGCTTCATCCCGACATTAGCAGCCACAGCTGTAGAGGTTAATTCTAAAAATACATCAGAAGAAAAAGAGGAATGTTTAATTAGACCTAGTGAACTTCCATTGTACAAAAGAGAACCACCTTCGATTTTAGCGCCTCCCAAGGAACAGAACCCGCAACTGGCCAAAATCAGTGAGTTCATTGGGTCATTACGGATACAACTTTTTAAATTCACTCACGAATGCAGTCAGTACAAAAAAGTTGGTTTGCAAGAGATTAATAAAAGGAAAGACGACATGGACTGTACGATACTTAGTAATAGACCTGTTTCAAGTTGTAAAGTTTCAATCTTTCAGGGTTAGTTCGTTACTTACAAGAAGAAAATAATACATTACCTAAAATTGGAGCGATTGGTATAGGAGGTTTGACCGGGTTAATTTTTGGCCTTAGAGGAGGTTTAATTAAAAAAACCATTTATTCTACGATAGGAGCGTTAGGTATTGCTTCAGTTTGTTACCCTAAAGAAGCCTCAGAATATGGCCAAATTGGACTTACTGAAGGAAAGAAATATGCAATGGTGTCATATAATTTCATAACTGGAGGTAAATTAACTATTACATCATAACACAAACATAATAACACAACAAAAAATTATTTAGCAAAGAAAGAAGACCCGCCGAAGGAGTTTCCAACGCTTCCGCAACTACCTTCGAGTTTAAGCGAAGTCTGGGAATCCATGAAATCGACTGCTTCATCTTTTATGCCGTCAGATACTCCTAAAAGTAATGTTGCCAACGTGGAAAAGGTAACGGAAAACTTGACAGCAACCTTACCCATCTCCGATCAAGATCCGCCCTATCCTCCGCCTCCTCCGATCCACCTTGAACGACCATTGTCTGACCCAAATACGCTCTATTCCTTCCATAAATATCCTAGTGAATAGAGTCGAAACGATTTTGGGTAATTGTCCTCGAGTAGAACTCGTTATGTGAAGTAAACGGTTTAGTATTTTGTAAGTTTTAATTCGCTTGTATTCGGAGCAGGGCCGGATTTTCATATAAGTTAAAAGAGCCTCATTGGTGGAATAGTTTGAGGCCTCTCTTCGTCTAAATCCGGCCCTGGTTGATAGTTATAATGTCTGAAAACAATGACGGAATATAAACTCTGTATATTTGATATCATTTTTGTATTAATGTGTATTTTTGTTTCAGGTAAACAAATCAGAGTGAAGTGGAATATGAATAGTATTTAAATCAAATAGGAAATCAATAATAAAATCGTATTTGATCAATGAATGTTTTTATTTAAAAAAATAAACAACGGCTGTGTCATCACAGCAGAATAGAGCTTAATGTGTTACATTAAATCGTTTTTTTTATGTATACATGTATGAACAGAACTTAAAACTATCTTGGACTCCATCTACTACAAATTACGTTCGATTTTACAACAAATCAAATGTTAACAAAGGAATCTGAAACGTAATTTGGTTGAAAAAAAAAAAACATTGCTTCTTTACAACTGAAAAATATATCTTATATTATTCAGAAACCTCTAATTGGAGTATTATGAAACTGCCATATACCTTTAGCATTTTATTATTTGCTCTACATCAAATTGTCACGACAAAGCAAGCGAGATAAAAATAATTGAAAAGTGTAATACTTGGTGAATTTTCCATTATGTTAATGACTCGATTAATTTAAACAAAGTAAATCGCTTCTCACATCTTTAACGTCCAGCACTCGTCTTTTTGACAATTTATATTCACATAACAACAACTAATTAAAGAGTAATATTATTAATATAGAAAATATTAATTTTCGTTAAATTTTTTGAGCCTAAACGTAAGTTTTTCAACTAAACCTGAAGGGTATTATAGCATAGGAACAATCTCTTAAACGTATCCCTAGTGGTAGAAGCTATAATAATTAACATCACAAATGTGTTATCACGTGTAGAAAAAAAAAATGTTTTGTAACATACAGCTTTAACCATACAGGGCGATCTGTTAAGGCGATAAAGTCCCAATTGAATTGAACAAAATTTGCTTTATGAATCACCCTGTCTAATTTAGTAGAATTTACATTGCTTACAAACCTTGAAAATAAGAGTCGAGCCCTTTAAATATTCCAATCAATAAACTATAACTAAAAATAATTGTTTCAAAACGATAAAATTTTTAAACAATACAACTTTTAAGCAGTTTTTTTTTACTTTTTTTTACTTAATTTACTATAATACAATTTATTCGCAAATAACAAAAATAGTCCTCAAAATATTCAGTTAAATCAACAAATAATAAAAAGAAACTTCCCAATTCATTTCAGATAAATAAAGAACTTATCAGCTTCACTGCATCGATTAAACATTTGCATTATGCTTACTTAACTTTATATGGACTTTTGATTATACCGTCTAGGGTCATTTGTCTTTTAGAATTATTTAAATGCCTGGTACTCCTCGTGTAATGGCCCCTGTTAATCTCTTCTTGCAGTTTCTTTGCGTACTCCAAATCGGCCTTTTCCTGTTCCTTTTTAAACTCCTTGGCTCGATGGCCTTCATTGGCGTGTCCTCCGTTTTTCCTCGTCGTAAAAGAACTATCAAAGCCGTAAAAAGGGGGACTCTCTGCCCTTAGTACTCGTGCTGTATTCTCAAACAGTTTTTTTCTAGCCAACGGGGATACGTTACAGTTTTTAACGGATTCATCTTTCGAGTTTTTCTTGTGCTTTTTACTAGGAGTGCCGTCCTCATGGCTGAACGATAAGCCGTGTTTTTTGGAAGATTGAGGATCTGAGTTCCGGGTCGAAGGTAAAACTTCGTCAATTTTAGTATCCTTGGGGAACTTTGCGAAAGCTGACTGTACATTACTCGAAGAGAAATTCCTTAAACCACAAGGAGATCTAAAAAAATAGGTTAAAATTATTCACAAGGTAGTTCTTGTAGATCAAATACGTACAATATTTTAACGTTTGCACTCTTGGCGAGTTTCTTTGGAATAACTTTTAACGGAGGTTTCCTGTGCGACGGTGGATTTAATCTGTAATCGATTGGTTTGAAATATCTCATTTCCGATTCGATGCAATCGCTGCCGTCGCTGTGCGTGTCCAAATCCACTAGTTTTTGTAGCTGATGAATTTTTTTGGGAACTTTCTGTAGGATGGCTTCCGAGTCCGATTGCAGCATCCAACAGGTATAGTCTTTATTCGCAAACGTATTGGGATTGTTGGTTTTACTTTCTTCGTCTTTTTTAACGAACTTATCTAAGGGGCCTCGTTTTTTGGGGGTAGATTTTGGTTTGGATTTCGATGATGAGGGATCATCGTTCGACAGTTTTTCTGCTAATTTTTTGGCTAACATTTCATCGCATTTGAGTTTCTCTTCTAATAGGGATTTTTGATATTCCTCCTCTTCTTTGATTTTCTTTATTAAATCTTCACTGGCTTTGATTTCTTGTGCCTTCTTCCTGTTCTGTTCTTCTAGCTCTTTTTGTCTTTGAACTTCATATTCTTTTCTAATCTCGCCTGGCTTCGCTACAATAATATCCCTTTCTGAAAAATAGACTATTAGTTAGTTCTTTTGAACAAATTTACAGAAATATAAACGATAAATTGCTGCTTCTATACATACTTTCTTCTAGGTTTTCATCAACGCCATTTAATTTATTTTTCACGTGCTGCTGGAATTTCTCCTTTATTATCTTCCACAATTCCCCGTTTATGAGTATGTTGTCCTTCCTTACTTTCCTCAACCAAGAGCCTATTCTCATCCTACAAAGAGGGCACACCAAATTTGCGTTCTCCATGGTGCCTTCAAAGCAAAACAAACAAAAGTCATGATTACAAGGGAGTGAGACGGGTTCTATCAGAATGCTCCTGCAGATGGGGCACAGCACTTCGTTTAAAGTCAATGCATTGTAATCTTTGGGCTTGTTAATTATTTTAGGACATTTTTTGGACTTTTTCGAAGCCATATTTACAATATGCACTGGTTGACAGTAATGACAATGACGGTTGACATGACAATATTGACAATTGACGTTTCTATTACTCCTCTTTTTTTTAAATAATAGTCTTTGTAACTACAGTTTGGTATTCTTTAATAAATTAATATAACCAATTAAACACTTGGTAGTTTGTGATTTTTAATTAGGTACAATACTTAAAATACTATAAAAGTTCATTCATAGCCAAAAAGGAATGTTTGGGGAGTGCTTTTATAGTAACTTATTGAAAAGTTGGTAACGCTAGTTCATATGAGGTTGACAACAATGATGTATTTTTGCACCTTTTTTCAAATTTTATTATCTTTGTAGATAAAACTTTATCTCCAACCTTTAGTTGTACGAGCCTGCTTTGTTTTCGTTATCAATTTATCTGGCAACATTTTTTTATGTTGTATGTAGTTATACTTGTGATAAAACGTACGTGGTTTGTGAACCATAAATATTTTAATAATTTGTTGTAAAACTTACAGTAACAACATAGTCGTAAATTTTGTTTAATTCTCCACAGCTTTTATAAAAGTAAAACAAGATGTACCCCTGTTTGTATTGCAACAAATATTTTAACTCCGAAAATGGAATACGGAACCACATAGAGACCATCCACAGTGCGAGGAACATCAAATTCACCACTGTAAAGTTGTTCCAAAGTATGTATTTTTTAATTTACCTACATTTACTAACAATAAATATTTATAACAGATTTCCCAGCGCCACGAGTCCAAATCTGGGAAAGGGATACACTGACTTTTTGGAAATAACCAATTAATTTTATCTACAAACATATTCTGTTAGTAATATGATTATTAAATAAATGAATTAATAAATTCTACTTGAAACCCCAAAAAACAGTATCAGAAAGTTCAATATATATACTTTAAAATAGATATAGGTCATGATTTAAAAAATAAGTAAAATACTATTGTGACAAAAGAGTACCCGGAAATTTGGAATAAAACGCAAAATTCATAATCATTGTAATCATTTTTATAGGTCCTTTTTGGTACTGCTTATTTTAGCTGGTCAGCTACATCTGTTTATTATAAGGCGGCTGGTACTTCACACGAACCAGCATGTTTGCATCGATATCACTTAATGCATAGATATATAATAAAGTGCACTTGATGATATCATTTTTGAAGGACAAAAGCTTTATCGGAATGAGCCTTATTGCCTCAATTCGCAGCATATGTCTGATTGGTTGAGCAAAATCTATCGAGCGATTTCACGAGATATGTTGAGATCACGTTCTACTTCTCTAATACTTAATAGCATGATTATTTTCGCAATTATAACTCAATTACGATAAATTTAATTTAATTCATTTTATAAGCGATCTCCTGACTGTCAGTAAATGTTTTGTACCATTCGTAAATATGGGTTTTCGATAACACAGAGTCACCTCTTAAGCATTTGCATTGATTCGGCCCACGAAATTCCGTTCAAATCCCAAAATATGAGACAAACTCTTTGTTCATTATTTTTGTCCATTGCAAAATTCGCAGAGCACTACTGAGATGAACTGATTCAATCGGCTGCTACAACCAAACTGATTGAGAAATCTCTCTAGCTTTTTGCATGCTAATTAAGAACAGTGTTATCTGCATACAGAAACTTGGAATAGTTAAAAATAATATAAAATGCAGGTAATTTAAATCACAATTCCAGGTACTTTTTTGTTAGAAGGTATCACTTATTGTCGCCCATTTGCTTAATTGCTTTTTTATTGCACAGGTTCTGACAATAACCCACCCACAAATCTCAATCAGAACATCAAGACTTTACATACCAACGTTACATCCGTCACGAGCGAATTGGGCCCGCAACTATTTCAAACACCGACGAATTTAAAACCGCAACCAGCTACAAAGGGTACAAAGCCCAAAACTGCGACTACATATCCCTGCTCATTGTGCACAAAAGTATTTCCAACCTCTGCGCAATTGTTCCAACACAAAGAAGACAAGCACAAAATCACGAGCTTCGAATGCACGTCGTGCTCCCAATTTTTTAAAGCCCTAAAAGATTTGGAACAGCACAAAGCTTCGAAGCACGGAGACACAAAGCAGGACAAGGCGAAAAGCAAAAGCGCCTGTTTGCTGTGCTCGCAGGTGTTTAAAGATGCGGTGGATTTGGAGAAACACAAGGCCACGATGCATTGCAGCATTCCTTCCACAAACCCGTCGGTTCTAGCGCATCAATTGATCCAACTGGCGTCTTCGCAGTTGATTCGAAACGACACGAAGCCGAAGAACGTTTGCATATTGTGTTCGCAGAGCTTCCAGGAGCCGGAACATTTGGAGCAGCATTCCATCGCAAAGCACGGCGTTAGTTCCATTGTGTTAAACAACGTGCACCAAAACCAGCTGCATAAAGCGCGATCTTTGTCGTCGCTTAACAATATCGGGTTCTGCCAAAATGTTGTCACTGCGCCAGCTCAAACCAACATCATTCGATGCATTTATTGCCCGAAAAAGTGCAAAACTCTGCTGCAATTGGACCAGCATAATAACGATGTTCATAAGAACAAGAATTACTTTCCCTGTCACTTCTGTGCTAAACCTTTCGATGCCGATCTGAAGAGAACTGGTCATTTGAAGCAAGTTCACAACTTTGCTGTCCAGCAATAATAAGAGATCGTGTAAAGCTCATTTATAGAAATTATTGGCAAGCACAAGAATTTTTTCGTTTTAAATGAGCTACGTATTTTTTGAAAATGTACCTATACTTTATATTTCTATGTATTTGTTAGTTTTTATGCGATAAAAATCTTTATATTCTTGTTATTTCATATTTAAGTAACGAAGACTTCAGGATTTCAAGTCATGACGAATTGGGTATTTCTAATTTTTAATCGTAAGTGTCTTATTATTATATTTAAATCGTAAGTGTATTTTAATTATAATAAAAGGAACTTTAATAGCTACGGCTTGGGTTTTTGTTTTTGAAACGGAGGATTTCTCCCTCCTTGGTTTCCAGGTTTATTCGGCCTTCCTCCTCCAAAGTTTCCTAATAACAGGATTTAATATAAAAAAAGAGTTGTTTTGAAATTGTATATGTACCTCGAGCAGCAGGTCTGTTCCTTTGATTTTGCGGTCTACCTCCCTTCATGTCCCCTCTGCCTTTAGTTTTAGCGACTGTTTCTTCCTTCACCATATCGATGACTTCATCAGGAATTCGCAGATACTTTATGGTACTCCCACGGATGTAGCATTCTGGCATTCTCCAAAATTTGTCACCATCCTGAAATTAGCAAAATCCTTAGTGGTAGATTTTTATTTTAATTATATTAGAAACAATATTCTCTCTAAAGCCTCCAAATATGGGGGTTGAAAATAGAAAGGTTCACCTACCCTGGATGTGCATATAACTTCTCGTAAGTTAATATTCATCCAATTGTCGCAACTAACTAAATGGCCGTTGTACGTTTCTCCATTTTTTAATTCCACTAGCTGAAATAATCGTTAAAATTGTGAATTTGGTGTAAGGAGAATATTTTATTTGTACAAACCATAGGGTGATTTTGGGCTGTTCTTAAAAGGGAAAGTGGCAGCTGCAACAGAAATATGTATTTTAATAAATATAATTAAGAAATTTGATGTGTAAGCGTTACCATTTTAATTCTTTTTATCAAATTATTGGATAAATTATTTTGTTTTATATTCGCTTTGACAATATAAACTAACCTTAAAAAATATTCTCTACTTTTTTTATGGAAGAGAAAGGAGCTGAATAACACAATTACTAAAGGCTAGGTAAAAATTGTTGGCTGTGTAAACTTTTGAAACAATATTATTTGAAATATTTATTTATTTATTATTCTTATATGATCAAATACGAATAATTTTAATAAATTTTATTAGTCTATTTTCCATTGTTATTTTTACATTTTCTTCTTGTTTATTATAGTCATCTTTTACTTTATCCCTCTTCAGCGTCAACTACTAAATATAATCTGACAAATGGCATTGACATTGACTTTATTGACAATCTGAAAGGAAAAGTCGAAAGTGTCGAAAAAGTTAAATATACCAATCTAAAAATTCACCAACAAGCCGCCTTTATTGCTTTATTCGCTCTTAAAAGACGATTCCCTTTAAAAAAATAAAGACTTCACGTTTTGGTACAATCGATCGAATCCTTTTATCAGTGGTAGTGATCAAATGTTTCGTATAAAATCGAAAAATTGGGTGATAACAATCCCGAATGTCATCCACAAATACTCAGCCTGTGGCTATGGACGTTGACGGTCCTAGTAATGGACCCGGCACACTAAAACGGTGCTCTAGTGCCCCAATGATTAATGAATTCGCCCCTGTAATGACTACAGCCAATGCATCAGTTTCTAAAAGGTTTGCCACTATATAAATCAATCATTTGCGCATCAAATGAGCATAGTAACAAACAATACACTGAACAAGAACAATTTATATTTATGCGTTTTTAGGGAACATCAACCCTTTACCTTTGGTTCAAACTCACAAACCAGAACTAGAAGATTTAGCGCGAGTTTCAGCCAAGTACCAGGCTCACCGGTACTAATGTTTATCAACTTTACATCACCATTCTTATCAACGATGCTTTGTAGGTGTTGAACCCGCACGTAACGCCGCGCATTAACCAGCTCAGACAGGAGGAGCATGAAGGGATCAGCAACACGCGGGAACTGGCCCACGAACGGGAGATCCACCACGCCATGCAAATATCCCAGTCATGGGAGGACCTTAGTTTAATGAACGACAGTAACGAATCGTCGAAGAACAACCGAACGGGACCGTTGCAGCTGCCTCTGCCGGCGAGCGGCAGCAACTTCATGAGCAACTCCCCGTCCCCTACGAGGATGGGTTTCCAAAGCCCCACGAGGTATTCGAAAATCATCCTGTAAGCACCATCGATTAGGATTTATTTACCGGGTGTTTGCAGATCGAGGACGATAGTCAGACGAAGCGCGAGCCCCGTATTCCGGCCTAGTCCGTTGGGCGTCAAACGGAAATTGGACGAAGATAAAATCGGTTATCTGAGTTGTCCTAGAGCTAAGAGGGTGTACAGTTACTCCGGAAGCGCTGACAGAGGTGGACTTCTTACAACCACTGGTACGATTGTTTTTGCATTAGTACGCTCTAAGGAACACAATTTTTATTTTTGTTGTAGGTACTTCTCTTCCGGGATCGTTGAGTTCAATAGGTACTCCAGAATCTCTATCCAGTGCGGATTCTCCGGGCTTCAGCACGTTCAGGAACGTCGATAGTCCGTCTCCGGGGCGGGCGCTGCCGATGGACAATCTATCCATATCGAAGAACGATCAGGAAATGTCGGAGAGTCCCAGTTAAAAGCGCTCCGGTTCGCTGGTAGCGGTAAGAGTAAATTTTATCCGGGTGGGGGGGGATTCGAATGATTTATCGTCCCAGAGGAACGTGCCAAATTTTTAGTTAGTTGAATTTTGAATCGATCTTAGTAATTTCAATGGGATCCGCGTTATTTGGCGGGGATTCGATTGATCTGGTTTTTTCTTTTGATAGTATGGATTCGTTGTGGAATCTTTTATGTTGTTGTTTTAGGAGTTCGATTACGTGCAATAACGAGGAGTTTTTGACGGTTCTTTGAATTTTTTATGGAATTACTGTAGTATTGTAGTCAATGTAATAATTATTCGAGTGAATTATGCAAAAGGACGAATTGAGATTTTTAGAATGTTGCTCTTTATACAGGGTGTTTCATTATTAAAGGGTCAAAAATTTAACTTATAAAAACTGTAGAAACAATTCATTTGTTCATTTATGTAATTTAAGACTAAAAATTGTGTAAATTGGTTATAAAAATCATTGTGGAGCGAAGCATAGGTAACAAAAAATGTTGCCTTTAGAAGACACCCTGTATAAAAAGAATTCATTCATATTTATGATTTTTAACAATGTTAATTACAAAGGCACTTTATGGGGATATAATGTCCTTGTTTTGATTAACTTTTAATATGTAATTTATAATATTTAGACATCTCAAAGATATTAAAAAATTCTATAATTATTTAAAATAATACCAAAATTATCATATTCATATTTTTTGATTTGTTCTTCACTCCGCGGACTGGATGAAGTTATTTATCACATTTATGATAGAATTTGCATAGTTGTAGTTTGTACTATTTAAATTAAATAGCGCAATTAACGCGGTAATTTATTCATTTTTAATATTGTGTTGGAAAGTTAGTTCTTCTTGGAGTCTTACAGTACAGCAGAAGAACAAAAAAAATGTATATACTTTTATTAGTACTATTATTGATATTTTTGTTAATTCTTAAACTTCAGAAGCATAATTTCACCTTCAAAGGTTTGTTTGAATCATTGAATTTATTCTCGCGGAGACGTTGAGATTTGTGTATATTGTAGATAAATATTTAATTATTCTTAAATTCTTTTCGAGATTTTATTTTTTCAAGATTTTCTACATTTGTAAGAATTATCTAGTCTGTATTGTTAATTTCCTTTATTTTGGAAAATTAAAAACAGGAGGTGCTTTTGAATACTAATGAATACTTTTGAATACTAATTTGAATTTGCAAAGATTGTATTAAAACGTACCCAAATTGTGTAAAATCATTTTACTGATAGTACCTCCTTTTTTGTGGCCATTTGTATTATTAGACTAACCACTATCTTAATGTGATATATTCTATGTATTAGTTGCTTCTCGAAAAATATTGCCTGCTATATTGATTCGATTCGAAAATTATCAATTCTAAAAATATCAAGGTTCTAAAATCTAATTTTACAAGTGGCTTATTTTCTACTCTCTTGTAAAATAAATTAACTAGAAATAATAGACTGAAATGTGTAATTTTATGTAATAGAAGCAATCGACAAAGAGTACCTACTGTGTCGGATTTTATCAACTATTGTCGCACTTTATGCTCTATTAATTGATAATTGAATCTTTGAAGTTGAAAATGAGTATAATTTACAAGGATTGCGGATTGAACTTGTGGATAGAACATTGAATATAAATGCAAATTGTTTTTCGAGTACATGTAAGATTTCAGCTTCATATCAATACGTATACATATAGGTGCAAATTTGTTTGCAATTTTTTAGAATTATAAGAGTTGAACAAAGATATTATTAAAATAACAGCGGTTAGAGTAAGTAGGTTGCAATCCCATAATATCACTTTCTTTTTTCTTTATGTACGACTAAAGGAAGTTGTCTTTGTTGCACCGTATTGCGTACAAAATTGCACTTATCTGTATACATAAATTCAATTTAATTATTACTTAACCGAAACGATTTGTATTGCAATTTCCCGAAGATAAAAACCAATATGAATACTTGCTTTTAACTATTCCTTGTAATAAATTGTTGGTCAATCTATTTCAGATATTTTGTTAATTATGTATTTACTTAGAGTATAAAACAAAAACATCAAATATCCTGTATAAATAAATATACATATTTACAAGTATAAAATAATCTACCTTGATATTGTTGCCAATTTATTGTATGTTGTTTGAAATTGATTTGAATTAATATATTCAAAAAATTGAAATTGGTACATTTATTAACTACTATTGATTTTTCTCTTGATGGATTTAACTAACAAATTTAATTCCGGGTTTTTCTTCTTCTCGACTTTTATTTTCTTGTTATTATCGCTTTCATGGCTGTTCTCGATTCTCCTTTTGAATTTTTCATTCATCAGCGCTTCCATGCCTTTGGTCTTTTTGAAATGGGGATCAGTGGGATCAATGTTGAAATGGTGGCTGCTGAATAAAGCGGAGAATCTGTTATCTTCTACGTTCACGCTGAAATTGTCTTCAGGAATTTCTTCATCATCTTTCTTCTTATTCTTCCACTTCTTTTTCTTCGATACCTCTTTATCTTGAATCTTCTTTAGAGAGAAGTGATTTTTGTCATCATCGTTGTTCATTAGGAGTAATTCCAGTTCTTTTTGTTTTTTATCATCTTCTTCACTGTCATCGTTTGTTTTGATGGAAGATTTAGAATTTCTCTTTTGATTTTTGGGGTTTTTAAATTCGGGATTGTTCAGTTCTTCGGCAAAATAGGGGTCGTTGATATCGATGTCTGAAGGGATATCTGAATCCTCTGCATCGGTTTTCTTCTGCTTCTTCTTTTCTTTCCTTTTTTCCTTTCGTTTCTCTAAATATTGTTCGAAAGGTGTTTTTCCTTCGTTACTCTTTTCTTTGATTAGTTTTTCGGTTTTATCTTTCAGGTTTATACCCCAGGATATTTCCATTTCAACGTCTTTACCTTTACTAACCTTTTCTTTACTTTCTATATTGTTTAATAGAGCTTTGTATTTATTTATTATATCTTCTTTGCTTCCTTCTTCTTCTGAATTAGATATTTCTTCTTCCTTTTCACTCTCTTCCTCGCTGCTGCTACTAGCCAAAAAATTCTGGATGTCTTCCTTCGATAACTCGTCCAGTTTACCAGTGTTTAATTTTTCTGTTATTTCCAGTCTGTTCGGATCAGTTTCATCCCAAGTAAGGTCGACTTTGGCTTGTTGCAGTGCAGTATTTGTGAAAAATCTAAAAAAGAAAAATACCTAGTTATTTTCTAAGCCTTTAGATTTCAACAAAGACTTACCGTGGCTGGTATTTATTAACTTCTGGCAATTTATCACAAAACTCTTTAGGCTCGTCATCGAAACTCATATCTTCTGGCACGAACCTCAAGTCCAATTTTATAGCGCTCGATTCGTATTCCATCCCATCGCATTCCGTGTACACTTTATTCGCAGTATTCGCGTTATCAAACGCTATTATAGCGTAGTAATACTTAAGCCTGTTAAGTTGGTACTGCCTCAGCTTCTCCATGTGATAATTTGAGCCTTCTTCGTTCTCGTTTTCATCACTCAGTTCATCCTCCTTAGCTTCGACTAACTCTGTGGGTCCTTTAACCTCCTCCTCTTTCATTCGCTGTTTACCAAACTCCGAAGGGTATATGGCTACAGACTTGATTATGGATCCGGGATTTAGGAAGGAATTGAACAACACCATCAAATCTACAGCTCTGATTCTGTCCCAGTCCATGTTACAAGCTGCTAATCTACTTGTGGGATCTTCAGTACGTTCTGCATCTACATCCAATTCGCCCCATTTGTGTTCGATGTCTTCTTCGTCTGATACCTCGTTAGAAGATTCTTCATCGTCCGATGAACTCTCCGATAACAAATTCGACTCGCCCCTGGCGTAATCTACGGTTAGGTTGCGTAGTTTCTTTTTTATATCTTCAGGAAGAGTTTTGTCGGAGGAATGTTTCACGTTTAGTTGGCTGCTTGACTTCTCCGTATCCTTCTGGATGGGTTTTCCGGTTTCGCTTTCGTTGGTTTCCGAATCATCGTCGGAGCTCTCGGATTCCGAGCTTAGCTCGTAGTAACGTTTCAAGTCCTCGTTGGAAGTGTGGTTCACGGGCCTGCCTCGTTTGTCAGTGGTGTATTTGATTTTGAATTTTTTATCGTTGAACATGGACTGGAAACGCTTGTCGATTTTGATTTTCTTTTCTTTTTTGGATATCCGGCGGAATTTGGGGTCGCTCTTGATATGCGAAAAGCGGCTGTCCTCCATTTTCGTAGATTTTTCCAATATATAACAGTTACAGTTTGAAATTAAAATTTATAAACTTCACAATTAAACCTAACCTAGAAACTCGCACGTTTCGTTTCAACTTGACAACTTGACAAATGACAGGAATAATAGAAAATGTGGCCTTTTACGAATGGCGCATTTAGTCACAATTATACTGAGTAACCCAAGTAGCTTAGATACTCTTCTACAAAATAAAAGGAGTAATTTTAGAACAGACAAGTGTACAAGTCGAACGCACTACTGTCATGTCAAAACCACCTGTCAAGTCAAAGTTGTCAAATAATGTAAGACGTTTGTTTGTGTTTGGTGAAAAATAATTTCGTGCCTTTAGCTAGTCGAAGACGAGCAGTCAACGGTAAAAGTGAAACGTAACAGTGCGATAGTGCAGCGTGAAATCGCGATGGCATCGTCTCGAAGGAAACAGGACGAGAAGAACCTAAAGACTTTACGCGAATTGGGCGCCCTGCCGTCGAATAAGTACTGTTTCGATTGCAACCAACGCGGCCCCACGTACGTGAACGTTACCATCGGCTCTTTTGTCTGCACGAAATGTTCGGGAATGCTGTAAGTACCTGATAATTGCCAGTAGAAGGCCCAGATTGCGGTGGAATCCGGGGTGGTGTGTGTGTGTGTGTGCGAAAACAAAGCGATCTATTTATAAATTCGCTTCAACGAGCTCTTTATATTATCAAGTACAAAGTAACTTCCGTGACACGCGGAGACCGAAACGGATCTTAGTTAAATTACATACATATTCGTGTGCCACATTCGTTCTTTTTTTTTCCAATCATATATGATGCTGCGTCTTTTGTGCGACGTTTTTAGGTCATTTTCACATTAGTATCGACTTGCAGCGTAACATATTATTTATTTAAATTTGTTGAATCGAGAACGTAGTGCGTTTTGCATTCTAGGTGAACGCCTGACGATATTTTGATTAAAATCGGAAAGAATTGTTGCCATCAAACCGTCCTCGAAAGAGTCACTGAGTTAGGTGGCTTTCGGGTTCAACAACTAGAGGTTAACATAACAAAGCTCTGTTGGATGTATAAATATTTTAATGTGTATTTAGTGGTTGTGCTAATTTTGTAAGTAATCATCGAACAGACATAGTGCACGTTGACTGAACAATTACACTAGAATGATGTCAGGTTTACATTTATCTGATTTTGTTCCAAATACTGCTCGGTTTTAATCACCATAAATAGCAAGATAAACTTTAAAATTATGTGCAAATTGGGGGTACAAAGTTAGTGTGAGGCAATTGGAGGATATGAAGAAATTAGATAAATAAGTAGAAAAAGAGTAGATGTTAAGAAAACTGACTGACTCATCAACAAAATGAGTTAATAAAGGAATAATTAACGTTTGGAAAGTTAATAAAACATGAATGATATTCATAGGATAACAGGAAATAATAATGTCTTGACAATAGGTGACACAGAATGCAAATTGGATTAGATAAAATCAAATTTAACCTATTTATCGAATTTATAGATAGATAGAATTGATACATTTCACTATTATTTGTATGAAATCTCTATAAAAATCCTATAAAATGGTTTAATAATTGTATATTTTATGACAAAACACTTTTTCAACATAAACATACAAACATAACACAGATAACTTTAATCCTGCTTTTCCTAATTGTAAGTATTTCCCACTTTGGTTAATGGACTTCCTCTATTGTACTTCTTTTATCTTTTGGGTAATTTCCTGCATAATTAATCAATTGATCGAAGCTCATAGATATTTATTCAACGTACGCAGTGAATTCCAGATCGCCTTATATGCTAAATTTTATTACGCTTTAATTAGTCTAATAAAAAAAAACGAAAACGAAATCGAAACCGCGAATCCATTGTTCGGATTTCACCCCGTATATGTAGAAAAGAATGAAAGTGGGTAGTAATAGTTGACGAGAACGTGCATTCTACGTAAGCAAAACGCGCTCGTTTTCTTTCTGGCGGTATAATAATTTGTTTCAATTTAGATGTACAACGCTTAGTTTCCAATGAAATTTGTTTAACAGATTAATTTATTCTTCAATTGACGTACAGGGTGATTCAAACGAAAATAATACGTTGTATTGACACAAATTGAATTCATAATATGTCCGCAAATTGATGCAGAAGAGATGCTTTTCGCCAAGCAATAAAGTGCCTAGTTTGGTAGTTAAAAAAAGGATATTAAGAAATAAGATTTACACTGTATCTTGAAAACAATACTTTTTGCAGACATTTCCTGTCTGAAATTCAAAGTGATGGAGAAAAAGATAATTCCACGTTTTGCACATGATTCAGAATCACCCAGTATATCCTGCACTGTAAAGTTTTAACTATTACAAGAAATAATAAAATTTCCACGCCATCGACTCGGAACAATACCAGAACAATTTGTTGCTATATTTTTTTTCAATTAGGCCACAGTAAAGTACGAAAAACGATGAACGTAAAGACGGTTACACTTCAACAGTCAAGGTCGGATATTCGAACACAATTTCACAATAAATAAATTAATCCCTCTGCGATGGGAACAACTAGCCAATTGCTCAATTCGATCTCTCTGCGAAATTTCCCCCGTCTCGTTGAAACCAAATATGTGACTAATCGCCCGGCCTTTTTCATCCGAAAATAAATATGCATATGACTTACTTATCTTGGTTGTAAAAACGGTTTTTATGGAATTCAATTCGCTGACAAACCCAACGAAGGACGTATTATACGAACCATATCTATAATTTCCAACGTGCTGTATTGTTAATGAAAAGTCGAAAAATTGAGATTTTATTAGCATGAGATCAAGTTTTATTGCTGTGGGTTTTTCTATCAAAACAGTATGTAAGTATAGGTACACATTATAAATGTGGATTTGTAGGTAGATTATATGCAAGTCATCAACGATCATACATCAGAAACGTACAAAATTTACCTCTATAGATACAGTTAAAGATAAATTGTACATTATCCTGGACATACAAAAGTCTATTGATTAATAATTACTATTGATATAAACACACAATAAAGCATGTATGTATTTCCACTCATGCTTTTTTTATACTGTAACAACGTAGCAGGAAACAGCAATCGGCATTTTCGTTTTTTTAACCCCTTTAACGATGGAACACCTGGTATGTAAATGGGCCGTAAAATACGCGGGTAAATTTGCGTACGCACACACTCGGCCATATAGTTAGTATCGCAAATTTCTTTCTAATAAGCGAACAAAGAAATCTGGGTCGCTTAGAAATTCACTGTCGAGCGTATCACGAAAAAAAAACCGGACTTTCTCGCATACTAATGGGAAAATCCTTGAAGCTGTTAGCGCAACAAAGGAACGATAAATTTATTCGTACCCGTTCAATCGAAAAATCGCGTTAACGGCGACCACCCTGTATACGTTAATTGCCTAGAAAGATGTCTAGGTTTTAATAATATGCCTTATAGTTGTTTTGTAATGTAATAGACGCTATCGAATGCATTTCTCCGGTAGTGCATTGTCGTTTCTCCTTGGTTTGCGGTTTTTTTTTTGTTGTAAAAGTAATAAATAGAATATACAGTAGGTGCTTCGTAGGCAAAAATGCCGGCTCGTTCCGTGCGAGTAGCCCCAGGAAGTGACGCAAATTCGTGTTATCGACGGTCTCGTTTTCCTAACGATACTGACGTGTATTTTTAACAAGTTTTCTGGACTACGAACGGCCCAGAGGTCGTTGAATAAATCACGATATGACCCAGTTTACGAGCGACGTAAACGGCATTTTCGGCTCGAAGTACACCCCCAGAAGTGCCCTTTAGGTGCATTACCCACTTGGTATTGATTACACCAGGAGTGTTAAATAGAAATAGTGGCTGTACAACGATTAAAAGACTCCTTTTTTGTAATTTTGTTTCATCATTTCGTTTAATATCTTCTGTGTCCAGAAGAGCCTTTAAAGTGGTTAAGGACGGGAGTTCAAGAGAGGATCTATCAGTATACTTGGTCTAAGTTGAGTCAATGATGAAACATTAAAGTCTATATGTAAGAGGAAGATCTATAATATCCTGAAAGAATAAGCTTTAGAGAGGTTAAAAACAAATCAAAGTTGCATAAGGAAGTGATCTCGGGAAAACTCAAAGAATACTTGAGGAAACGACTATAAATATCAAGGAACCGTTGAAAAATCTAAAGAAAGTACAAAGAATCCTTTAGGGAACGACTATTAATATCAAGAAAGCATTTAAAATCTATGAGGAAATCTCAAAGAATACTTGAGGAAACAATTATAAATATCGAGGAAGCGTTTTAATATAAGGAAAGCTCAAAGAATACTTGAAGAAACTCTCTTTTATTTCTAATCTCACAGTAGATTCAAGCTTTATGAATGCAATAAATACTGAATAACTCTACCAAATAAGTTTGCCATGAAAAGGGAATGTAAATAAGAACGAGCAGCCGAGAAGAGAAGTGAGAAATATGTTTTATATGATCCACATTCTTCCAAGATTCTTCTTCACACCTGCATTATGAATGTGTTTCGTCGCATTAGCGCTCTATTAAGAAATGAATCGAGATCTTTAGCTATACAAAAAAAATCAACAATACACCTTCACAACATTAGAGAGAGAGTAAGCATAATGCGGAACAAAATCTAATTACCATCCTACGTTCACATATCAGGAAACGTAGCACCGAATTATAGATAATTCGAATCCCACGTAAACGCTTTTTAATAATCCTTTCGATTCAAACCCTACGAATGCCCGTGAGTCACCTGCGCAGCGTGACTAATCCACCCTGCCCCCCTTCACTGCCTTACAAGTGGATATTCGTCGGAATATTACGGTTGTTGGGACGTGCCGAAGTGACTCCGTCTCGCGTTTTGGGTTGAATATTCCGCAAATCGGATTGCGAAACGAATCACGTTACCAGAAACTTGACGAGCTTCCAATATCGAATGTCGGGCTTCGCCCCAGCGGCGCGCGATTTTCCATTTTTCTGGTGGATTTTCCATTTTTGCGTTTGAAAAGCCGCACCTGCGGCGAGATATTGAAGGCTCCCCGTAAACGAATGACTTCATAGTTTAAAAGGTTTTCGCGAAACGGTAATTATAAAATTCCATTGCGCTTTGTTTGCGTATTACATAATGATCTGGTCGTCGGCGAGAACGAGCCGGGAAAATAATCGGTTTTATTGCGCTGGCGAGAACGCCTTGATATTTAATAAATCGGGCCTGGAAAGAATATAAGGAACGTTTTATATTGTATTAATGCCCGTGTAGAATACTCTATACAGTAAACTTTGAATCAACTGTGTAGATTTGAAACATTTAAATGAACAGTAGGTTAAGGATTTAGCGATTAAACATGTCAATTGTTGGTTGTAAGTTTGAAAATTAAGTGGCAAATCGATTATAATACGTCTTAATAGTTGAATTACATTAGCAATTAAATTGAGCTGTTTAACAACTTCCTTGACCTTTGATGGTTGTTGGAGTGAAATCGATTTGGAAATATGCATAAGTATAACTTTTCGTCCATCCCCCGTAATCTAAGTACTACTTTCTTTGCGACGTGGAGGCGTGA